GAAAAAACAGCTGATTATAAGTGGCTTTTCAGGTAGGCCTGGTTTAATAGTATAATAAGAAGCATAAACACCATTACTTTTAATGTTGTCTTGGCTGCAGGGTTAGTTTTAGCGACTGTTGTTAAGAGTAGTTGGGGTCACCCAAGGTCAAGTTAAAACAAGGTATTTTATGCAAGCCACGGGAGGTTAAGTGTGAATGAGTTTTGAACATCCTAAATCCAACAACTACCAGCCATTTCCAACATGACACAATACACAGTTATCTGAATGAATGCAGTGTATTTTTGCACATCTTCGCTTCAACAGTATTGTTTTTTTGCTACATTATCAACCTGTTAGTCAGAGAACTGTTTAAGGGAGTTGCAAGAGTCAAGTTCTATATCAGGTCACTCTATTTATAAGTATATTGCTGTTAGGTTACATTGGGGTGTTGATCAATAATAAATTGTTGAACATCTTGAAGATGAAATTTAACTCATTTTGTTTGTTTTAGATCATGGCTCTGAAATATATGCTGCACCCTGACACAGCCTGTTCATTTTCCCCCTCCCAAGTGGAAGATTAATACACATTTCATTTTTCATTTTGATAGACTGGGAATAAAATAATTTATAAGATATATTTTACAACGACACAATCATGATTATTTGTCATAATTTTATTATCGTCTCAGCCATAAGGCCACAAATTCATCATCTTAATGTCCTGTATCCACAAAATCACCCAGCAAATCAAAATGACACTTGACAGTTCATTTATTTCCGGGAGCTGCTTTTCTCAAAGAGAGCTCAGGGTCTCACTAGTTTTCCCCTGTCGATCTTCACACCTTTCAGCCAAATATGAAGTGTGAGATTTCAATGGCTGCCTTGCAAAGAATGTGATTATCACGGGAGTGTTGTTCATGGTGTTTTTCCAAAGCGCTGCTGCTTTTCCACTTACTTAAAATAAGTCTGAGCACATGGTTTTTCAAGCTGAGTTTTGCTAAATTAAATCTCATCCTTCCCAGAGGGTTGTTCAAACGTACACACACAAGGATAGTCGTGATGCCCCACGTAAAAGGAGTTCTATTGTGTGATAAGGAACCCACGAGGCAATTATTAATCTAAGGAATCTAATTGGATGACAGTTTGGTATGTGGTAAACAGAGCGTGTTCTGGTCATACGACAGTTAGATGTCACCGTTCAGACCAGACCATTTGTAGTTTGGAATAATAAAAATAATTGCCATTTATACCCTCTTGATCACAGTATTAGTAAAAACACATGTAGCCCACCATTTTACAATGCCTTTTGTACTTTCAATTTTTTTAATAAAAAAAAAGGGTATATTGCCTAGCTTCTGTTTGTCTACTCTGTAGCAATGATGATTGGCTTTATATACAATATACTGTACCGCAATAAAAATGATTCCTTTAAAGGCAGAGGTTCATGTTTCTATTTATATTTGTGCAGTTCTATGTTCATCTTGACTCCCCCACACAGTTGATAAAAAAAAACATTTTCTGAGCAACTTTAGAAAAACTGACTAATCCTTTTGCTGACTTAGTGGTTGGAGTCATCTGTTAGTAGTGTTGTAAGCTGATGCCTAACTTATGTCGTAAACATCATGCAATAGGTTAAGTACCAAAAACAATCGTGACCCATTGTTTGATTTTCTTTTAACCATTTTCTTAGATGCAAATTCTTCAGTTTGACTGAGACCCCAGAGGACTACACCATCATCGTGGACGAAGAGGGCTTTAAAGGTGAGCCCTCACTTTGCCTGTCTTTTGGCGTCGCTGTGGTAACGACAGATTGACCAGCAGGAAAAGATCACATCATGTAATCTCCGATTCTCTCGGCTTCCATGCAGCCTCAGCTCTCCAATGTTTGAGCACACTTTGTCATTATGGACGTGAGGCCAGGCTGCTGCTGGCGGTGTTTGGTGGTTGGCTGTGTGAGTGAATCTGGTCATTACACACACCCTTGTCCAGGGTGACCCTCCTTTGTTACCTTGGAGACCACTCGGTATTTGTTGCATAACTGACTCAGGTATTTTCTCCTGGTCACTGACGCTGAGTATGTGTTTGCTCCCAGTGTCTGTTTAAACTTTAAGGTACATTGTGTAAGAAGGACGGCTTAGTAGTAAATGAGCAAAATGACAACAATGTCTCACTAGAGTTAAAGCGTTATAGCCCGTGCAGTTCAGGGTCAAGGAATTGGCAAAGACGTGGTACAATATGCTGTTTACATACCAGAGTCTGACCCTAAAGTTCTTACGATTCTTTTATGGGTCCTATTAAATTTAAACATGATGGGTGCTTTTATGGGTCCTATTAAATTTAAACTCTCCATCTTGGTTGGTCCTGGTAAGCCTATACAGTCCTCAATAACTGTGGTTGAAACTCAACAAAATTACATAGGTCCATAAGTCCACAAAAGGCATGTTGGATTCATCTCAATACTGTTCTAATACCAGTGTCTCTGGCCACTCCCCAGAACTGCCACAGTCAGAGCACATCAGCGTCGCTGATGCCACTTGGTTGGCCCTGAACGTGGTTTCAGGAGGTGGAAATGCCTCCAATTCCCAACCCATCGGAGTCACCAAGATTGCCAAATCTGTCATCGCACCGCTGGCCGACCACAACATCTCTGTTTTCATGCTGTCAACGTATCAAACTGACTACATTCTGGTAAGTCAGGTTAAAGGATGTTGAGTAAAAAAACACACCATTGGATCTCTTGGAAGGTCTTGGTTTTTTGGCAATTTTTTTTGCATTTTGTTTTTTGCATATTTGACGACATCTTTATTAGCACCGTGATGTAGAGTATGATCTAACAATATTGCTGACACCCTAGCCGGCACGAACACTGTCAGGCCAGATAAATTGATTCACATGATGTTTACAAAGTCACTTGATTCCTCTAACTTGCAACTGATACCCACAGTGTCCTTGATGTCCACATGTCTGACATAAAAAAGTAATAATGTTGGATATAACGGCCTTTCCACAGCCTGGCTCTCCTTTGATTTAGGGAGAAATCCTCTCCCACACTAATGCATGTCTGGCCGCAGGGAGTCTGTTTTTTATTGCCTTGTTCTCGTGGAAAAACAGAGTCTGCTGAGCAGCTCTGGCATGTTTATGAAAATGGATAAAGAGGGAGAGAAAAAAAGAGCCTGTGTTGATCTTGATAATCTGTTACATAAAAGGGATCAGCAGAATTCCAGGTAACCTGTCCGCTTCAGTTTCTTGTCTGGACACTGGCTGTTCCAAACATCCCACAATCCTAATTATTGGAGGTCATAGAGCAAAGTAAAAACCTCCTGTGGCTTTGGCTCATCTTTGTGTCCTGCTGTCTGCTGATGTTACAGAGACATCTTTGTTTTTACAGGATCTTTTCTGTTACATAATGTGACGCGATGACTGACCCTAATGATCTGTGCACTTATACACTACACTGTAGAAACAAGGATCACACACTATCAGCAGCACCTTGGAGGTCTGTTATTTGGACCAAATCTTTTTTGTAGAGATGTGAAATGGAGAGATTTTTGCCGGTTAAACAAAAAAAATCTTTAAACTGAAGAAATAAAGCCATGAATTAGAGTTTATTTTTTGCTTTTGAAAATGTGCCCGTCATACTTAACTATTCCTGTGTTGGGTTACTACCAGTTAACAGGTGGGTTACTACTACATTATTTTGGACAAATCTTAATTATTGTTTCTGAAAATATATGAATTTCAAAAACATGAAGTTCTTTGCACAGTTTTTACCATTTGTATTTCTCATGCCTCTTAACTGATTTGATTCCCTTGTATTAGGTTCGAGAGCGAGACCTGCCCATGGTCATGCACACCTTGTCTTCCGAATTCACTTTGCTGCGGGTGGTGAACGGAGAGACGGTGGCTGCACACGATTTGGGTGTCACCAATGGATTTGTAAAACCAAAACTAGGTGCGTCATAAAACAATGTTTGTGCAGTTCTATTTTCAACGAGACTGACTCACCGTGTCCCAGGCTGTCATTCATAAAGGCAACACAAATCTTTCTTTTATATCGTTCGTCTTTGTTCCTCAGTCCCTCGTCCCATCATCCACCCTCTATCCAGTCCCAGCAACATGTTCTGTGTGACCAGCCTGGACCCAGACACACTGCCCTCTGTGGCCACGCTGCTCATGGATGTCATGTTTTACTCTGGAGGGTAAGATCAGACTTATCTTTATATTTTTTTCCAAAATAAACCTTAATGTTTGTATCAGGGCTAATACAAAGGAAACCGTTCCACTGTAAACAGAAACATTATCTGTTTGAATGACTTATTGTGAGTCACTGCAAATTAGGCCTAAAGGAGTGCAACAATAAGCAACTGTTACTCCATTACTGTTTTTTAGCTTTTATCCCTTCTGCTGCAGAGTTATTATTAGGAGCTGTTTTTGTTATTGCATCAAAAAAAAGCCTTTGAGCAATGTTAGCAGCAGGACTCTAATATGGCTGCATGAATAGAAATATTATTCATGGTTCCAAGAAAATCCACCCTCCTGGCTTTAGACACACAAAAACATTCACTGGTCTGGTTTAAAGAGCTGAAATGCATCTTTTCAGCTCCTATCTGTGTTGAAAATGACTCATCAGTTGAATTAATAAAAAAACATGTAAAACCATTTTTCTAAAAGCCTGTTGTCTCATTTTTATCCTTAATGCTAAAAGCGTCCAAACTCTTCAGACTTAACCAGATATAACATGGTAACAATATTTAGAGCCAAACTGCTGCTCTTCTGATTTAATACACAGGAGAATGCTTAGTGTAATTCTATATTTATATCCACTTGACACTTTGTGATAATTTCAAATTATGTGTGGTTTTGTGTTGTTGTTGTTGTGGTGGTGTGTTGTTGCTGTTGTGCAACCAAACAACAGCCTGATTTCCTGAAGGAGCATCTTGTCCTTTTGATGAGCCCTGGTCTCCATGCGTCAGTGTGCTTTTAGACCAGCGCTGCTACTTCCTGAGAGTCCACTTATCGATCCGTGTTCTACCTCAGACCACAGAAATAGCAGGAGAGGTCCACACAGTACCTGTGGTTCTGCTTGTGTAATTAGATCAGATCCATATTGTCTGTTAAAGCTAGGGTAGGCAGAATTCAACTGATGTTATTAAAAGTTAGTTCGTAGCCAGTCATAATTAGTCAACCACTGACCAATCACAGCACAGACCAATGCAGAGTCATAGATTTCTTAGTCTTGCAAACACATCTCATGAGAGGTTGGTTAGACATCTGACTCCTGAGTTCTGAGATCTTGATGTGACACACCACCCTGGCTGCCCTTTCTACGTCTCAGTTTGGCAGCGGCGACAGCAGATTTATCAACTGGCAGATCTCCTTGAATCTCAACAGCCCTGAGCTCACATGTCTTACTTTGGACTGCTTTACCTAGAACTGGTAAGGTTTTGTAATTTGGCACCAGTGTTTCCAGTTCAGTTAGGAACATGGTCCAAAACTTCCTAGTGGAGCTGTTCTCTGGCATCAGCTTTAATCACATTTGGAAATCTGTCAGCGCTGGTTTCACTTCATCTTGGTTTCTGGATTAACCATTGACAGACTTGTTCCCTCATTGGAAACTTTTCCTTTATTGCTTTTAATCTTCTGGCATGCTTGCTCTGTTTTGTAAGAGGTAGTTCTTTATTTGCCTTCTTTTTTCCCCAGATCCAAAGATTGTGGTGCATCCAATGAAGATTCCAATCACATCCGTTTCTTCTCCTTCTCACTGATCGAAGGTTACATCTCTCTGGTCATGGACGAACAGACAACTCAAAGGTAAAGACTTCACAAGTCAAATCTGTGTGTGGTCAATTTCTGAACCCTTTAGCATCCCACACCTTACACAGGAACCAATTTGTGATTCCTGTTTTTACACGAGCAATTAGTTTGTTGCTAAGCAATAACAGTGCATCTGGGGATACTCATCACAGTAGGTTTTGGTTTTGATTCATTTAATCCCACACTCTCTAATTAAGCAGGGAAACAATAAAAAGCGGTAGGTCCCAAGTGGCTGCTCCTAAATTGGTTCTTCATCTTCATTCATAAAAGACATCTCTCTTTATTTGGGTCAGTAATGGCTCAGAGGCACATTGAGGTAAAACAATAATTGTTCCAAATTTGCAGGCAGTTGTTTTAAAGTCCATATTTTCTAATACAGCATGTAGGTCAGCATTGTCCTTGCTTTATTGATTTGGCTTGAAGGAACAGGTCACCCATTTAATTATAATTTTCAGTTGAAAGAGTTTGAGTGAGTTGACAGAATTTATATTCTTGTCATTTTAATGGTGTAGCCTTGTTTTGTCTGGTTAACCTTGATCCATGTTTTAAAGATCACCTTTATAAAAATGTCCCTTTGTCTCCTAGAGAAGATGTAGTAGACACTTTGTCATCAGTTGTCCTCTCAGTGGAATCATAATTGTCTGAATTCTTCTGAAAGACCTGCGCTGCTTATCGGAAATTCAAAATGTTAATTAAATCCCACAGCAGTAAAATATGGGATTCCTCAGTGTTCTGCTCCAGGACCCGTTACAGATTCCTTTCACATGCTTCATTTAGATCATTTCTTTCACCTTTCTTTGCTAATGACACATTTGCAAAGAAACAGTTTTTCCATCTGTCCAACCTTTTAAAAGCAGGTGGAATGTTTTAGTTTGAAAACCCATGTTATGGTTTATCTCTGGGGCATAAATTCACCACATGAGGCAGCTGTAGATGTCTGAGAAACAGAGAGTTTTATTCATATTGAAATAACTCACTTTTTTCTGTTTTCTTCTAGATTTCCTAACAACGTACTCTTCACCAGTGCTTCTGGTGAGCTTTGGAAAATGGTCCGCATTGGGGGTCAACCTTTAGGATTTGGTGAGCATATGCTGCTCTTGTTAATGTTTGACACCCTCTAGGGTTGCATCTGTTTCCTGTGTTAAGAAAGTAGTTATTTTTGTGCTCAGACTTTGATGTAGGTTTGAACAAGTGAAACTGTTTTTTTTTCTTCGTCTACAGATGAGTGTGGTATTGTGGCTCAAATATCAGAACCACTGGCAACAGCTGACATTCCAGCCTATTACATTAGCACCTTTAAATTTGACCACGCCCTGGTAAGTCTGGAGCTTCGTTCACATTCACACACTTTATCTCCTTCAGTATAGAAAAAGCAGAGACTCCACACTAAAGACTCGACTTCTCTCCTGTGACTTAGTTCATCAACTCAAACATTCTGGTCTCAGATCTGACTCAGCTCATATGTTTCTCTCTCCAATTTCTATTTAAAACACTAAAGACACAACCAGGCTTCAGCTCTGACTTGTTTTCTCTGTTATAAATTCAGTTTTTACCATTTGGACCACAGCAGTAGTCTTACTGTGGATTCATCATCAGACAGTTACAGGTCCTTGTATCCTCCCACAGGTTCCTGAAGAAAACATCCAAAGCGTGATCAAAGCTCTGCGGACCGAGAGTATGGCACAGTGAAGGAAAACTCCTTCGTTTCGTTTTCAAAGTCGCTTTGTTCAAAACATTTTATTGTGCCCGAAAAGTGCCAAGAGCTTATCAGCGGACTACTGTGGACTGGCTCTGATAGAAGAACAGGAGGAGGAAGAGGAGGAGGTCTAAGCACAGAGTGTGGGTGGAGTACTTTTTGTTTTTCAAGAGAACAGATGAAGTGATTAGGGAGTCTCGAGCTGCATTTCCACTGCACAGTACCAGGAACTCTTAGTACCAGGACACAATTAGTCGATGGTTCATACTTAAATTAAATTAAATTCTAATGACTCCGAAACCATTTGACTCGATAAGAACGAAACACTGTTACCAGGTCTCAGTACAAGACAATACAACAACTAACATTTCCAGCAGCAGAACACCTCTTAGCTTAAGTTTAAAACAGCTTAGACATGGACATGGAAGGAACCAAAAAAAGATCCATAACTACTAATCAGTCATCAATACATACATTCATCAATACATCATTTCCTGTTAGTTTCTTTGAGATACATCATGACAAAATGTTAATAGAAGTTTGGTTTTCTCCACTTTGGTTTTCGCTCCACTGTAGCAATAACTGGATCCCACTGACGAAATAACACATAACGCTCCACACAGGGTGGAGCGTTATGCATCGTTTATAGCCTTTAAATTAAATGGGAGTGACAAATGGATCGATCACAGTAATTAGTGCGGCTTCACCAGACAATAAAATACTCATTAGTCACAGCTTTATCTAATGCTGGGTGGTCACAAGGACCAAGGGAGGTCAAAATGTACGGTAACAAGAGAGTCTAAGTCAACATGGGGAAAAACGTTATTAACGAAAACAAAATCGTAATTGTACTTTCGATGGTCATGAGTATGAGATTAAAAAATGTTTCTGTATAAAAAAAATTTAAAAAAAGAATTCCCCGATACATTTTAATGGAAAGAAAGGTTGGTTTTCACCTTCTATTCTTTTAAAATACAGGTGCTGCACTCCAATTTCTCCTGATACGTTTTGCTACCTAAACAATGTGTCGTTAGGTTCCTGGTCCGAGAGGTGCAAAGTTCCTGGTACTAGTTTGGTGTGGTGAAAATGCACCGTGTGCCACTCAGATGGTTGAGTGTTTTGTCCAGCTCCTCCCACTGCTCTGATTAGTTGTTGCTTTTACCGTTTACCACTTTCTTTCTTTTCCCTCTGAAGCTGCTTAATCCCACTCCCCAGACCCCTCGTGAGCACCATACTGTATTAGTTACATAATCCCTCTCCTGGAAGGATGATGAATGTACTCTAAAAAAATGAGAAGAAGAAAAAAACAACAATGGAAGACGTTTATCTCAAGCTCTCAGATTTTAAGTTTTTTTCCACGTCATTTTAGTGCCATGATGTTTGAATGTCTGTCGAAAAAAAAAAAATAGTGTGCAATTGAAGGAGACAGACTGAAGGTAATGACAGAACAGTAACATGGTTTGATGTTTTATTTTTCTGCTTTTAGTAACTGTTTGTAACTGAGGAGCTGAATTCAGTTCTGAGAAACAAAAGCAACAAAGTGAATTGGAGGAATTAACCTTGCAAAGCTTTGATCATTGCTGTGCGTTCACACTGTGAGCAACAAGGTCATAGGTCATGTAGTCTTTTAACTGTGTAAAATTCAAACTGACAAATCATTGACATGAGACAGATTTTTAAACAAACATTACATTGTAGGAAGTAAGCAGAAAGTTATTTTTTTAATCATGGATTTAAACAGTCAATAATAGAAATCATAATCATGATGCATGATTAAATCAATGAAAAACCTTTTCATCATTTGGCAGCTAACCTGTTTTTTCCTTTAGTGCGTAAAATTAACTTTTGAGTGTGAAGATAGTAGAGATTTTGCAATTAGGAAACAGCAGCTCAGACAAATGATACAAAAGTCTCAATTATTAAATAGAAATGTATGAATATGGAAAATGTTTTTAAACACATTGAAGTTTCTGTTGTTGTCCTGTAGGGCATGTTATTTAAAAAAAACGTTGGTCTGTTACATGTTTAACAATTAAAAACATGGCAGGATAACATGTTGCTACATGGTAGCAAAGAGCTAAACAAACAGTTGCCATAAAATTAAGTAAAAATTGGTCATTATTAGTAATGAGTTGGTCACAAATACACAGTAGTAGCAACTTTTATCTAACTTGACATAAACTGTCACCATGTTAGCGACTTTGATGCCAAGTTTGTCATTTGGCATTAGCATTGGGTTTATGTTGTCATTCATTTAGCATATTGTTACATTTATCTCTTAAAGCTAAAGACCTTGCTATTAGTCCACAGTTCAACCCAAACTGCGCAGTAGTCTAAAAAATGGAAATTCACCCCCCTCTTATTGTAGCATTAGTTAGCGTTACAGTCAGTCGTTCGTGATTGTTTTTAATCCTCTTGGTCCCTGTTAGCGATCATGTTGCTTGCAGTGTGAACCCTTAGCTAACCCTGATTTTATTGACAAATAACTGACAATATTTGCATTAACCGTTTTTGTTTTGTTTTTTAAGTTACTGAGCCACTTTGACAGCGTACTTAAACAATGACATAAGCTAAAGTTCACAGTGGGCAGGGAACTGTTTTCCTACAAGCCCATGGTGTCCACTTAGGTCTTGACCATAGACAGTATGTGAGAAATGGACGAGCCACTAAATCAGCAACACATGTAAAGTCCACCCTGTCCCCCAGGTCCTATTGGACAGTCTTTTGTTAGACACACAATCTCATTTTCCACTAAATGGGATCCTTTACAACATGCACCAAAATAAGAAATGTAGTTTATGAAACTGTTTCCAAGTTTAAAACTAATTCTGGTCAACACAATCTTTGTTACCATTCTGAAGTTAGGACCGTAAAAATGAGTCGCCCCCTAGTGGTTCACTGCTACATCTTGTCTACTTTTGAGGTTACACTTGAACAGCTTTATCCATTTCTTATTACTGATCTATGGTCTTGTCCTCACCCAGCCCACCCCAGCTCCCAGTCTGCACTTTAGAGCAGGTTCCAGCTCACAGACCTGCTGACTCGATGTGAAATATAAGGGGGTGGAGCCAACAAACTTCTGTCCAGATATGGAGGATATTGTTTGTCTTACACAATAGATTTTTTTTACCCCCACTGCTCTTCACAGCAGCTGTTGGTTCCCCTGGTCATTTCTGATCAGCAGATAGAAACATTTGTATTTATCAGTGTTAACATGTGAGAAGGTGACATTTCTTCTGATAGCATATAAAAAATAAAAAATAAACATCAGAAAGCTTTTTTCTTTTTGGTTTAGATTCTTGTGTGTGGGGGGGACGCTTCTTTGTTGTATTTTTGTTTTCCATTTTTTCTTTTTTAGCTTGATGTGTTGAGTTGCTACTGTGGATACAATCATCCTCACACTGCTCTTAGTTCATGATGTGTTCTTTAATCAATAAACTGGTGACATCTCTGCCCGCTGTGGTCTACTGAGCTCCTTCATAAATAAATACAAATGCAGTGTACACAAATATTTGAATGGCATATATTTTGGTAAGTAAAATCTGGTTTATATTGTTGACACACGAGTTCCCAGTCATTTCCCAACACTTTTCTAGAATAAGCACTTCATCTTATTTTATCATTGTTTCGCCTAAATGAATATCTTGTAACAAGGAATCCGTAGTTAGGACACAGGCTGACTTGGTTGTTCTTGCTTCAGTTAAGGACCCAAAAGTAACGCATATCACACACGGAACAGATTCAGTTTCTGTTAAACGTTAATATATTTAACAAATGACAAGAATTTCCTTACGGCACCATCTGACAGCGTCGCGGGGGAAGCGACGAGGTCTAACGGGCAAGACTGCGGTGGTTGTCAATGCCGAGAGGGAAGTATGAAAATGCTACATTGGCTAACTGAACAACAAGCACACGGAGCGGCGACGTCATAGCGATAACTGGGCGAGTGGTAGACTTGATAACACACACAAAAATAAGCACAGACAGTTTTCAAATTTTAGGCAAATACAACTGGACAACAGACAACGCTTCTATCGCGAACAACCGGCCAAGATGAACTGGCACTGCGTGCGGTGTGAGAGCCACTTATATAGGGAGCAGGTCATCAGCCGCAGCTGGTGGAAGCAGGTGGAGACGATGACGATAATGATTCGCGGGCAGTTACGGCTGAAGGTGGTTAGGATGATTAGAGGGCAGGGATGGCATAGCGTATTATTTTTTAAGTTTAATTTACACACAAAAAAATTTGGTGTGTTGGAAGCCTACTCTCAACGCTAAAAACAATTTTGATGTTAAGCAAGCATTTTGGCTAGCTTTTTCTCAGTTTTATTTTGAAGTAACTAACTTGAAAACTTAACTAAGGATTCATAATTCCTACATAATAGTATGGGTAAATAACCAGGAATCCTAACACTGACCTAACTCTAGCGCTAACCCCCAAAGCACAAATGGCCTAAATATTAGGAACAGTCAAGGCTCTACCCTAACCCAAACCCTAATCCCAACCCTAACTGCACATTTTTTTGCAAACCCTAACCCTAGCCCGTAATCCCTAAACCCTAATCCTTGCTCTGACCCCTAATCCTAAACAATAACCTCATCTCTAACACTAATTTGAAATTTTGGCATACAAAGAAGTTGTATTTTTAGTTAGTTGGATTTTAGCAAACATTTTCAGATATACTATAATAGATATACTATAACATTTTTTATTTTGGGATATCTAAATTAAAAGTGCAAATGTTGATTATTTTATTATTCCAAAATGAAAAGGGCAGTAGACTGACTAGACGTCAGGTTAGGAAACATTTAGCAATCCCATGATAGTAGCAATAGAGTCAGGGGTGGAATGATATTCGACTTTGATCATTTAGCATATAAATTACACTTTTATTTTTTTAGTTCACGATGTGGCATTAAGGGTGAGTGTCCAAATGCCACGCCTGTCTTCTCTAATGGACTGCAGCTTGGACTAGAAATGAATTCTCGTCCTTCAGCACATGGTGGACAGTTGGGGAGGACGACAGGTATATCAGCTGTCCGTTTTATTTAACCTGAGTAAACAAAGCAAAGAACAGCCAGCTCCCTTTCACACAGGGCTGAGGCCTCGGTACACTGCATTCTATCTGCTCCAGCTCACACCGCTGAGGAGGTGGAGGAGGATAAAAGTAGTAGAAGGAGGAGGAAGAGGGCCATCCCAGCTGCACAGAGCAGGGTTAAAGGAGCAGACATGGTATGTTAGTGTTTTTTCTCATCATGATCATCTTTCTCCTTACATAATCTCCCTGCAGGTCATCTCTGTGCCTCACTGACTTTCCTTTTCTACCTTCCTCTGCTTCCCACTTGCTTTGTTCAAAACTGGAAAAATAAAAAGCTGTACTAATTGAAATGCATCGCCTCCACCCCTGCGGCTTCATTGATTTACATTCTGTGGAGGTACAAGGTCACCGGTGGGAAATCTCCACCCACAGACCTGACAAATCGAAAAAATCTCACAGGCGACATTAATCTCTGTGAGTCAGCTCTCTGTAAAGACAAAAGCAGAGAGGTTGACAGCACAGTGTTTTCTTATGCCACGCTTCAATCACAGTCCGCTGCCTGCTGGTGTCAGCTTACCAGATTTGTGGATATGAAAACTCAAACTTTCCAGTCGCACCAAAGCACATTTACAAACTTTGTCACGTTTACAGAGCTGACGTTGCAGAATATGATAACAACAGTGTTAGAGTCACACCAGTTTAAAGAGTGTTCTGTATTTGTGGATGATGCCAAGAAACTTGGATTTAAGGAAGTATAACTGGGTTGAAAATCTGCCATTACCTAAAACCAAACACCCTAATCATAAACCCTAACCAACCTAAAGTTTTCATCTATAATCTTAAACCCTAAAACAATCTACCCTAACCCCTAAAATCTTCCACTCTACTCCTAAACCCTAACCCCTAAAGATTTCATCCTTAATCTCAAACCTTATCTAAGGTAACCCTCCCTAACTGTTCTTCCAAACTAATTTTAACCCCTAAACCTAAATTCTTCTACTCTTATCCTAAACCCTTACCCTTAAAATTTCCCATCTTAATCCTAAACCCTAACCCCTAAAGCCTTCCAGAAAAATCCTAACCCCTCAGGTCTTCAACTCTTATCCAAACACTAGCCCTTAAAGTCCTCCACCCTAATCCTAAACACTCACCCCTAAAGTCTTCCACCATAACCCTAAACCCTTAACTTCTAAAATAACTTACTCTAATCTTAATCTTGAGTCGTTACCTACCCTAAAGTTACCTACCCTCATTTTGAACCCTAGGGTTAGTCACACTATACACTCAACTTAATCCTAAAAAACACACAAAGTCAAATAGTTCTGTGGGTTTTAATGAGAAACTTGATGAAGTGAAAATTTTACAGCTTTGATCGCATGTCTTCAAGTATCGTCCTCTGTTGAACAACAGTCTATGTTCAAGAAAGTCATTTAAATTTTTTCCACATCTTAGAAAAAGTCTTTTAAAAAAATCAGTCAATTCATCAATAAACTGACCCAGTGTCTCAGAGCAGCTGTTAATTAAAGATGTCCTTAGAAGTCTGGACAGGTGACCTTGAGGGAAGACGCAGCAATTTATGTTGCTGAATCGACTGCATGCTGCTGATGCTGCTGCTGCTGGACGTCACAGTGGGACAGAGAGGACACAGTTGTCCGTCTCCTGCTGTGAGCAGCTGCAGCATCACAGGGAGGCCAGAGAGAGACTGAGCCAAAAAACATCCAGACACCCTCCTGTCCTCCACCACTGAGAGAGACAGGAGCTCACAGGAGGGACTTAACCAGCGCCACCATGTGGTCAACTCCACAGGCTACATCTACTACTTGACCTGGGACAGTCACCTGAGAAAAAGAAATATAAACTGTTCAGATGGAAGAAAGTTAAGATTATTGACAAATTACATTTTATATAATTATACTTCTTCATCTCCTCCTTCTACTTCAGGGGTCGCCACAGTGGACCATCTGCCTCCATCTCTCCCTATCCTCCGCCTCTATCGCCATGTCCTTCCTGGTATTTCCATCTCTAACATTCTTTGTCTGATGTTCACCATCTCTCCTCAAACCATCTCCACACTGCCCCACCTTAACTGTAACTGCTCATTTCTAATCCTGTCCATCCTGGTCACTCCCAGTGAAAACCTCAGCTAACCTCTGACACCCGTCTCCATTTCACCACTGTCCTACACTACTTTGCTGCTGTTCTTCTGTCACAAATAACCTCTGACACCCGTCTCCATCCATTCCACCCTGGGTATAAACAACGTGTGTTTTCTCCGTTTCAGAGTGGCTCCATCACTGTACAGTGTGTGTATTCTCTTACTCTCCAGGGAAAATACTGGTCGTCTCTCCGGCCAATGCCCAAACACCCTCGGATGTTCTTCCCCCAGACAAAGAGCTCTCCTCTGTCTGCAACACAACGGTCAAACATGAGCTGGACGTGTCCTCCCGGTCCTGAATGGTCTCTGCTGCAGGACTGGGACAAAAATGTTTTACCTGTAACTGCAGCAAAGTGGCTCAGTCCACACCTGACCTTGGTGACACAGACTGAAGGATTGAACTCAGTTTGTCCAAACAGTGTGGGGGGAATCATCTCAGGATTGGACGTTTCACTAAGGTCTGGGCCTTTTCCCAGAATTCCATAGCCCCAAACAAAAACTTGGCCTTTCTCTGTTATTAAAAAGAACCACAAATAGGCAATTTTTACAGTTGGCGTTATTTTTTAGAGTTTTTCAAATGGAGTATGAATTTTGAATTATGTATGTAGATGTATAACATTATGCTACTTTGAACAATATTTACTGAAAACTACAAATTTTTTACTAAAGTTTCTGTCATTTCCTCACCGTATTTTGCTTTTGTTGGCATGTTTTAGTTAAATTTGCTATTATGTGACTGTCTAGCATTTGTGTTTCATTTTCTACCTTATGTTGTTGGGACTACAGTAGTGAAACAATGAACCCACCAGGCACAAGGTGAATAAAACCATAAACAAACTGTGGTTTCAATCTAAATATAGTCTAAATAATATAATATTTTTATTTATTATTTTAATCTTTGTCGTCCTGAAACTAAAGAGAAACGCAGAAACTGAGATCTGTCGCCACCAAGAGGCAGAACACGGACACGGACCGCTTCTCTGATCTGTTACCCCTCAGTAGAGGGGAAGACCAGCCTTCGTGTTGTTTTGAATTGTGTGTGTGTGTGTGTGTGTTTTGTAGACTGACCGTTGAGAACAGCCACCTGAGTTCCTCCACACGCTGCCTGAACTACTTTTCCACAGCCTTTTAGAGGAAGGAGACGAGGAGAGTTGATCTGAAACAAGGAGAACGTTTGGTTCACAACTCAATACAAACCATTCTGTTTGCTTTGGCTCTTTTACACTCTTTACTCACTCTCAATACACTTTGTATTTGTGGCTAAACTTAACTTTAAAAAATTACATTTTCCCAGATTGACGATCATTTTAAGCAACATTGCTAACATTGGGTTATATGTTATCTATCTTTGGTAAACACCCAGCTCTTGTCTACTCACCTGTGTGGCCTCAGTGACGGAGGCCAGTTGACGGTACTCAGAGTTCCCCCACCCAAACAGCTGCCCATCTGTAGACACAGCAAGGCTGCAGTCTCCGTAGGTGCTGATCTGCTGACCCTCCACTCCTGCCAGGTCTCCACCCACTTCTACAGGAGCGGAGCTGATGTTGTGGTGACCCAGACCTGCGAGAGGGAAATCAGAGCCACATGTTACATTATTTGGTAATAGACATTTACATAGTAACTGTTTACTCTAACAAACTAAATAATATTAAAACAAACAAAAAAAACTTCACCTGTCTGCCCATCAGCTCCCCATCCACAGGCAAACACTTTTCCAGTCTCTGTGAGGAACAGACTGTGGTCCTGACCACACGCCACCTGCAGGCGAAATAGAATATGTTGGAGTATGCTTGAAATATAACAAAGAATAAAACAGTTTGCTTAAGTCTTATATAAATATACATACACATAAATATATATGCACATATCTTTATTCCTAAAAACTGTGGATTGACTTAAATCTGTGAATGTGTGACATCACAGTAGTGACACCCCTCACTCTGTGCTGAGTCTCTCACCTGAAGCACCCTGCTGTCGAAGCCTTCCACCCTGTGAATGATGTGACTGCCGCTGTATGAAGACAAGGAGAGAGTAAGGAGACATCCATCATGAGCCGAGGTCACAGCCTCGTCCAGTCTTCACCTCCTTCAACCTCCCGTTTGCGTTTATAGGATCGTACTTCACACGTACATGCTATTTATAAGTCATCTATGAAGCCTCTGAAGGCTGAAGTCAAACTCAGTTCATATATTATGACCGCTCCTGGATGTTGTTTATTTTTATATTGAAAGGTTGTTGATTTTATGTAGTTTGGTACAAACCTGTAAACTTCATCCTCCACTATCGTCCTGCCGCACTGACCGTATGAGTTGTTGCCCATACTGTAAACTGTAGAGAGAGGAAAAATACAAACAAACAGCCTAATATACATCTTTGAAACATGTTTTTTTAAAAATTGGCAGGATTTTGACTGTGACTGTGTCTTACCTCCTTCTTGATCAGTGAGTACCAGTGAGTGGGCGCGGCCACAGGAAACTTGGATCACTCTGGTCTGCAGGGGTTCACTCAGAGGTAGAGGCACAGGGGATGGTTCCAGAACGTAGTCAAAACTCTTTACTACACACAGAAAAAAATGCCCTTTCGTTAATGTACAATTTAGGATCATTATTTTTATCTTATGGCTTTTTCTCGTCCAACATGATCATATCCGTCATTTTTCTTACGTCGACTTTGCTGCGTCCGTTGAAAGCCCAATTGGGAGTCTTTGTTCAGGCCCATGCCCCACAGTTTGGTCACATCTTTTGTTGAGGAGGCGATGAGTGTGAAGCCATAACCACAAGCAGCAGAAGAGATCTGCAACAGAAAAAGACGAAGAAGAGTTTGGCTGTGGAAACTGTCGTTTTCAGTCTTGGACAGTGTGGAACTGTTTCCTGCCAAAACGATCTTCATTGTGAAGTTTAAATACCTGCTCTGCTGTTTCCAGACGATAAGGACTGAGCTGTTGCTTCCGGGGATGCTTCTTTCCAGAGTCCGGCACCACAAAGCTTGGGATCCCTAGAGCTCCGGTGAAGCTAAAGCCCCACACAAACACTTTGTGGTTAGGCTTTCTGTTCTGTCCAACATATTGGAACACTGGACCACTGTTGTTTTTCTCCCGAGGTCTAAAGGCTTTACTGACGGTGGCATAGGCGCAGACATGAAGGCCGTGGCTTGTTGGCTGAGAACAGATCCGTAAACAGGAAAGAAACATTCTGTGGGAAAAACAAAACAAAAGACGGGATATAAAAAACATATATTTCGTTTCTTTTGATTTACTATGTAATTTGTTAAATATGGTAATTTATTGCGAGAAGAAAACGTAATAACTTTTTAACATTTCGCGAATAACGACCAATAAATTGCATCTTCAATATCATCTCCACAAACGCAGTATTTCATTCCCAATAACCTTCAAATAAGAATTATCTTGTTTTGACATACGTTACATTTAATAATGGTTAAAACACAGTCACTACTAAGGTGTAAAGGTATATCGGTAAATTCGGCATACAAGTGAAGTGTCAAAAACATTTAGATTTAAGATAGCATAATGTGATGTCGTAGATTTTCACAGCGTGCTTTGGCTTATAGTCGCCGACGTTGTCAGTGTAAATACACTGCTATCCGTGAGCAAAACTTGTATTAATTTTATTACAAATCAAAACCAGCACCTCTGATAGATACCGAATTACTGAGAATGGATGTATCGTAAAAAGTAATACGAGTTCAAAACCAGCACCTCTGATAGATACTGAATTACTGAGAAGGCATGGATGTATCGTAAAAAGTAATACGAGGTGTTTGCGGTAGTCACATCGTTGACAGTACACATATAAGCGTTTGAATTACATCAATAGCAACAACGTTTCCACACTAGACACGCCTCTTGTTTCTCCACATGTAAAAGTAGTCGTACCTCGGTTTCCAGTCCAGCTGTATTTTGTATAGAAGAATTTAAATATCAATATTTATTTTCGCCTCGGCTGCGACATTACATTATCAATACATATATTCCCCAATGTCATTGCTACATGTTTAAGTTAAAGCAGAAATACATTTCACACAGGAAGTAAAAATACTGATTCGCTTATGTTCACCTTCCATCGTGTTTTTTATGTTGTTGACGCCCTCTGGTGAGCAGGAGTATGTAATGCAGGATTGGATTAATTTGTTAGAGACTCCAATTTGTACAATTTTATTAATCAAAAGTAGGACAAATTGACATAAAATGCTTGATATTTCACCATATTAGATACAGCACAGCAGTGTGATGATGTATAATGATCCATTTTCATTTAACAATCTTCAGCAAATAATGAATTTTTAGTCTCTTTTGTCCAGTTTGTGAGCATCACTATCTTTCAGCCTCTGCCTTTCTTTCCACCTTTTATACTTTGTTTTACTTTTTTTGTAGCCGAACCTAGCGATGTCCACCATAAAGACCCAGGCCAGGCCATACATCACCACACCTCCTATCTTCATGATCACTGATGTCCTGGGAGACGTGAGTTCACAGTAAAACAGCAACGCCCCAACTCCTATTCGCACTGTGGCGAAGAGTGTGATGAAAAGCAGGTCGACCGCATCGCCCAGCAGGCCGTCATACAGACCCAGCTTCCGCAGGAACCAGCGGGTCTGCAGCAGTGGGTTGGTGATCTCGCTCCCAAACACCACTGCGCAGGTCTCGCAGCCAGACACTCCCATGATCAGGGCAATCAAGATGCCCAGGATGCTGGCAACATGGTGTGCCAGCATGACTGGACCCTCGGTGTGGTAGCACACACACCAGCCAATGTCAAAGAAGAAGTAGCCGAGGCAGACAGACAGGGCCAGGACCTGGAGATCAGTGTTCTCTGAACCTGGATCACAGAGAGAGCAGAATTCAGAAAGATGCAGTGAAGATGAGTCTCAATGTTTTTGAGTTCAAGTCATATTTTTATTTAACAGAACAATGGCCTCAAAACTGGATCACAGCTCCTTATGAAGAAGCCAGGGACAGAGTGAATCTGAAAACGGTTAGGGCTCAAATTTAAATATTATTTTCTTGACTACTGACCCGCATGAGTGAAAGGCCATGGTCCGACTATGAAGACCACGTAGGCCATCAGCAGCACGATGACGAGGCCGTGGCACAGTGTGACCAGTCTGCAGTTCCACTCTGGGCCACGCTGGGAGAAGGTGCAACAGAAGAAGATGTAGAGACACAGCCAGCCAATCAGGCTGCAGATGACCTCCACTACCGCCATAGGTCAACACCTGGAGAGAACTATAGTAATTTCATCAACATACTGTACTGTTCTTTACTATATTACACATCGTATTGTACATATCGTATCGTGTTGTTGTCAGAATGGTTAGCATTTAATCATTAAAACGTAAGTGGGTAGGCACCAGCTACCTATGTATTACTGCCACTTGTTGGATGGAAGTGAATACTACATGAACTGTGTGTTCAAGCTCACTGTTAGCAGATTTAAAAAATAAATAAATAAAAATGAATTGTCAAGTTTATATTTAAGCATAGTAGTACTTTACCTTAACAACTCCTCTGCTAGGTTCTTCCTAAGTTCTGAACAAAAAACCAGGTCCCAGGACTCACTCCATCTTCGTGCTTCATAAGAAACAGTACTTGTCCCGAGGCTTTTAGTTCAAGTTCATCACATCAGACAAGACAAACACACGTTTCCTGTGGCAGAAATACCAATGAAACGCTGCCTGGACAGAACTACAGACACTATCAGACCCTGTGTCGCTCACTTCAACCCTGGACCTGAGACTTGATCCTCTTAAAGGATTAACGTAGTCTTGTCTTCTGTGTAGAACCCTGCTGTAGGACAGGCCCAGTCAGAGGAGGCTGCAGAGCAGCATCTGAGTTAGAACATTTATTATCATTATACAATATTAGAAAACACATTTTTATTTCTTCTAATTATTAACCAATATATTATATCTTCATTTCTCTTTTAAACTTTTAAATTCCTTCGTTTATTTTTTATTTTGTTTCATGTTTAAAATTGTTACAAAAATTATGTGTAAGTAATTAAAAGAATAACAGAGTGATGAAAAACATGTATTAAAGTCTAATGTATTTGATCAATTTGTATTAAGGTTTTTTAAAGTGCATGTATTTATTTACAATCAGCTATAATATACAGTCTTTATATTGTATATTATAAATATGTTTATTCGTATTTTATTCAAAACACATTTCAGCTAAAAAAAAGAAAGAAAGAAAGAAAACACATTGTTAAAGCACAGACACACAGCTCATTGGGTGCAGTTAATAATGTACATTATATTTAGTCCATTACAATCTGTTTGTTTACATTTACTTCAGTTTAGTCATTTAAGTTTATTTTGTACATTTCATTTAACAATAAAAAACCCCAAAATAAAAACTAATGTATGCAGTGTGTGTGTGTGTGTGTGTGTTTACAGTGGTGCAGACGTCTGATGCAGTTAGTGGTGGTCTCGTCACTAGGTAGAAGAGACAAGAGTGATGTCACAGACTAAGGGGATTTGTGAAAATGGACAGTAACATGTGGTCATGTAGTGTTGTAAAAACTGGGTTTGTTTACATTTGTTTTTCCTCTCTTTCACCAAGGCTTGTTTTTGCTACATATTATTGACATGAACTGTTAAAAAAAATGACTGATTTATGATTAAATATTATCAGGAGTTTTTTCTGAGGCCACTTCCAAGAGGAGGGTGTGTGTGTGGGGGGGGGGGGGGTACAAAGAGCACCTCTCAATTCCTCACTTAGGAGAACCATTGAGTAGGCATACTACTAAAAATGTACTTTCAGGTGCAGTACCATGATTGGCCAGCAGGGTCAACAAGAAAATCTCTTACTCTATGCAAACAATCATCTTTCACTTTAACCCAATTTTAATTAAATTTCTTTCTTTTTTTAAAATATTTGACTTAAAAATATCCAGGGCTGTGATTGGATGATAAGAACACAAGTAAACCAATGAATCCACAAGGTTTTTTGGTGAAAAGAGTTGGAAAAAAACTCTTAAAACTATAACATGGTAACTTTCACATCCATTATTTTTTAAATATTCATAGACAGTAGTAATTTAACAATAACAGTGGTGGCGCTGTTTGACAAACCAATCTCCTCAGTGGCAGTGTTAAGCTAAAGAAGACTGAAGATCATGACATCCTGTACAATTTAATGAACGTTTGAAACAGATTAAAAAAAAGAAAAAAAAGCAGATGTGTTTTTTCTTTCTTACAGATTTAGCGTGTCTTTAACGGCTGTATATATTGTACTTCAGTTTGGCGTGCTTTTTTTTCTTTGTTTGCTCTAATCATCTCTAATGACAGACATTCAGCAGTGCCTTTTTACCGTACTTGAATCCACACGGAGTCACGCTGACGAAGTCTCTGTGAGGTCGTCAGTGCCACTTCCACACAAGTCACGACTCGTCTCGACTCGACTCAACTCTGCCCTTTTTTCCCATATCCAGTGTTTTAGATTATGATGACGATAAAGTGACTGAATTATCCTTAGGTAATTCCATCGTTTTTTTGTCTTTTCCCAGAGGAAATTGCCCCCCCTGCTGGTTTCAGAAATTTAAAGTGGAGGAAAAAAAACACCATGGTCTCCACTGATTGTCATACAGTCTGTGAGTGCGGGTCTGGACTGAGGAACACTAGGATTGTTCCAGAAGATCAAGAGGTCAGAACCATCACTGAATCCCATCTGGAAAATGTTGATTAAAAAAAAAACACACGCATGTGTTAGGATTTAAGTAGAGTAATACTACAGAACAACTACAACAAAAACTGTTTACTTTACTTTATGCTTGACTCAGTGTTAAGGCCACATCCTGTATGGACAAACCCATATGGGTTCAACCTTACAGCCTACATTTACAATTGTTGTCTTGGCAGGTAAAAAAAAATAAAATAAATAATATTAATAATAATATTAATAATAAGTCTGATGAAACTCAGGAGAAAATCAACCCACCATTGTTGTCCTCTGAGTCGGTTGTTGGGTCACTGTGCATTTGCCTCATCTCATTGTACTTTAGCTCCACCTCCTGGACATTTGTGGTAACAACAAAATACGGTTAAACTATGTTTTAAGAAATACAAAAATCCAAACAATAATGGGTTGAATTGTGTTGCTCTCTACCTTCAGGTGCTGTAGGTCAGCCTGTAGGAGGCGCAGGTGCGTCATGAGCTGCCTGCTGAGGTTGGGGCCGGTGCCCCCTGTCTGTGAAGACGAGGACAGCAGTTTTCTCATGTCAATCCCAGCATCAATTGCAAAACCTCCGTCGTCATCAGTGCTGCTCTCCTCAGAACCCACATTGAAGTCCAGAACCAGGAACCCACCTGGAGGAGGACACAAGTGGACAAAGAAAGACAGTGATTTTGTTTGAAGAGAAGCATCACGTTTCTCTACATATAATATTTGATTGCTGGTTAGTAAAGTCACCATTGTGTTCAGTGGTTTCACTCAGGCCTGTGTGTCCAGAGGAAACCTGTGGCTCGTCCTTCTGTGAACTGGTGGACGACTGGTTCTCCTCACAGGCAGCAGGAGGACACGCTGGACTCTCAGCTGAGGAGTCATTCTGTTCAAACCCTCTGATCCTTTTCTGCACTAGTGTCTCCTCCTTCTCCTCCTCGGCCTCTCGGCTCAACATGTGGTTAAAAAGCGTATTCTTCAGCAACGCCACTGAAACACACACACCAAATAAAACATCCCATAATACAAACTTTCTGACAAAAGTTTGTATTATAAACTTTCTGATAAAGGCTGCTCTCACATGTCTGCAGAGCTTCTTCAGCTTTGGAGGTTGGAGGTCCGAGTCCGAGTCCTTCAGCCTCCTGGTTTCGACATGACTCCTCCTGCTGCAGTCTCTCTGCCAGCTTTCCATCCAGGAAGGCTTCCAGTTCAGCTTCATCCAGCTCCTCCTCCTCTTCTTCCTCCTCTTCCTGTCTCTCTGCCACAGTCAGCTCCTCCTCCTCATCCTCTGATTTCAGGCCGTTGAAGGGGTTGATGCTCGAAGGTGAGGCTTCGATGTCTGCAGAGGAGGTGGTGTCTTTTTCTAAATGCATGTGAAAAATAAATTTAAAAAGGATAAAAATACATTTAAAATCTGAGAAAAAAAAGATAAAATATGTTTTTGGAGAGATTGTAAAATCTAGATCTAAGAACTAAAACATTTTTCAAAGACAAAAAAGTTGAAATTACATTCATTTTTTGTATTAAAAATGATTTTGTTTGAGAATTCAGAAAGTCCAGTTAAGGGTTCACCTCCACTTGACGACGTCTCACTGGGATCTTTACCGTGGTTGATGATCTCAATGGCATCTTGTTCAGCCCTGAAACAACGAATCACACACATCACAACCAGTCAGAAATAAGTAAGAAATGAAAGTGAAAGTGGAAGGTGGACAGCACCACAGGACAGAGTGTCAGGACTCACTCAGACTGAACCACAGCTGTGACGCTGCTGTGAGGTTTGGCCTTCATGGCCTCAGCACACTGTGTGATCAGACACTGCCACCTGGATTCAACGAGACGAGACGGGATTAAACAGAGACTCACAGAGGACCCCTGCTGGTCACGGTTGAAAACTCACCTCCTGCGATCAGACACCGTCTGAGCCGTCAGCTCGTAGATCTGAGCGCCGTTATCGGACATGGAGAGCACAAAGAAAGACTTGTTGTCTGGCGGAGAAAAGAAAAGTCTGATTTTTTTTTTGTCTGAAAAGTCTGAATTTGTTTTTTACATTTTAGTCTGCACCAAATCTGTAGAAAATATTGCTGATTTACAAACACATACCATCATGTCAGAGATTCACCGCTAGCTTAACTAACTGTATTAACTGTATTTAATTAATCTATAACGTGACATACAGTACAGTACAGTACAGTACAGCTTTAGTCACATACCATCATGTCAGAGATACACCGCTAGCTTAACAACTGTACAGTACAGTACAGTAGAGTACAGTACGGTACAGTACTGATGAACAGCCAGGGCTGATGAAACAACTTACTCGTGGCCACTGGACGAACCAGCACGGTGTTGAGTTTGATGACGGGGCTGAAAACGTGCTTTGTGTCTGCAGCGCTCGCCGGGTTCTTGCCGTGGAACTTCAGGACCAGACGCTCGTCCTGCTTCTGAAGTAGCACCAGGATGTCCTCCAGCAGGAGAGCATAAAGCTCTGAGGGGGGAGAGAGGGGGGGGGGACAGGATGTGTGTGTGAGTTTATAAAGAAAAATGGAAAAAACAAAAATAATCGAGGTAGTTAAATCCTGTGGACTTGTTAGTTTTACCTATCTTTCTGTCTTTATTGACCTTCCACAGCAGAGGACCCTCGTGGACCATGATCCTCTTGGTCAGGTCCAGATTCTGCAGAGACATCACATTGACTCAAAACCTACAGTAAAATCCTCACTCTCCAGTGTAACTGTCGGCCGAGGCTGGAGGGTTAGACCGTCCTACTGTACCTTCAGCTCCAGGATCATTGGGTTTTCACTCTGTTTGAGTGAGGACAGATCTAATCTCCTCTGATAGTCTTCTAACCTCTGTAAATGGTGAAAACATCAGTTATCAAGTGAAAGTCATTGAAAACAGTTCCTCCTGTGTTTGACTTTGACTCCGTCAGTGTCTTCACCTGTTTGTTCTCTGCCTCCTTCACAGCCTGGTTCACGTGGTTGAGGATGTTCTTGCAGCATTCACCAGCTTTCTTCACCTTCTCTTTGTCCTCACCGTCCTCTGTAGACAAAGGGACGCACCGAATAAAGAAATCAAATGATTTTTCTTTTTTCTTTTCTTTTGTAAATGATTCTATTCAGTACTTCAGGTCCAAGTTGTACCTGTGTATCTGGCGATGTTCTCCAGCAGGAGCGGGTACTTTGTCAGTCGCTGCATTTCCACAGGAATGAGGTCTTTGAGCTGCAGCCGTCGACACAGACGGTTACTCTCGGCTTCCTGAGGAGACGATGGTTGTTTACAGCAACAGTCAACTTTCAGTTTATGTTAAAAATGAATGTCACTCAACCTCTGCCGTGATCTTCTCTCCTGCTGCACTGACCTGCATGAACAAGTGGAACCTCTGGTCTTTCTTCTTCTTAGTCTTGATGAGCTCCAGAGCAGACGGTTGGTTACTGCAGAAGGTACCGACGGCCTGTTTGATTTTCTCCTCCTCTTCACCGCTGAACTGGAATCAACACAAAGACATGTGACGTTTACACTTTTATTAGGATTTTGTTTGAATTGTTTTTGTGTATAATTTATTGTTACAAACAGTGGAACGTTAATACATGCGCTCTGATGCAATAAAACCTAGTGGCGGTATTTACCCATGACAGAAGATCGTCTCCGATCTGGTCGATCACTGACGTCTCACTCCGTTTCCTTATCGCTGTCATTTGCTCTGTTACTGAAACTGTGGAGATGGAGAAAACGGCTGAAATGAATCCTTTATTATTATACAAGTCATTGGAGAAACCTTTTAAATGAGTTCCTACCACTAGAGGGCTCCCAGGAGTAACACAAACATAAACAGAGAAAAATCATAAACTTACACTAAAAAAAGCTACAGTTCACCTTTGGTCCCTCTTGGTTCCATAAAATAGTTAAAAGAAGAGTTTGTTCTTACTCTTCTGTATATATGTTATACAATGTGAAAACCAAAAAATAAAGTGAAAAAAATATTTTGGCTAATTGTTTTTAAAACCATCACAAGACGTTAAAATATTTCTAGACAGAATTAAATGGGAAGTTTATTAAAACTAGAAAAAAAAAGTTTCAGAGCATTATGTGCATTGTAGAAAGACTTTAGGACAGCCAGGTGGCGCTGAAGTTAAGAGATAGGACACCGTGTGTGTGCGTGTGATGTTACCATGCAGCTGGACGATCTCCTCCAGGTTAATGAAGATGTGTCTGATGTCCTCAGTGGACAAGATTCCGTCTCTGTTCAGTCTCTGGTAGAAAACGCTGTCCATTACCTTCAGTGTCCTCAGGTGGGCTCTCTCAGTGTAGAACAGCTCTGGACAGGAGGTGGACAGATGTTCACATGTCAGAGAAGATTCTGTAATTTCATCATGTGTACCACGTGCCCCGCCCGTGTCTTACCGTTAATGACCTCCTGCCGTTTGATCTCCTGCGGCGTGAGACTCTCCAGAACACCTCTGCTGACCAGACACTGCCAGTTCAGTGGCTCTCCCTCACACTCCACCTCCCCTCCCTGGTCGTCCTCACTCTGGATGTCAGCTGACGTCACTGCACACTGCATGTCCACCCTGCTGGACACAGGGACACAGAGAGAGAACGATGGAAGCAGATAAATAAAGTGGAATTTAAGGGTAAATAATAATTAAAAGTGATTTTTTTTTTTCTTTTGGAAAATACTTTTGAACCAATATTTTTTGTTTCTCCCGTTGTTGTTAAAATAAATTTAAAAAAATTTGACAGTCAGTTTCCACCTGAACGTCTCCTGATCCTCCTCCTGCAGCTGCTCCAGGTTGGAGGGACTGAAGTCAAACTGAGCGTTGATGGGACTGAAGACATTATCCTGCTGCTCTCCAGTCAGTGGACCCTCACTCAGTCTGGGCTGGAGGGGGAATGGAGACACATCTGGGAAGAAAAAGAAGTGAGGTTGCAGCAGACTCAGGTAGAACATCGACGTCCTACAGAGAAACAGTTTCTCACTTGAGTCTGATTCTTGTCCACTCGTATCTGAGGCCTGAGTGGTGGGGGAGCTGTGGGTGGGAGAGGTGGCGGAGAGTGACAGATGGGAGCCGGTGTCCGAGCTCTCGCTGAGCTGACTTGCACGGCCTCGTCCAGAATTCCCGGCAGAGGAGTCCAACTGTTCCAGGGCCCCTAAGGCCGGCTGCGAGGACTGCTTTGGTGAGCGCTGCTTGTTAATGTCCATGGCCTTACCGACTGAAGAGACAACACACACAGGATCATAATTTGTTTTAAATAATACTTAATGTTTAAGGACCTTACCAGAGAGGTTTGCTAATTTTTTTTCACACCTGAAGTGGAGTCCACTCTGCTTAGGCGCCTGGGTGGGACGAGGATATTGGGGAAGCGAGGTTTCTTCACCTTCTCCTCACCCTCCTTCTCAGACTTGATGCTCTTCTGTTTGTTACAACAGCACATGATTACATTTTGACTCATTTGAAATAAAATGAATGGTCTTTTTTTGGATGTGACTTTTGACTTCACCTGTAGTGACACAAACTAACCACAAGAGGCAGCAATAGAACAGCAATTTGCTTTGTGCTAAACTTCTCTCTAAAATGTCTCTATGGACTTTGGTCATAGAAAGATATATTTTTTTATATTTTATTAAACTATGATAATAGATAATAAACTGATTAAGGTTTAATGTTTGAGCCTCGTTTATTTTTCTTCTGATGTGATATTTGAATGATTTAAAGACGAGAGTGATGAGATCACAATTATTTACCTTAATCTTAGGCAGGAAGTTGATTCGTGCTCGTTTATGTTCGAGTCCACGTGGCTCCTTGACTTTAACCCCCAGATGTTTCATATATGTGAGAATCACATACTGCATGGTTTGGCTGCAGCACACAGACAGGACAGTTAGGTTTGTCATAGGTTGTAATTTTTTTCTCATTAATTAAAATGTGCATGTCAGAACGAGACAATCTGACTGATAAACATGTCAGACATTTTCAGTGCACTGCAGACAGAATGAGGTCATTTTTTTAAAAAATAAAGAAATGATGCCTTTATAAAACACGAACAGAAAGTAGAACACTTCTCAAAAATATATCAGACTGATGATGATGTCATGTGAAAAACACATGTCTCTCACCACTTCTCTTCTTCTGTGGGCAGTGATGTCAACCTGGAAGTAGGAAAGAATAAGTTTTGATGCAACAAACACAACCAAAGAAGCAAAAACTACAGTACTGTATGTCGATTGGTTTTTCTACGACATTAATACATGATGTTTTTTAATTTAAGTTTATATGATGGTTATATAACAATATAAATGAATAAAAATACAGAGCAAAAATGGCAACAAAAAAAAACTTGAATATGAACAGGGAAATTGTTGAAAAAATAAATAAAAGTGGGCCTAAAAATTGGTCACATTTGGTTTGAAATAGTCAACCATGTAGAAATAGTATAATAATATTTATAGTTATTTAACTATAATAGTTACTATTATAGTTAATAGTATACTATTTACTATACTAATAGTTTATATAAATATAGCAAAGTTCAGCCAGCAGGTCAGAAACTCACAGAATGTCTTCGATCTTGGAGATGATGTGTTCCGCGCAGGAACATTCCTTCTCTGAGGCCGACTGCTCTCTACCTGGATCCACGTCCAGTTTGGACAGCTCGTCCTCAGCCAGAGTCAGACCCATACTGCGCTTCTGTCTGCAAAGAGACGCACCAACGCACACATTTACCACACAAATACTTGATATACTGCCTACAAGGAAGCCAAGGTATAAGAAGTGGTGACTGGACGGTACCTGAAGTCGTCCAGGTTCTTGTGAAGGTCTGGTAGGAGAGCGTCCTGTAAAACCTGAGTGTAGTGTTTGCAGAGTTCCTCTGGTATTAACTCCAGTCTCCTCTTCTCTGTGAGGAGACCAACGAGAACATGATCCCAAATGTATTCTTTATTACATTTTTACAGTCTTATGGTGCTGAAGCTTAAGGCTAAATACAAACAGGCACAGGTCTGAAAACAAAGGTCTACAGTCCTGACAGATCCAGGACATACAAGCGGACATTAAAACTATAAATATTTTTTTAATTTAAATATATCATAGGCAAAAGTGTTGTGGCCGTTCTCCGTACATCAGGAAAATATGTTTGAAATAAGTAAACTGTATTTACCTAGTTCTGCTGAGACTGTCTCTGGCACTGGTACTTTCAGATTCTGCAGTAAAAAAAACAACAAACATATTTTATCACTTTACTTCATAATTAGTGTAAAAGAGTAGGAATCAGTCTGAGGAAGAGAAAAAAAAACTGACCGCAGTTCGGTCCATGAAGAGAGAGTGGAACTCCATGAAGAAGCGTCTGCTTTCTTTGGCATTGGTTTGCTTGTGCATGTCAGCGTAGAGGTAACACAGCTGACAAAGAAGTACGTCATTATTTTTTTCTTTACGATTGTATATGTATCTGGATTTAGTTGAACCTAAAAATGTTTTAATAGAATATACATATATAAGATGTAATCGTACATACCAACGGCGCAGGGTCGAACTGAGAGACCACATGATGGAGGAAAACTGCGAGGTGAGCCGGTCGGCCCTTGAGCAAATCTAAACTCTGGAAACAGCTGCACTGTCCGTTAATCTGTGACAGACACAGAAGGAAAATTAAACTAAAATAAAAAGGAGGTAACATGGTTGATATTTTTAATGTTTCTTTTTACAAAATAACAGCAAAAGAATGACAGAATATAACACTTTGAGGTTAATTCTAAATATATTTATATAAATATTTTAAAATTTAAGTCAAGAGGAAAGATCTGTTTTCTTTTCTATTTTTTATCTTTGAGTGAGATTATTTCTAATCAGCAGCGTCACACGATACCTGCTCCTGCTGACAGTCAAAGTAGTCGTCTTCTGCTCCAATGATCTGGGGGTTCAGGAGGTAGGGAGGGCTACCCACAATGCACTGGGCACTGCAGTCCTAAATGACATACAAAGATAGAACATAAATAAAACAAAACCCAAATAACACTCAAAATAAGTAGACTAAAAAGGTTTCTCAAGAAATTCCAAAAATAAAAAATGTGTGTGTGTGTGTGTGTTACCGTATCAGTGTTGTCCTCTGAGTCAGGCATCGAGCAGAGGTTGACTATGTCTCTTCGTCCAACGTCTGGGCTCTGACAGGGCGTCTCTCTTCTGCCAGGACTTTCTGGGAGGGGCTAAAACACACACACACACACACACACACACACACACACACACACACACACACATTAGGAGAATAACATTTAGGACAAATTGATTGTTTAGTCTAGAGCTGAATTGTGGGAAATCCCCAGAGACTGGAGAGCAGGACCATTTTATCTCTATTTATAGAAGCTGTGATAAAAAAGATTATTGTTATTACAAAGACGTCTGCGTAGACAGCTTTTTTAGACACTTCCTGTTGTACTTAAACTGTGGGTACAGCTACTGTACCTTTATAACAACATTCAACAGGCGGCAAAAAAGCCAATCCAGGAGTGACAAACGGTATTTTCTAGAAAAGCACTTGTAAATTTTGTTTACAAAATGTTCCCAATATTTTAAAAACTTTCTTTCAAACAAAAACCAAGTGAAAATGACTTGCCTGGCCTGTGATACTGAAACATTCCTGTGTATTTTGTCATAATTAACTTTCTATTTAAACAGGAGTTGCGTTTTACTCGCTATAAAATCGAGTAAAAAAAAAAAAAAGTGTTAGCCTGTGCTAGCTATGCTAAAAAGCAGGCGTTTAGAGTTGGATAAATCACTAAAAGCCAGACGGAAGGGTAGAAATACAGTTACTGAAGGAAAAGCTCAGTACAAGTACAAGAAGGAACCAAGTGCTAGCTCAGAAACAGCCAAAACATTAAACAAACATCAACCGAAAGTTAGCCAGACTGTCACAATCGTTATCTCTATTCATCACACTTACAGAGTTATTGTTAGTGAGGATCCTGTCACCGACACTGTCTGCTTGTGAGGTCACTGAGAGTCTACCGTCCAAATCCTCCGGCTGTCCACTCCTGGACACGGTCACATCCTGACACATGCATAAACAATAAAAATGTGTTGACATCATCGTGTCCATTTGGAATTTTTATTGCTAACTTTTATTTATTTGGTTAAAGGATTGTTTTGCCGTAAAATAATAAATACAAAAGCGCTCCCACCTCTTTGCCCAGCTGCTCCTGTAGCAGTGAGATCTGCTTCTTTATCTCCTGGATCTCCTTCAGTAGCTTCGGTCGTGGGTGCCTGCTGCACTCCTCCTCCTTCATCTGCAAGCCATAAAAATCCATTTAGAAAAATGTAATACAAACAAGAATCAATCAAAACATCCCACTGTTACACACATATACCTGTAATTCCAGCAGCTGTTTGTTCAACATCCTTTGTGAGTGGTCAGTCCTTTGGTTGTGAGTGGACCTGTTCTCACTCTAAAATAAAAAGATGGAGGATATGATTGTTCCTGTCACACATTGTGAGAAAAACTTCTACAGACAGTTTTCATTAGAAAAGAAGAAGCGAAACAGAAAATGAAAGAGTCAGAAAAGGAACAAATGTATTAAATTAAATAAATGACTTGATTACACTGTGAGCAGCAGAAACATCCAGAATCTAAAAATGTCTAGAATGAGGCTAACACACACACACCTCTTATTCTTATCAGGTATTTCTGGAACTAAATATGACTAGTGTGTTGTTTTCCTTATTTTCTTTGGAACATTTTAGACTAAGTTTAATTTCTTTATTACCATTTTTTACTTTTTATTACTTGCAGATATTTTTGGCAACCCTTAGCTTGAGGTTTAAAACATTTTAAAGGTATTCTGCCCTGATCTACTGCTAAATTAAAAAAAAAATGTTGATAAGCAAAAAAATGAATATATTCACAAGGAAATCAAATGAGTCGTTTTTTTTACAGTTACAGAAGATTTTATGAAATGAATACTTTCATTGACACAGTGCCAAATGCATTAAAACACTGACTCAGAGCAGCCGCTTCAGTAAAGCTCTGAAACAACCAGGACTAATGAAAAATAATGAGCAGCGTGGGCTGGAGCGCCCAGATAAGCTTCTGTTATCCTAAAACTTATCACAGCGTAGAAATAACAACATGGGGTCAGACCGTTGGAGGTTCTCCTCGACAGTGAATGTACAGACAAAACATAACGGGAGAGAGGAACACTCTGGACAGAATATACCGAAAATATACACAGGAAAAAAAACTTTACTGTGCCTCTAAAATGTCCGGATTTACAGATGTAATTCCTAACCGGATATTTAAGTTTTTCTTTTTGTTCAGAAATTTATATCTGTAAACATTTCTCTCTCTTTTTTTTTTGGATTTTTCCTCGGAAAAGTGTAAAAATTAAGGAAAATAGCTTTTTTTTGCATTTTTCCTCAGAAAAGTGTAAAAATTAAGGAAAATAGCTGTTAATTATTCAACAGATTCTGTCAATTATTTAATTATTTTAATTGAAATGTTTAAGAATGAAATATAAAAAGAAATCTTAAGCTTGATTAAAGATAAAGATTAAATTGGTGTGTGTGGTTTTATTACATAAATGTAAACATTTCTCATCACAGAGCTACAAAAACTTACTCCAGACAATAAAAAAGTGCCGTTTGCTCCTTACCCCATCAGTCAGAGAGGAGGTGCTGTTCTCCTGAGGACTGCTGCTGCTCCATGAGCTGCGTTGCTCTCCACATACACCAGGCAGCGCAGGTGAGAGACAGAGGGGTGGGCTGACCTCTGAACCTTCATCCTCCTCCTCCTTCTCCTTCTCCTCCTCCTCTGCCTTTTTCTGGTCCTCCTCTTCGTCCTCTTCCTCTTCCCCCAGGGGGATCTGAGGGAGACCAGGAGGCCTCCCCAGCACGGTGAGGGCTACATACGAGCCGGCTGCAGGAGTGGAGACATGAGAGAGTAATGAAGAAGAAAACCTATCAACAACCTTCAACTGTCAAACACATTTTGGTTCACTGGCCGTATACAACCTCATTTTGATGTCAAGTACAATAATAATTATAAATAACAATAAGTCCATGTTTTTCCCCTTTGTTTTCATGCAAAGATGTACAAGTATATAAGATATTCATTATTATTATTATTTATTCATATTAAATGAAATATAATTTTACAAAAAATATCCTTAACATGATGTGCATTCTTTTTATTTTCAAAATTTATCAAGTGGGCCGGATTGAACACTAGCGGGCCAGATTTGGCCCACGGGCTGTATGTTTGACACCCCTGCACTACAGCTTAAAGTTACCCAAAATGATTATCACCTTGACATAAGAGTTAAAACCATGTCCATGGAAAAAAAAACAGATTTTGAAGATGTGAAACTTCTATGTAAACACACTATAAATCCTACAGTCACAGTTCCATGTGTACGTACTCACATTTTATCAGCTTTACAACCTCAATGTGGTTTGAATGTGTGACTAAGGTCCCATTGACCTGCGGGGAGAGTGGAACAAACATTGGAACAGTCCAGACACAGTGAGAAAGCCAGAGTTTCACTCAGCGTTTAAGCAGCTTCACCTTTATGATCCGGTCTCCTGTCTGAACACCAGCTCGCATGGCTGCTCCATCTGTAACACACAACAGAGCACTCAGTGTGTGTGTCTGTGAGTGTGTGTGAGTCAGTGTGTGTGTGTGGTTGTGTGTCTTACCTTCTTTGACCAGCTGCACAAACACAGGGTTGTCTCCGCTCACCGTCAGCCCGAAGCCATTTTCATCTCTCTGGATTATCACACAGCGCTGGACCAGACCTGGACACACACACACACACACACACACACACACAGACCAATTGAAATACAGTTATAAATGAGTTTGGTTTTAAGGAGCTTTTAATGAACTTTTAGCTTGTTTTTTGAAGACCTCAAGTCATTACTTGACCATTTATAAACACCTGGGACATACTTTAAGCAACACTGGAATAGTTTTGACAACTGTTCAAGCCTAACCAAATTTTTATTAAACTTTGCTCTTCGCTTGGCAAACTTAAGCCACTTCTAGGTTTACAGCTGGCTATCTTACATGCTAACTCTGGCTATATTCAGGCTAACAAACTATGTTAAGGCTATTTATGTCTAAGGTCAATTTTAAACTAATATTTTATTATTTCTAGCAAACATCATTTTGTTACGTTTAAACCATATCTTTTGCCACTGTTACAGATAATTCTGAAGATTCAGGGGTTTATTTTAAGAAACTAGCAGCCATCTTTTGGCTGCGTTTACTCTACCCAAACTGAAATCAACCCTTTTCCCATGGGGATCATTGAAGTATTTATGATTCTGAATGGCAGATTCCTGGAAATGTGAACCCAGCTGAGTCATCCAGCTCTTGGTGTTATGACTTGCAGAGAACATCTGCATCATTTTTCTTTTATGAGGTGCAGCGACCCACAATCCCCTTCCCTCTCTCCTGCTTCCACTACAGACTGATGTGAAGGAGTTGAGAAGGTAATTGGTTTGTCTTCTGGACCTGGAGAGGGAGCCTCAAGACTCCAGGGTGAAGAAAAGGGCAGGAAGGATTAATGTCCACCGTGTAACCCAGACAACTACCTTAGCATCTTCTTCCTGAGCTGTGCCTTAGACCTGACTGTACCTTATCTTTGTTCTACTATGACAAACCCTGGAGCAGAAACAACAGGGGGATTATATCATAAAATATGAAGAGACTTTAATTTTTATATATCAGGTGTGTCACATTAAATACTTTGGGAAATTAAACAAGTAAAATTAAAATGGATCTTCTTTTCCAACGGATGCACTTCATGACATATATTTCTTTTATATCTGATTTAAAACATTTACTTTCAATCTGAAGTAAATGTATAACCATGGATGTTTGTTTCTCACCTGTTGGATCAAATTCATGTTTGACTGAAACAGCTGATTTGTCATTTCTTGGTTTCTTGTCTCCGGGGTCCTTGTTGTTGAGAATGTTTGGGGTCCTGCAGAAACATGGGATGAACATAAGTTCATTCAAATGCAAAAAAAAAAGTGTTTTCCATTAGACAACTCCTTCTGTCAACTGGAATAACCGTATGCACCGTGGTGTAATCCACAGACTTAACTAACAACAAAACACCTATCTCTGCTACGATGTCAGAGTTTGACAAAAAGAGCTTGAAATAGAGCAGAAGAATCAACAGATCAAAGTAGAAAGATAATTGGAGGCCGGAAAGCAGTGCACGGCAGCAGGTGCAGCAGCAGTAAAGCTGAAGAATCTGTGACAGCAGCTCCACTGTGTTAATCCTGAGCTTGACCTCACAGATGTGGGAGGATGAGGAGTCGCTGTTTCTCAAATCTTTCATCTCCTGTGGTTTGTCATGTGGAAGATAAAGGATCTAAGAGTCGGGAATTTTTCACTAGGGGCAGAAAAAAAGACTTCTAGTGTGGCCCCCTCTGGAAGGTTTTACTTCATTATGATGAAAAACCAAACAGCTTCACTCAAAGAAACAGGTACGTCAGCCACGTCAGGATCAGGTTTTTATTAATCTTATGACTATCTTTTAGCTTTGTCAGAGTGAATTTTGAGTAACTTTCAGGTTTTTTTTAACCATTTTGATCATTTAGGCTGGATTTTTACAGTATTTTAGGCTGGATCTCAGGAATTTCTAGACCTGTTTAAACGTTCTATCATTTAACTTTTAGACAGAGACACTTTTTAAAATGAATTTGTAATGACCTGTAATAGACTTAAAATGCAACAAGTTGTGTGATACCATTGTCAATAAACTGTCAATGACCTTACTAATTCAAAAGCATTTTCCTTTAAGGACCTTGACCTTCCACATGCAGTTTATATATATAACTGGCGAAGGCTCCCTCTGCTCTCCCCTCCTCCTCCCTCTCAGCTACTTGTTCCAGCAGAGGGGTTTCTGTTTGAGCTGCTGTTCCTCCCCTGGACAATGGGGGCCCTGGGCCTTTTAACAATGGCTCCCACGTCAGATCCAACTTACTATGCTGCAGCTTTGTGAGACAGATTCCCGGAAACGGAGACAGAGGGTTTTTCTTGGCGGCTCTCCAGTTTCCTGAATGTGGGAGAAGGCTGGGAAAGAAGTGGTGTAGGAGGAGGGAGGAGGGCAGGAAGGAGGAGGCACACCAGTGTCTTCCATGGAAGACAGAAGGAAACTTTAACTTAGTACCCAGCGTGAGTGAGTCGACTAAACTGAGGAAACCTCAAGTAAACAACAACTAGTGTTATGAAATTCAGATCAGGAGAAAAGGCTAAACTAAATATGATTTTTGTGTAATAGAATGACTAATGATAGTTACATGGAAACATTTGACACTATAAAATCCTGAAAATTAGTGAGGAGTGAATGTGATTCTTGTTAATAATCAAGTGGTTCGTTTGAAGGGAAAAACAGTAAAAAGCACAAGTTTTGGCCTTTCACAGGTTAAAACATGTGCCTTATCAAACTACAGGTTTTAGTTCTTACTGCATTTTCAAAGAGCGTACCAACTTTTACTGAAATGTATTCATAGATGCAACTACAGACACCTCCTTGTGGTCTCTTACTAAAATACAGGGCTGATTTGGTTCCTCTTTCAGTTGGGTTTTGCATATATTTTCATAAAGTAAAATGAGTTCAAAGAGAAAATGGTTTTGAATAAACGTGAATAAACTACATCTTTGACAGTCATCAAACCAACAAGCTGGGAACTAAGATTTTGGGTTTTTTTGGTGGGATAAACTTTTTTTTTTTTTTTTACAATCTGCCTCCTGAAAATCTTCACTTCAGAAGTTCAGGGTCACATTTTAAATATCCTTAAGACCAATGCTGTAGAACCATTATTAAGTCAACAGCACTAATGAGACAACTTGGTTTAATGACTGCCATATAAACAAGTTCTTCACCTCGTTCTGGCAGCAAAGAGCACTTTCCTAAGTTTTACTGTAAGGCTTGTACATAAAACTGATAATGCAATAACAAACCTACTTCTGCTCAGTATTTGGTGGCCATAAAGCTCTGTTGCAGTGCAATAAAAAATGAATGGATCTACTTCATATATTTATTCTGGGGAAACACGTCTCCTTGCTAACATGTCCAGCATATCTTCTACAGCTTGGTGCAAACTTATCAAACATGGACCAAGAAAAAAAAGGGAAAGAAAACATGCAGCGTCCACTTGGGCCTCAGATGCCAAAAATACCAGACAATTCCTCTGAGGATGATAACAGCAAAGGACTGAGCTCAAGAGGCATGGAAACAAGAACCAAACAGGAGACAGAGAAGCTTAAACGTCGAATAAAACCAGAGCTGTGCATTACACTGTACTTAAAGACGCAATGATTTAACCACCAATGATGACTCAAGTTGTAAATGTGGTTTGGTTCAACCACACCACAGCACTGTAGTAGAGTCCAGCAATGCCTGAGAGTCTGTTACTGCAGCATAAAACATTTTCTCTACTTTTCTATAACCACATCTGCAGAGATTCTTGGTAACGCAGATCATTTTCACCCTCAGAAGTTCAGATTGAGAGGTTACTTCAGTTAACAAATAAAGAAAAATTTACAAGTATCGTCAACAAAACTACAATTTCCGACGTCTGAACTCCTGCAAGTCTCAGAGGGCTGTCATTTGAGCAGGAGCTCCATCTGTTTGGTCACCAACATGCACTGATGTGTGTCCAACAGTCCTGTCAGTCCCTGAGCCAAGGGCCGGTGGCCTGACCGACATTGTTTAACAGTGATGTCAGCATTTCCTGTCAGAGCCCGCAGCAAGGTGGAAAGAGGAGGTGGGGCAGACAGGCAAGTAAAGCTGGTGTGAACACAGTGGTGTGAAAACACAGAGCTCAGCAAAAGTGGGAGACATGAAGGTAAAACTCTGCTCCAACGTTGTAGCATCTGGATGTACTTTTCTCTATAAAGGTTTTATTTTGCAACTAATAAAAAAAGAAGATAAAGTCAACCAGTGGGCCTTTTCATGTACAGTATTTTCCATCAAAAGTGTCTTTAACATTTTTTTTTTAGCAAAAACTACATGGAATTTTAACGGACAAACTTAAATACTGGTTCAAAATAAATAAAATTTATGATTTTGTAAATTAAAATTGCCATAACTACAGGCAGACAAAAAGGATGTTAAAGTCTGGTCCACTTGATAGGAAAATGGCAGAACTTCTATTTAAATTACAAATATCAATTTTGATATCTGGTTGTGCGGCTGATCAGCTGTCAGTCATCAGCTATATTTCAAATGAGAACAAGTCATTGAGGCTCAAGTTTTCTTTCTCAGACTTTCGACTTGCACACATGCACGCCAATCTGAGGCCACAACGGGAACAACTGAGAGAGTGGACCGACAGCCACTCCATGAAGGGTGATGGATGTGTGTAGTCCTTAGTTTATGTAATGTTAGTTTTAAAACTATCAGCCTGGTTACCTCACCGTGCCTTCTTTCCCCATTTTTAGCAATGTTTCCATGTTCTCTACTCTCAGTTCTTACATTAGTGAGTACAGTGTTATTGGAACCAATAAAAACAATGGCCTTTGGTACATAAAACAAAGGTTAAAACAGGCCACAGTTTTCCTTTAAAGGACTAAAAGCCTGTTCTCTGTAAGTTAGCTCTACTTACAAAGATACAGTGAGTCCAAAAAGACCTACTGAGTGTTTTAGTGATGTGAAAACACCCGAGGCCCATCTGCTCCCTCTGTTGTACATATGGTCATAATTCAGTGTCTAAACAAGGGCCATTTTTTTGATTTAGTTCAAATCAAATGTTGTTCTTTCATTGGTGGTATAGATTTGAGATTTTCTTGTGCGTTAAAGTTAAAAAGATTTGACAAAGTTCTGCTTTAGCCAATATTGGAAAGGAATGCACCAAAGGATATCCTTAAATTAGCCCCAAGTACTTGCAGAAAAAGTACTTAAAGGGAAATAAAAATCTAGCTTATACTTAAACATAACCAAAGAATCTTGAATTTATCTGCAAATATATCTAAAGACTTCACAAAAAGATGGCTAACTGTTGGCTGTTCAAAAGTAAACGGCAGCTAATTATTTAGAAAAACACAGTTATCCGAACTCTGCTTACTACCCAGTAGCAACAATGGGCCTGTTGAAAAAAAATAATTTTGGCTCAGATCCTGGACCATTAAAAAACGATTTAAGGAAAAATCTCACAGGTCACAGAAAACCTGTACGAGTGTCACGCTTGGCTTCTCCAGCTGGATTTGATCATGACAGCCTTATGGAGCGGCAGACAGAAAAATCTGTTCCACAACAGTCTCTGTCACATCCTGATGGTAAATGTGAGGGGAAACCTCACAGACTGTTGAGACTGAATTCTTCCCACTGAGAAACCCTTGAACAACATCCAATAAGTGACCTACCCACTTCTGGAGCAGGATCAACAGATGCCTGGCAACGGAAGGCATTTTCTGGAGTAAGATCTGTGGCTATGTGATGGTCACTGTCACCAGGCCCCTATTGGACAATTACGTTGTCAATCAAAAGCAGCGTCAACTTATGAACGCAGCCGTCTGTGTGCTTTATTATTAATTGTTTTAATAATAGCCAGTAAACTGTTCAGAAAAAAAAAAAGTATATTTGCCACCGTAGACTGTGATGAGACACCTCTCCCCATGTTCTATATACAGTCTATGAAATGGAATGGAACACACTACTATTCTTTCCCTCTTGATTCCACAAAGCTAGTGAAAAATTGGACTACACTGCGTCTGACCATTTGTTTTTAACTACACAATGTTCTGAATGTTTTTTACAGTGTCAAAGGAGCTGTTAATAGGAGACAATTTCCCAACCCTCCCGAGAGACGCGTAGATGAAAACTCTGCATAGAGTGCAGCTGAATTGCAAGTGAAATTATTGTTGTGAAATTGTCCAGACATCAAGTGACACAACTCATCCCCAAATGGGTAAGGAGAATAAATGTGATTAAATTCTACATATTTTACTGTTCAAATGTAATACTTGACTGTTTTTTGGGGGGTTTTTTTTGGTTTATATATATATCCATGAGAGTAACTGTCCAAAAGGTGTCACTGCTTAGGCTATGTTGGATTCCACAGTTGGAAAACGTGAGTTTTGTCACTAGAGATTAACCACATATTAATATGGTAGTAATTTAAGGAGTAAATATCAATTGACCACATTCAAAGCAGTCGTAAACCTGGTGAAAGACATGTGGTTGTTGAATTAACCTAATTATACAAAATTCACTATAAAATGTCCATTTACAACTAAACATTTTAAATTAAAATTAGTAATTTTGCAAACCAACGTTTTCCTTCTGGAAAAGTTTTAAGTCCAAGCCCAGACCCTGGCCCAACATAAATCATTACCATGCAATTTGACACAGCTAGTTTTTGACAAGACTATATTAGTGACAGGCTTTGGCATTTGATGGAAATTCCAAGTGAAGTAAGGGAACACTTTGTCATGTCACAGTGGTGGTCCCAGTGATAAAATGTGTTTGCACTGATGCCAAAATGTGGTAACAAAATGGTTGCAATCTGGAGCCCTGAATGTTTATAGGCACATTATGGGATGAGGTAAATTAGGACTAATGATGCTTTGGAGGATGAAAACGTTGCCGACACTTGATTTACAGAAGTAACACTTTAACAAGCTTTTCAAATTGCTACTTTTACATGTATGTGTACAGAGTGTCCACTGAAATTATGTAGAGAAGGGATTTGGAGATATTGGCACATTATTTTTTGACAGAGCTGAATTACTGGTTTGGCTTTGTTTCCAGTCTTTCTATTTTTCATTTTTTAATTTCAAAATTCCATTTTGGCATTGCATCTGTGATGTTTTGTGGTTAAACCACTGACAGTGACTGAACTACAGTTGCTGCAGACTGTTTCAGCTTCTTGTTCCATCCAAATGAGTCTGCAGACAGTCAAATTCCTGCAGTCTGTGTCTCTGCTCTTCAGATTTTAAACTGTATGTGCTCTTTATATGGAATTAGTAATGGAAACACAGCAGATAATCTAAAATTGGCCTCCAGAGAAGAGGCTCATTGTTCTACTGAGCAGCAGAGCAGAAGAAAAGCTCGCTCCTCTCTGCAGATTGAAGGTAAAAAAAATAAAATGACTTTGTTTGACTTCCCGACAAAGCCAAGTGTGCCTTTATAGTGGGGCTTCCTCAGAGGAAACTCCTGATGAGTACCTGTTTTAAAAATACATGAGTGACATGCACAGGATGCAATCTGAAAAGTCGGCTATTAACATTTCAGCAACATGTATGGTTCAATGACAGGAGGAGATCAAAAAATGTTTCAGGTCTGTAGCAACAAAACCCAGAACTGCAGGAACTTTTAACGTACTGTTTTTTCTGGGTGTAATTATACAGACCAGATTCTTTTTTTTTCTTTTTTCTTTTCTTTTTGATATAGCCTGTTTGTCCTGTGTTTTCTGTGGTTAAGAAGTCATATGGTCATAAATTTGCACAAGTAGCTGAGATTTTTGACCTGCTACCAGTTAGAAAGATATGATATCAACAGGACCCCTGAGCCCATCTTGTTTACTGATGACTCAATGTGACTGTTGTGTTAGTTAAACGTGTGGATGTGTCAAAGTGTCCTCTGATCCCATTGATTCTCCACCTTTAAATGTAATAGCCTTAATTTACAGGGATTTTTAGTGAAAGACTTGTTTCAGTCAATTATCATCTTAATGTTAAACAACCATGGTCTGAATTCATAATTTATATTCTGTGAGGATCATGTGAAAAATTTAGTTTTGTTTTCATACTAGGGGTTTTACGAACCCGATTGAGAAATCGTGCATTTCTCAACTGAACTTGTATTTATCAGTTTTGTATCAACGATATGCTTCAATATAATTGGCCATATACAGAATCGAAGTGTTATGCTCACATCGGCTTGCATAATAATTTATCATAACATCTATCCATAAGTATGGTCTGGTTTGGGTGGTAAAGGTACGAGACGCAATTCACTAGTACTTTTAGCCAAGCCTGTGGCTTTGTGACAAATATGGATGTCGAATTTACTAGAAGACTTATTTATATCACAAAAAGGCATGGAGACCTCGTAATGCCCTTTAAAAATAATAAAGAAAAAACATTTAATGATTTTTGGCATGAAGAGCTCGTAATGCCCTTAAAAAAAATAAAGAAAAAACATTTAATGATTTTTTTAAAAATAAGATTTGGCTGTAGTAGGGAAACTACTGTACGTGATGTAAAGTATTGTTGACGACTTTTTGAAAAACGTAATAAACGCCGAGTTTACCGAAAACACTCAGCTAATTAACATAGTAATATATATAGTGTTTCTAAAAACACACAAATGCAATAAAACTTAAAATAGGGTAATTTCAAAATGACAAATACGTTTGAATAAAGAAATAAAGTTAATAGTTATATTAATAATAGTTATATTAGTTACCTGTCAGTGAGTGTTGACTGTGTGACACTCATTGGGCTTCCCTTTGTAGTTTCCAACCACTTTATCGAAACAACATCTTCAGTATTTCTTCCTATTATCATAAATTAAAACCATCCCGTTATTCTGTTTCGTTATGTCCATCCATGTCCTGTAATGCCGTCGAATCCGTGAAGCTGTGTTAGCTTTAAACCAAAACAAAATACCAAAACCTAAAAAAATCCACAGTTCCCACAATAAAAATAACAGTGATCCTTGTCTCCACTTTAGAGTTGGTTGAATGTGTTACTTTGGACAGACTGAGTCTTCATCACAAGACACATCTGGAAGCAGGCAAGAGAAGAATCTAAACTTGCAGCAAATGTTTGTACCAAAGTTCCCAGCTGAGGAAAATGTGTTATTTTTCCATAGTCATAGGCAAGTCTTCCATGGTAGGAGCCCAGAGTTTTTGCCGGTGTCCAGGCGTTGTTTCGTCAAAGTTTGGCAGCTGTAGAAAGTAGAAAAACCCTCCTTAAATGAACTTTGTCCCTGTCGTTTTAATCATCGATGTTCCCTCTTTGGCGAAAGTGCTGCACTCTCTGCATTTTTTTTCTCTGCAGCAGCATCTTTCTCTTCCAGCTCCGTTCGTGTTTTTAATTTATCTATTTAATGCCACAGCCTCGCTTTTTGTGATGTAAGTAGGGTGAAAAAGAAATTCTTCGCCCCTCTCCTCCTTCTTTTCCTCCTCCTCTTTGCCAAAAGAGAGAAAAAAGCGGAGGAAAACCCACCTTCTATCCAGGGGCGTTCAGGAGCACATCGGAATTACAAGGTTTCGGATGTTATATTTTAACAAAACTTTACAACGTAACAAAAATCCTAAACAGAAAAGACAAACAGTTAACAAAAATGGCACAGAAAAAAATACAAGATTAGATCTTAACGACATTGAAAGGTTTCACTAAAAGCACAGCCATAACACGCCTAAGATATTAGAGACAATCATGGTAGTGTTACATTTATTCATTTTGTGTTGAGCAAGAACCTCTAAAAATGAATTGATTCACTGCCGTTATGAGTAGAAATGTAAATGCAAATTTTGTTCTGTGCATATGCTTTATGAGTACAATTGTCTACAAAGTCACCTTTGTGAGTGTATCTACATGGAAATTAAAAGAAAGAACTGTACGATTAGCGAAGTTGTTATTAAAACATGTTCAGGCAGACCTCTACAACCGTACACAACATTAACATTAACATTTATTAAACTATTCATAACAATATTTTTGTGTTTTAAAAACTAACTAATAAATTAATTATTAAACTATTCATAACAATATTTTTCAATGGCAAAAAGTTGTCTTATTACTTTAAAAATAAGTTGTGAGAACCATGAACTTCTCACGCTGCCCAAGCTGCAGGTAGGTGGCAGCAATGTTGCAACGATGTTTTTCGTCTCTGTTTCTTTTGCCCGCAGAAGAAGAAGTCAATCCAAAGCCCCGGTAGCCTGTTAGCCGGGAACGTAAACACTGCTGCATCTTTGTAGGATCCTGTCATTTTTCCATGTTACGAGTTCGTTTATTCACTAGAGTTTATTGAATAACATCCAGACAATGCTGTAACTGAGCCGAGGACGACATTGTCAGCCATGTTTGTTTGGATGTAGCATCTGCTGAGGCCTTTAAGTTTCCTTGCGAACTGATGGTAAGACATTAATTTTGACCCGGCTAATCGGCTAGGCTAACATTATCTACCGCTAACTATTAGATTATTCGTGTATATTTCAAAGTTTAATTCCATTTCGCGATCATTACACCTTTTTTAAAGTCAATTGGTCGGTTTGTTTACATGTATTTTACATGTCCGCCGTTTTTCTGCGCAGCCGTGAATGAAAGGGTTTTGTATATAAGGATAAATCGCTCCGATCCGCTGTATATAATCTGACCTAGAAAGGAAAAATGCTCATTGTTTTCGACGTGTGTCACCGAAGAAATAAATGGAGCACAAGGAAATTTAATTGATCCAGAAAAAATGTAGTGTTGACTTCTTTATGTTGTCAAGGCATTGTTTAAGCTGCAAAAGTCTAGTAGGTATTTTTTGGGCCTTTTGGCTCCGAGTGTTTTGTAGTAGCTGGGATGTCCAGTGGTGGGCAGTGCTCACTGTATGGTCACTGTAAGTCATTAAAGCATGTATTTACCGGGTGTTATAAAGTCATTAAAGCATGTATTTACCGGGTATATATATGTTGTTACATAGTATTTGTTGAGCAAACAAGTATGCAGCTAAGTTTATAAACTGGATTTTTGTGTCATCAAGAAAAACGTTTGTAGAAATCAGGGGGGAAAGCTAATTAGAATTGTACAGTGCGGGTGTAGTAGAAAGTAGTTTATTCCCCAAATTCGACTGTATTGCATGTTTTTAGAGTAAACAAAAATAAAACCATGAACAGACAAATGTTGTTTTTCTAATCCTATGAAAATAAATATACAAGTGATAAACGAAAAATTAAAAATCGTCTTAACAAATTATTTGACAACGTTTAACAAAACTCTATTATAATTCAGTACATAATTCCCTCTAATCAAAGCGAGAAACTGTTGTGATCCCTGTTGGTTTCTAGTTAGAGCGAGAAACTGTTGTGATCCCTGTTGGAAAATGTCTTTTCATCTCTCACCCTAGCCAATGATTCAGCTGGAGAAACCAGTTTTGACTGGTACCATGCCAGTGGTGTGGCCCACTATCCTTGACCTGAGCAGGGATGAGTGCAAAAGAATTCTCCGTAAACTAGGTAAAAATTCAACTGCTGCATTCATAGCAGTGTTATTAGCAATTGTGCTTCAATTAGACTGACGACTGATAATGATTGATGTGTGTTTTCCAGAGTTGGAGGCCTATGCTGGGGTTATCAGTGCCCTGAGAGCCCAAGGAGACCTGACCAAGGACAAAAAGGACCTCCTGGCTGAGCTCAATAAAATCCTTGGGTACGTGCTTTCTCCAACTACTGAAGAACTATACTGTATTATTGTAGTATAATCTAACATCTAAGATAAAAAAGAAGAGGCTACCTTAAGAACAAGAAATATTTTCCCAAAATTAGTTGGACTTTTGGCTCAGTAACAGTCCATAATGAAGCAGTGATGACTTTGATGAATTGATCTCTGACCCACTTAAGAAAAAAAGTTTTTGTGATGCCAGAATTGCTGTTTTGTCAACTGTTAATTGAAGATAATGAAATACTTAGTAGTATAGTAGAGTATTTTAAATAATATAACAGGACTTAAGACTGACTAAATATTGGAACAACTCAGGCTGGAGTTGTGTCATATTCTGATTTAACATGAACTATTCTTTGGCCAACCACCATCTGTCCAGGATCTCCACAGAGCGTCATCGTGCAGAAGTCCGCCGAGCTGTTAACGATGAACGCCTCACCACCATCGCATATCAGTGCGTTTATACCTGAAGTTCAAGTGTCAGTTATCAGACAGTTTAAATTACACATCAATTCCTTAACTGACTCATTGTCCTGGAACATCTTTTTCAGCATGTCTGGTCCCAACAGCTCGTCTGAGTGGTCCATTGAAGGACGCAGGCTGGTTCCCCTGCTGCCGAGGCTGGTTCCTCAGACAGCTTTTACCGTCACAGCTAACGCTGTGGCCAGTGCCACAGCCAATCAGAATGCCAGCCTTCCGTTACCAGCTGAAACGGGAAACAAAGAAGGTTGGTCTTGGGACTGCAGCAGTGTCACCGAGCAGCTCTTAAAGCAGATTAGAACAACAAAACCTGACCTGTGATATTCCTATTCTTCTCCTCAGTGGTCGTGTGTTACTCCTACACGAGCACCACCTGCACTTCCACCAGTGCTACCTCCACTAGTGGGACTATAGGAGTGACAGTTAAATCACCTAGACCACCCAGCCCCTCATCCAATGTCGTGGTGCTGCCCAGTGGAAGCACTGTCTATGTAAAGAGTGAGTATTTAAGTTTCATTATGTGAGAGAGGGATTCATTCAATAAAAAAATTACTGACATTTTTATGTGGAGCAAGTGATATCTTCATTACTAAATGGCATCTTATCCTACACAGCTGATCACCTTTCACCATTGGTCCCCAAAGTGGGATTGTGCATAGCACTCCCCCTACAGTTTTTTGGTAATCACTCCATTTTAACGGAAGATGTTTTAAAAGTTTCTTTCTTTCAAATGCACTCAGGTGTAAGTTGTTCCGATGAAGACGAGAAGCCTCGCAAGCGAAGACGCACCAGCTCGTCCAGCTCCTCGCCAGTGATGCTGAAGGAAGTGACTAAAGTTACACCATCAGTGTCCAAGAACATCACTGTCCCAGTTAGTAGTCCAAAGATGAGCAACATTATGCAGAGCATCGCTAACTCCCTGCCACCCCACCTGTCCCCGGTCAAGATCACCTTCACCAAACCTGCGATCCAGACCACAAACGCCACCACCCAGAAGGTGAGGGAACTTCTTTATGTGACATCACTCCTCAATCTCCTTACACTGTCTTCATATTTTTTCATCTGTTTGTTGATCAGGTGATCATCGTAACAACCTCCCCAAGCTCCAACTTCGTGCCTAACATCCTGTCCAAGTCTCACACCCATACAAACGCTGCAGCCGCGGCGTCCAAGCCGATCTCCACTGTGCCCACCCAGAAGCAGACAGTGGTCTTTCCTGCCAGCAGTAGCTCTTCAAACAACCCCAACACCGTCGCTGTGACGACAGTCGTCTCCTCCAGCCCAGCTGTGGTCATGTCAACTGTTGCACAGTGTAGGGCTTTTCTTACCCAACCAAGATGTCTGCCTAAACATAACATGCCTAAAACAGATTTTGTCCTGGTTACACAGCTCAATGATTATTGATTTCATTATTCATTGCTATGATAAATATATTTAGGGTTCATACTTCAATCACTACTTCATCAACTGCATCAGTTTCTGTGTTCTTACCGTTGATGTTCTGCTGCTGCAGGTGGTGCTGGAGCTGCAGTGAAGGTGTCTTCAGCCAGGCTTCCTTCTCCTAAGACCATGGTGGGCTCACCCTCTCAGATCCTGGCTCAATTCCCAAAGCAGCAGTCACCCAAACAGCTGCAGCAGAGCTCACCGTCCGCAGGTAGCAGCGTCGCACAGATTCAAACCACGAGCAGTTCACCCGGAGCCAAGCCCACCATTCAGATCAAACAAGAGTCAGGTAAAGATGCATTTCCTTTTTTTCCTCCTATCATTTTACTTTACCACATACTGACGAGGAGCTATTGTATTATCTTTTTGAACGTAGGGGTGAAGATAATCACTCAGCAGGTTCAGCCAAGCAAAATCCTGCCCAAACCTTCATCAGTGGCTTTGTCCAGCAGCAGCTCTTCTCCCATTATGGTGGTCAGTAGCAATGGAACCATCATGACCACCAAGCTGGTCACTCAGCCAACAGGTGGGCATCTGATCTGGTTTGTTGAATTGCTTGTATCATAACAGAACGACTCTTACAGTAACGCTTACAGTTTAAACATGAAATCTACATCTGTCCTGTCTACAGCTAGTCAAGCCACATATACAAGACCCACTGTCAGCCCCAACATTGGAGCCAGAATATCAGCCTCGGCTGGTGGCACCACGTACGTGAAAACAACCAGTGGCAGCATCATCACTGTTGTGCCCAAGTCACTTGCGACGCTTGGTGGAAAAATCATCAGCAGCAACATCGTGTCTGGTGAGGAGTAAAAAATAATTATAAAACACATCTTGCTTCAGTCAGAGGTTTACGTCTCTTTACATCAGTTATAGTGTGATATTAGAATGTTGTTTCCTCTGCTGCAGGAACTACAACAAAGATCACCACCATCCCCATGACCTCCAAACCAAATGTTATTGTGGTTCAGAAAACAACAGGAAAAGGAGCGACCATTCAAGGACTGCCTGGAAAGAATGTGGTCACTACACTTTTAAATGCTGGGGTTAGTCACCCACACACGCAGGACACAGCACTCAGGAGTTTTCTTATTGTAAGAATGTGCTTCGTCTTCATGTTTTTGTCGTGTTATCAACTTGAATGTCATTCTATGTATATAAGGTTTTCAGATGAAATGTAACAGTAAAAAACTTAGGGGTTAATTTTTTTCCTGAAATACCATAGTCATGTTTAGTTAATGCTTTATAATATTTAAGTCTGTAATTTGTCCATAGTTATTTTTTCCATCACTTAATAATTATTATTATTGGCAATGTAATGACTGTGGTATTTTTTTAAATGTCCACTTGGTGTCGCCAGAGGTTCACATTGTCAATTCGCAATGAATTCGGCGCCGTGAATCTATGTATCTCTGACTGTATGATGGACTAAAACCTGATTGGCTCTTCCTCTCAGGGTGAGAAGAGCTTACAAGCCGTGCAAGGAACCAAACCGGCGATCATTACTGCGTCCAGACCCATCACTAAGATGATCGTCACTCAGCCCAAAGGCATGAGCTCGCAGTCCGCGCCCACCAAGATCATCCCGACCAAGATCGTCTACGGACAGCAGGGCAAGACGCAGGTAGGAAGGGTTTCCCAGCAACTGATGTGTGAATGTATCATGCATAGAAGAAAACATTTAGATAAAAAAAGTTCCCTCTTTAGATTTTCCCAAACCAGTCCATATCACACACCTGTTTCAACATATCCCCAACCAAGTGAAAGTCTTTTTTTAATTGAAGTGTGTGGTCTGGAAACAAAAGAGAAAAATCCCCTGTTTTTTAAATTAACTGATGAAAGTTCTATCAGGGCTTTGGCTCTGACCTTTCCTCTTCCTCCCTTCACTTCCCTCATTCAGGGACAGATATGAGGCTGGGACCAACAAATGACTGTGTTTTTCCCCTAGAACTTGATTATAAATCTAATATGATATCAAGCGTTAAGTGGTGATTGATCAGTCAATGGGAATGATGGCAATGATTGTAACATAGACAAACTTGTGCTGTTGAAAAAAAAAAAAGAACCACGAAATTAGAGTAAAAAGTTGATTTGAAACTGCTCAAAACTTCTTTGTGTGGATTTATTTAGAATCGTGACATTTCTGTGTACTCTTTCAATGACATAGTTTAGAACTAAAGGGAAAATCCAGACTCTTGTACCGTTACTTATTTATTGTCTACATTCTATTATAACGGCTCATTGTTTGGTATTTATGTGCAGGTGGTAAATAAACCAGCTGTTAATGATGGGGGTTTTGGCTCCTGGGGATTTTTTAAATCCATTACAGACCAAACAAATGGGCATTAGTTCTGCAGAAATTCTAAAGTTTCTAATCTGAGAAACTGATATCACTACCTACACATCTTTCTGGTGTATTTCTCTGTTGACTTTTAGAGAGAAAGCAGCCTTTAAAACAAATGCATGTGTTGTTGTTTTGTTTTGTTTTTTCAAAAGGTGAATTCCGTCATATTTGTACAGCGGGTGTTATATGTCATAGGATCATAGTATTTAACTGACTTCCTCTTATCAGTCTGTTTTTTGTTTCGTTATCAAATGTTCATTTGATCATTTAGCTCTGAAAATAGTCTCATTTTTGAAGTTCGTCTAATGTCAAACTGGGGAAAATGAGGTCAGTGACTCAGTGTGTTTTGCATAACGTACAGATAGAGCGAGAACACAGATCATGATGATCAGTGCTGCGGTTAAAACTGCAATAAAGATTAGACAAAAACGGCAAATGTTAGGGCAAGAGATAGGCACCAAAATAGCTAAAAGGTAAAGCACCTAAAAGAAGCCCAACAATTGCAAAAAATGATTGTAAAAAAGAGAGCTTCAGTTAACAAAAAGCTTTTGAAATTAGTCAAATAATTTGTTAAGTCTCACGAGAGTGAAGCATCGATGAACTTCACGTGACTGTCTTGGATTTCTCCCCAGGTTCTCATCAAACCCAAACCGGTTTTTCAGGCCACAGTGGTGAGTGAACAGACGAGGCAGCTGGTCACAGAGACACTGCAGCAGGTGACCCGCTCCACTGATGTGAGTCAGGGCCAAAGCACAGGCTCGGAGGGTCACGCGAAGGAGGAGCGAGGCAGCTTGACGGAGAGCACCAGCCTAGTGGGTGAAGCCTCCCAGGGTGAGCTGCCGAGCTCAGGTTAGCATAGACACACTCTATGGTGTTGATACGGGTTCTAAAATCTGTTCCCATCATTCCTCAGAGCCGCAGCCTGTAGTGCACATAGTGACCTCCAGAGAGCAGGATTGGACCGAACAGGAAGTAGCGGTGGAGTCCAGTCCTACCATCATCTACCAGGAGGTCTCAGCTGGAGAATCTCAGTCTGCCACCTCCACCATCAAAGCTCTGCTGGAGCTGCAGCAGACCATGGGTGAGGGCTGCCAGGAGTAGGTCATGATCAAACTTATAACCTGGTTTTAATCATTTATATATAAAAAACAACAACAGTCTGTAACATTTTTGTTTTTTTAGGTTTTGTTTTTTTTACAAACATTTCGTGTTGTTTCACTTGCTTCTGTTAGAGTATGATTTATTTACTAATAAAGAAAAACTGTGATAAAACCATCGCGACTGACATGTGACAGAAACCAAGTTCAACGTCAGTCTTCTGACTTTGCATATTACAACAACATTTCATTCTCTGTCCTCTGGTCTAATGACAGACAAACAACAGTTAAAACCTACTTGGAATTTTCCTGTAAATCAAACTTGACAGGTCTTTAATCACAGGGATATTTTTGTCACCGACGGCTCTGTTACAATAAAATCATCTGTTTTTAAACCTTTGGAACTGGACTGGGGATTAGACCAGCTCCTGACTGTAAAGTCCCCGATTCACTTAGACCTGATTGGAAAGCACATTGCGATGACGTGGCGACGTCTGAAAATATGAAGAGCAAACAAACTTGGCTGAACCAAAGTCGACACTGTGTGTGTTTGTATGTGTAATAACTTTTAAATGAGTTTCTCTGGTTGAAGTTTCCAGACCTGTAAAGGTTTCATTCACCTTTGTAACGTCAACAATGATTTCATGGTCAACGTGAGTCAGCTGTTAGTAACGTTGTCGTCATCAACGTTTAGGTCTTAGGTTCTTACTTCAACTTTTCTTAACATCCCATGATCAGTTTTATCATTTCCTGCACACATGTCTGGAATCAGAAACCTTGCAGTGACTCAGTGGGTATCGTCCTTTCATTTCCTACAGGATTCAATACTACATTTTCCATTTAAAGTCACGCTGCATTTAATGCAACCAAAAGCACTTTTTTCTGAGTTGATTTTTTTTTTTTATGCCTCGCAAAGGAGAGGAGAAAATATTTATTGTTTGTAACGTTTGAAAGTATCAGGTGTGGCAGTGGCAGGATCACTGACATGGACTCACACGAGCGAAACAAAATCTCATTTTATCTCAGATACCAAAGGGAAAAAAACAAAAACTGGCCATAAAAAAGCCTTTACTGAGACCCTCAAATGCTGCTGAAGAATTGTACAACTTTTTTTTTGCAATTTGCCATGATGTTTCAAAATCCAAGTTAAAATGAGCATCACTGAAGATGTATTATTTCAAGATTGTTGGACATTTATAGGCCAGATGGTCAAATGTGGAAAGAGGGCAGACGAGAAGATCAGAAGGTTTTTGTATATCAAAAAACAGAAAGAAAATTGTCAAAAGTATCCTGAAAATATACCAGTAAAAAGTGAAATAATGATTCAGAGGTGATAAAAAGTTAAAAGTTTTCCCAAAACAAAACCAAAAAATTCCCCAAAACCTCTAAAATATCATGGACAATCATGATCCGGGGAAGAAAATGTTCAATGTGACCAAAAAACAAAGTTCAGCAACGACTTTTAATCAGTTAGAAAAACTGGTGTTGAATACAACCTGAGGCACTGGTGTTACATTTGTGTTTGTTGTTGCTTCCTGACAGTCAAGGAGAAACCAGAGACCAAACCGCGGCAGCACACCATCGACCTGAGCCAGCTGGCCGTGCCCATCCAGCTCAGCCAGGAGAAGAAGGTCGGCCCAGATTCTCCCAGGCCATGTTCCGAGTCTGAACCCAGCGCTGAGCTTCCCCCAGCAGCTGCTTCACACCCCCCCCCTGACCCCCCCCCCCACGCCCACGTCACCCTGTGACACAATGACATTAATGTTTGTACTTCCTCCTCAAAGTTTCAGTGGAAGTTTTACATGGAAACCTCAGCGTTGTGTGTGTGTGTGTGTGTGGGTGCATGTGAGTGCCTTCACTATGATAATCAGCTGACAGCATGACTCTGATTTCCCCTCCCTGCAGCAGGTAAAGTCTGCAAAGTGGGCGTGGCTCCAGGGGACGACGGCTCCAAAGCCGCAAACGCATCCTCCGCGGCAGCCACGGCGTCACACGTTAGTCACACGGTAGGTCAAGAAAGGAACGAAAAATAAAGTAATTGACCGGCTATCTAAAGGTCAATGACAAAGTACGGTGATTCTGGAATTCAAATGTGTTTGAAAACGTCTTTAGAAACTTTCCGTTATTGCTCAGTTCACTCCAAATACAAATTAGAGGCATTTTATAGAAGTTTTATATTTAAAGTTTTGTTTTTATAAACAAAAATATTCAGTCGTTTGTGGTGAAGAAGCAAAGGAACCGAAATATTAAACATTTCAGAAAGGACTGAAAATGACCTGTGGTTTTAGACGTGGAAAATACTGACGGTAAAAAATAAAAATGTCCTCAAATTAATTTGGCTCAGTGCCTGTAGTTGTTATCTTTAGCTGAATTTGGATCATTTGCTCCCTCCTCATCCCTTGTTTTCTGTGTTTTCCAGCCGTCTGATGGTCAGAGTAAACCTGGGCCAGAGGTGACGGAGCTGGAGGGAGACACGCTGGATCCTCAGACAGGTCTGTTCTACCGCTCCACCCAAGCTGCTGCAGAACCAGTGAAACCAGCCCACCAGTCTGCAGTCGCTCAGCCACCAGTCGCGGCCCAGACTGAAGCCGAGCACAGCCGACAAGGCTCCATCTCAGCCTCCACCTCCAGCCAGGCAACACCTCCTCCTCCTCCCCCGCCTCCACCACCCCCACAACTGCAGAGCAAACCCCAGATCAGCCAGCCGGCCTCGTCCTCCACCAACTTCCCGTCCACTCCTCCTCTCGCCAAGAAACTGCCCAAGCTACGAGAGCAGAGTCAGGCCAAACCCCAGACCTTGACCCAGAGTGCCAAAGACAGACCCCCAGCTGCACTGGTCCAGGCTGGGCCAAAGGTCACCTCCCCGGGAACACCGACAAAGCACTTGGTGACCCCACAGCTCCCCAAGCTCCAACAAGCACCGACATCCCACCACCGACCCCTGCACACGCCCATGTCCCAGCCCCCGCCCCTGCAGGCACACCACCCAGTCAGTACTGAAAAGACCGCATCCAATCAGGTCAGTGGTACCAAGGTTCTTACTAATAAATGTGATATCATCACATCATCATGAGTTTAAAAAAAAAAGAAAAGAAAGAAAGAAAAAAAAGCAAAAAAGGACTTTTAGACTTTTTCTTAAAACTTTACAAACATCAAAAGGACTTTTTGACTTTTTCTTAAAACTTTACAAACATCCGAAGTACACTTTGATTTTAATATTTTTTCGTAGCCTTTTTCTTTTCGTAGCCTTTTATCAGTTATTTCAAGGCTGCCCATTGGTCAAACAACTCAAACAGCTCCAGAAAAAAAACAAACACACATTTAAGACATATTCTCTAATAGTAAATCAACCAAACTAATTAAAACCCATTTGATTCCGATAAATAAAACCTTCACGTGGCGCGGTTGGACGTAAATCAAAGTCAGCAGCATTCGTAGAACCGTGAGGTCAGACCGAAATGTAGGTCTTGTTTTCAGTTACAAACATCTGCTGCGTAAATCGTCTGTTGTTCTTCTTTGAGACAAAAGAAAAACGTGATTCTCCAAATATGTAGCAAGAAAACTCGAAGCAGCTTTATTTTATTTTCTCAAACTAATAAATGTGAAACAGAAACAGAAGAATTTAAAAATGGGAGACACACTTTTTTTTGACCAAACATGACTGTTCTTCTGCAGAATAAAGTCCATGAGTGTCAACAGACACAGTTGCTTGTGGTTAGCGTGCCAAGCTAATACCAGCTAATAACACACATTTATCATTTTTGGACGGACTCAGATGTAGAACTCTCCGCTCAGGGAGGCTGTTGAGTTTTAGCTTATTCTATCTTTTACAGCAAAACAACATGATATCGCTGTCTTCTTCTGCCCATCACCCAAAAGGGCTTTTAAGTCAAATTCCACCTCTACTGTCCTCTTGTGGAACGCAAATAAATGACATATGTGCTGTGGAAAAAACAAACTAATCCACACAGCCCAGTTCAACTGTGTAGGTCTGAAAGAAAGGCCAAAATTTCTACTCATTGTTTTATTTTCCACCACAACAGCCAATCATCACGCAGGGCGCCACCGTCACTAAGATCACCTTCGGCGGTTCCCACCATTCATCGCCCGTCTTCAGCAGCGGTGAGGCTGCTGCCAAGCTGGTCCCGGAGTCCAGCTCTGGACCGCCAGGAGACAAGTCCTCGGTGTCTGACATCCTAAAGATCTCCATGATGGAAGCGGAGATAGACCCCAGCATTGAGCCCATGGTGGTGGACTCCTCCAGCGACTGCGGTCCTCTGGGGAAAGCTCTGGGAGTGCAGGCGGTTTCGGGGACCCTGGACTCGGGCCAGTTCATCAGCAGCTCCGGGGCCGCCATCCATCACGCAAAGACGCAGCAGTTCAGCCGCATCTCGGGCCTCGCGGTGCAAAGGAGCAAAGAGGACGTAGAAGTTATCGAGGTGAGACGCAAAAGTTGAACGTAAACCACTGTTACCAAAGTCTGTAGAGAACATCACTGCCAGAGCTGCAGGTCGACTTCTGCTTCAGTTTGGTTGGTTATTGTCACTACGGTGAAGCCAAAACATTTTCGTAACTTCAGATCATCAAGAACAAACTAACGAAGGCAGCAGGTGGTCAAAGAAGTTCTCTTTGATGTTAAATTGGTGATTTTATCAATGGACTTTGGTGCAGGTGAGGTCAAAGTCAGGTTTTTATTTGAACAACAAAGTCTGAGGTGTGGATTTCATTAGCTCAGCTTTCTCAAGTTCATGAATCACTTTCTTCACACGTCAACACTGACAGCCATGTTGTTACTGTCGGTAACGTCCATGTCTAATGCTGTTACACAGCACCGTGGGTGTTCACTACGGTTCGTGGGAGAAGTTACCTTTTAAAAAGTGGAGTTTTAAAGTACAAGTGGATAGGGAAGCGGAAGGTTTGAGGTTCGAGTCCATCAGCTGCCAAATTACCACTGAGGTGCTCTGAGCATGGCACCGTCTCCACACACTGCTCCCCGAGCGTATAATACTGCCCCCTGCTGACTTTAAATGATCAAAAAAGTCCTGAAACTTGTTCCAGAGGACAATGAACCCCCTCTCCTCTCCTCTCCTCAGGTCATTCCTCAGTTCTCCATTCTCCCAGACTCCAGCCAGTCCAACGTGGTGGTGGAGCCCAGCGGCTTCCTGGAGATCACCAACTACACCAGCCAGCAGCTGGAGGAGGACAGCCCCATGGAGCAGGAAGTGGACAGCAGCAACGACGAGGCGATGGCGGCCAGTCCTCCTCCCCGCCTGTAGACTGTTGACTCTTTTTTTTCCCTTCTTTAGTTGTGTAAAATATTAGTTTGTTTTTTTTAAACTCTTTCTTCTCCTGCTCAAAACCTAAGGACACATGTGGTTTTCATTGGCAGCGAGGAGCGCTGCTCGTAAAAACCAAGGGAGTGAAGTGAAGATCATTAGTGTAAAAGTTTGGACGCCGGCCTCTGGAAACACACCCGCCGTGGTTACAGTCGCCGCTCGTTGTTGTTACCTGGAGGATTTTTATTTACACGCTTCACGTCAAAGACATTTGGAGAATTTTTTGTGCCACTTTTGTCCAACGTTTCAACAAAAAAAAAAAAAAAAAACAAAGTATTTCCTGTAAAATAACTTTCACATTTTTCTAAAAAGTGACTTCTTCTGTTTTGCAATGGAAACTTTTTTGGATGGAGTGCAGATGAACACAGTGAAGAATCTCACCGTTTTTGGGATTGATGGATTCAGGAAATGTTTGTAAAGAAGAGGAAAAGAAAACCTCATGACACTGTTGATATAAAGAAAATGTCACGTAATAAAAAAATAATTTCAGTCAAAATGAACTGTCTTTTTTCTAAGATTCTTTTTCTAAGATTCTCTTAAAAATGTCTTTGGTTTAATTTGATTTTCAGAACATGATTTATTTATTTAACATTGTGATCTATGGTCTAAATTTGGTTTAATTTGATTTTCAGAACTTGATTTATTTATTTAACATTGTGATCTAACAAAGAAAAAGCAAGAACTTCTCGGTCGTTTTCATTTGTCTCTTTTAAAACAGGTCAAAAACTTCACAAGTGGAAACTTTTCAAACCTTTAAAAAGGTTCACTTATTTCAGGTTTAAAACACGTCTCTAAAATGGAAAGTTAACAAATTGTTAAAAAACAAGTTTCCTTTCATTAGTCAGCTGTCGGAGGATTTACGGCTGGATTTGTCAGAGAGACGAGCGGTTCCTCGTCCTCCTTCGTGAATAAATCAAACGGACTGGAGTTAAGAATCTGTCGGTGTTGTTTATCATGTTTAAATCCTCTTCAACCCATTTTATTTCTTTTAAACAAACAGTTAAGAGGTGCGCTGATCCATTATGAAAAAAAAAAAACCAAATCAGATAAGCCCAAAACTTTAAACAAGCTTGAGTTCAAAGTTCATCTTCACCTGACTCTAAAACATGGATTTTACTTGTGCTGAATGGAAATGAGTGAAGGAAAAAAAAACTATTTAAAAAGACAGTTTTAAGTTGCGTTTCCATGGTGTAATGGGTAACACCCCTGCCTTACAAGAGACCAGAGAGTCCTGGGTTCAGTTCCCAGAGGAACCATATAAGAGGGATGTCTGATATTAACTTCTTGCCAAAATCCGATATGCCGATATTGTCCAAACACTTAATTTCCGATACTGTCATCAACTGATATATGTAGTTGTTTTTCCCCAAAACTGCAGTAAACGTCTCAGGATATCTGGCAAAACCCAGGCATTGAGCTATCAAGGTTTTTATTATCGGAGGAAAAACCAATAACGATTCTTACCAATATCACGTAATTATTCTAATATCGGACATACCTACCATATATCCATAATGGCGCCTCCGGTGGCAGCCTGTGTCGGTTGTAAAGATTCACTGTGAATTTCCCTATTGTGGGACGAATAAGAGACTTGACTTTTACCAGTATTATTACATAGATGATTGAATTATTCCAGTGCTTTCACACAGAGCAGGACATTTGAACAGTGTCTCTGAACTGTAGGTTCCTTTAAGAAGGTTCTCTACACAGTGAATAAAGGAATAAAAAAATGCTCAGGTCAAATTACGGGCCCTACAAGAACAAATTGTATGTTTTGTTTTTTTAACTCCAACATCAGGATTTATTCAGTTTTATGATCTGAACTGAGTTTTTTTTATATTTGTACATAAACTTGTTCTGTGCTTTCTGGGTCCAGATATAAAACCACATTTATTGTGTTGTAATAACCATGTGGGCCAGGTTTTCATCTTTATGGGGCTGTGGGCCGCAGCCATGGAGCACTCTTGGTCTTGGCTCTGCAGACTTGTAAAAACCTGATTACGCACGTACTCACACACCATACACACACACACACACACACCAACACAGAGTTCATCTCCCAACTGGGTTTCTTCTCCTCATGTTGAAAATGATCCACTGAACCCCCGGGGCTCAGGTCCTTGGACCGTGGACCGTGATTGGTGGATGCGGACCTTAAACATGTGGCTCTATTTAACAGCGTGCTGACTTCCCTGACTTCCCTGACGTCCCCACGCCCCCTCCTGAAAACCCCACCCGGCTGTGATAATAGTGTTGGAGTCCCCCAGGACGACACACTTCACCTCCGTCTGCTGAGTCACCTGATTGACACACAGTCAGCAGAGACTTCATAAGATTTCAACATGACACACTGAGAATTGTACCTCAAAAGTACCTCAGTATTTGAAGCCGTTTTTGTACCAAGTTGTTTGTTAATTTTCTCTCCTGACTCATCTGACATTTCACGGTTAATTAATATTCACTTAAAGTCATCAGACTTCCTCTGTTAGTCTGACGCCGAGTCGGTGCAGGAACAAGTCAAGTTGTTAGGTCTGAGTTCATCTGAGATGAACGAGAAGTTGATAAAAATCATGTTCTCTTCACACTGGAGTGGGAGTTTAACAACAAAACAACATGGATTCAGCAGAAGGAAAATGTCCGGCCTCGTTCCGCACAAATAACTGGAGCATGTACCGTGAGTGTGTTTGACTGGCCGGCCTGCAGTCCAGATCTGAACCTGGGATGAGATGAAGAGGAGAACCAGACGAAGGTGACGACAGACGGTCGATCAGACCAAACCTTCATCACAGCAAATTTAAAATCTAAAAGTTTCCAAAACTTGTTCCTGTGACTTTATGAAGCAGAAACAGGGACAGAAATATGCGGACGTTGACTGTGTAGAAACATCACCTACAGTAACAGAGATCTTTCCTGTTCATATTGTTTTGGAATTTGAGTGAAAAGTCCATTAAACCTCCTCAGAGCCACGGCTGGAGAACCTACGTTCTCCTTAATCTCATCCTGACGGTCAGTAAATAAACTCTGCAGCATGTGCAGGACAATAACCCAGGGAAGTTCTGCCTTATTTTGAGTTGGTCTTAGAACCATTTGCCAAAAAGGCACTTTTTGTTCCTGCTCCTAAAACAAACGACCTAACGGTCTGAAACTGAACGATCCTGAGCCGAGCGTCAGGACTGGATGTTAGAGCTCAAAGAGAGCGGCTGTTGTTTTATTATTCTGCACAAACATCACAGGCAGGATGTTGGACACCATTGTTCCAGGCCTGTGTGTCTAAGTGTGTGTGTGTGTGTCGTGGCTAACTTAGACCACTCAAAAAACACCAAACAACAGCTGCCGGGTCCATCACTCAAACCAACAACCAAAATAACAACAGGCAGAGAAAGTCTGAGCCAAATATGCAGAGAATCGGCTGGAAACAGAAAAGGCATTGACCTCTGGCCTTTCCCATGATCCCTCAGTGATAAATTGGGATAGTGAGGAGTGTGTGGGAGCGCTGGGATTCGCTCCGTGTGAATAATATGACGCTGTCAGTACTGTGTTTGCCAGCCAGGAGACTGTGGAGCAAGGCACAGAGGAATCTATACAAACATGATGTTGGCTAATAAAAAAAAAAAGAAAAAAGAAAAAAACAAAACACAAACTACCTCAACCTTCATACACATTCATGACGACAGAGGAAAAAAATGAAAAGAAAATGTGATTTACTCCCAGTGCACGACTGTGGAGTCGGATTTTCCACCGACATACTTTGATAAAATCATTTTCCAAGCTGAGTTTGCTGGAAGAAGGTTTTTAGACCGACTCTTATTGGTCGAGACTTTCTCATCAGGGAGGCTTTAAAAGTTCATTTTTGAGACGTTTTGTGCGTTTGTGACACTCAGCACCTTCGTCACACACAAACAGCCTCAGCTTCAAGAACCTCAGGTATAAAAAGCTACTTTTACTTTTGCTAAAGAGTTGGTCATGTCCCAAAATAACAACCAAAAAAGTCTTGGTGACCCAGATCTTGCCTGGCAGCGAAAGACAAATGAAAAGAAAAAAGAAAAAAAAGTTGAGTTTCATAAAAAAAAAAAAAAAAATCCAAAGCCAAAACAAAAAGAATAAAGGTAAAGATAACACACCTCAAGAAAAATAAAAAATCACACTCACACCCCCACACACACACACACAGCCAGCTACCCACCCAACATACCCCAACACACCCACACATGCCCCTCACCCTGAAGAACAGAACACCATCTGAGCAGAGAAACTCAAACTGCTTATAAACCCTGGTCAGCTGATCATCAGCTGATCATCAGCTGATCACCATCAGCTGTGAGAGAACACACAGGTGCAGCAGTGACACCATGGTCAGTGACCGACCGACGGCCAAATACTTGGATTTTAGATCTTTAACATCAAGCAACAACCTAAAACAAACAAAAAAAAAAGTAAAAAAGGCAAGTAATAACATAAAATCCAGTGAACATCTTTATAATATTTTTCTTTTAATTAAAAAAATCAGGGTTTTTAAATTTTTCATTTTGACAATTAACGTGTTTGAGAGAAAATTTGTAAATATTTTCTTGGCTAACATTAAACATTAAACCAATAAGTTCTCACTCTAATAATCTTCTCTGTTTAGTCATCCTTATCTTAATGTTAGCTGCTCTCGGTTCTACTCCTGATTCTTCGCGGGTCGACAACGCCAGTTAGCTTTGTTGGAGAATCGCTCTTAATCGGAGAAAAACATAAACACATTTGTTTTAGTTTGTTTCCAGATGTCCACTTTTCCCTTTCATCTCACTTTCTGCTGCGAACGCTGCGTGATTTACCTCCGTGACTCAGAGATCGGCTCTGATTGGCTCTCAAACTTTCGTCTTTAATCTCTGTGTGACTAAGGAAACAGGTTGCTGTTTGTTCATGACTCCACGTCTGCTCACGGAGATGAGGAAAAGTGACTGAGGTCTGCTTCCAATTACAAGCCCTCCACTCAGACCTCCTCTGATTCAATCTCTGCCCGTCGCTCATCCCATAAACAAGAAGGAGCAGAGGGGAAAAAACACGTAGGAATTTTACAGCAGGGGAACAGGAAGCGTCTCGGGACAGGAAATGGTGCCCTCAGGCCGGGTGGTTCAGCTGCTGCCACCACTTCAACACCAACGCTCTGTTTGGTCTTCGACGTTTGGTGAAGTCCCAAGATCACGTCCACACCTGAACTGGGAGGAAACCGGTTTCCCCCAGTGCCGAGCTCCGACTGCAGTCTGTTTCTTCTACAGTAGAAAAATAAACCAGCTCAGTGTGGAGCGGTCTCGTCTGATCTCCCCCTGGATCACTGCCCTGGATTAGAGCGATGTTTAAAACCTCTGCTTTTAAAACCTCATTTGTTTTTTTGCCCAGATTCTGAGATTAAGTTCATAGAAACAACTTCACTGTTGTCACGTGTCATTACTCAGACACAACAGTAGGGTTTTTTTGTTTTGTTTTAGTTTTACTAACTTCAAGTTTTTTGGGGGAGCTAGCCCCCAATATTTTTTGTCAAAACTAAAGGAGATTCCTGCAAGTTTTTTTTCAATATGTTTTGTCAAAACTAAAGGAGATTCCTGCTTTGGAATAAATGTTGAGAAAGATTGTTTTTGGTCATTCTTCTTTGTGGTAAAACAGGATGAGCACAATCTGTTTCCTGTACCACCACCGAAGGTTAATTAGATTCAGTGACGAGTCTGAGTCACCGCTTTCCTTTCAGACTGTGAAGATAACAGCACTTTCTCAGCGTTAACATTATAATCCAACGTAAACAGAGAAAGAAAAGCAGGACTAGATGGATGAAGTGAAGGGAGGCACAGGAAATGATTACATGGTAATGTCTTGAGTTATAAGTCAAAAATTCAAACCAATGACTAATGGTTATTTTCTGGTTATTTTTAAAGCTTGCATGTCTGTTGAAAAGTCTAGCAATGAGACACTTCACCTCTCATTCCAAAGGGTTCTTCATTTCTTGCCAACTGTAGGGGAACTCTCTGTGTTTAGTCTGTATTTTTCTGGGTCTAAATATTTATTATTATCTGTAATAGAATAGTGAAAAAGAGAGGTAAACATTCTTAAAAAGCTCAGCCAATCCAAGTCCAAAATAAAGCTGAAAAACTGCGATCCGACTGAAGATACACCCCACAAAGTGAAACTTCTTTGTTCCTCGTTGAGAAATTTCCAACAAAAATTTGCTTCAACAATGCACCACATGACAATGTGGAACAACAATTCACAAGACCACTTGTTATCTGTCAAATAATAAAGGTTACGAGAAGTCAATGCAATTCTACTAAAAAACATTTTTTTTTCCAATTTGTTCCCCAAAATAAACAAGACAAGGTTTGTCATCATTGCAACCAAAGAGCTCAGAGCTGGTCCCTGATCCCGACCCTCCCTCTGAAAGCACATTTCACTGCATATATGCAGTGAAATATCACACCGCCTGAGGTACTTTTCAACCACTCCCCACTTTAAGTTCTTTCTCTAAAAAGGCACAGTGCTGGCTATTTTACCCTCTCTGTACTTCATTAATATTTCCCCTTTTAATGATAAATAAATGTGATGTAATTAAAAAAAACAACAGAATTCCTTAATGTTGAAGTGTAATTACAACAGTATAAACCAAATGGAAAAACAAAACAAAAAGGATAATTTAGCTAACTCTGTCAATCAAATAAAAACACACACAGGTAGAGAGTGTAGAAAATATCGTTTTTCATTCAGCAGAAAATATGAATTCCATGGTTGACCTCATAACAACACAGCAGACGAACGTTTATCAAACATTTCCACTGAAATGTGGATTTAAACTTTGTGAACCTCCCTGTGTGAACTCTGTTATTTTGAAACCTCAGTTTGATTCGAACTGCATCACTGATCAGAGGGAGAATAAAAACCATGTTAAAAAATATTATTCATATTTTCATATTTTCTGCCTGGAATTCTGGCATATTTTTATTCTTAGTGTTAACAATAATAAAATACAATAGAAAACATCATGTACACAAACTGAAGTAAATATAAAGTGCATACTATATAAAATGTTTTTGTTTTTGACACTAATCATCTCAGATGACTCTTAGTCTGCTTGTATTTCTTCACATATTTCAACTTCATTATATTGTAGTGTGTTTTTGTTTTGTTTTAGCTTAAAAGAAAATTACACCTTCACATTATTCTAACACTGTTAGATGAAAAAAAGTTCAATCTTTCTCAGCATTTTATCTTTTAGCTACTGAAGAAAAAGCCCAATAATAAGGCTTTAATTTTAAATTGATTGCTAAGCTAAACTGAGCTAACATAAGTGGCTTCAATATTCCAGTCAGGGTCAGTTTACTGAAGTAAGACCCTTACTAAAGACATAGTTCATTCCCTTTTTCTGTTACAATGTTATGCTTAATTCATCTCAGCCAAGTGCTAGCTTTATTGACCTAGCTTCATGCTCTCTCTCTCTCTCTTGTGTAATCTAAATTTGTGTAAATTCTAAAACTGTGAAAAATGTTTGTTGACATTTATCTTAAAGAGTCAATTTACATTAAACTGTCTTATATTTGACCAGTATTTTGTTTTTAAAACCCTACAATTTTCAGCTTTCCTGTTGAGTTGAGCTAAGCTAAGCTAATCAATATCATTCTGGCTGTACCAAAAACATTAGAACAATTCCACTTTTCTGTGGGTTCTTGTGAAACAAAAACAGTCAACAGTGATCAAGTGTTCAGTGATTTTCCTTCTACATTCATAAACTGATGTGCAGTGTGTTACCTGTGATGCTAAAAAGTTAAGCGCAAAATACCTTTATGTCAACTTCCGGGACATTCTACTGGAACAAGTGTAGTTGCAGTGTGTGGTTATTCCGTGAAGTGTAGTTGCAGTGTGTGGTTATTCCGGCCTACCAAACTCTCCAGAAATCTTTTCTTATTTTTCTTCATTCAGTCTTTTTAGTCTAATTTTTTCTTCCCAGAACCCAACACTCAGGTTCAGTCCACTCACAAGTCCAAAAAGTCAGTAGAGTCTCTTCTGACAAGTAGGTTAAGACTCTACAGGTACTACATTCACCTTTCCTTGGTGTATCGGCTTTGAATCACCACATAGCAAGTATAAAAATTTGGAGAAATCCCAAAAAGGATTTTCCGTATACTGCACGTCTTACGCTGTATAGCCTCTGTTGCGCTTTCGCTTCCTAGAGAGGCAACATTTCAACAGAAGCCCCAGCACCGCCAAGGCGACTATCACTGCTAGCACGCAGAAAATAATAACATACACTGATTCCTGACACATTTCGTCCGTCAACTTCTCAATGTTGACTGGTTTTGAAAAGTCCTTGTGAACGCAGGTCACAGTCTCAATGTCGGGAACCACTACGGCTGAGCGTTGGACCATGCGAAGGAACCCCAGGTTGCTGCAGCAGCTCAGAGGGTTCGAGCCCATGTAGAGGGTTTTGAGGGAGTGCTCCAGAGCCACCATGGTGCTGTACTCCAGGGTGACCAGGTTGTTGTTCTGTAGATTTAAGGACTCGATGGAGGACTCCTTGTTCCACGGTGGTAGAGAGTTCAGCTGGTTGGTGGACAGGTCTACGTGTTTAAGACTCCTGATCAAGGATAGGTCGGTGTTCAGCCTAGACATGTTGTTTTCCCTCAAGATCAGTTGAACAAGAGAGCGTTCCAAACCAGAAAGGGCATCTTTGTGTATTTCCAAACCTGGATTCAAGGACAGGTCCAATGACTTCAAAGGGGTGTTGGCAAAAGCATTTTCAGGCAGGGTCTGTAGATTGTTTTCAGAGAAGTACAGGAACTGCAAGTTTGGAACAGAAGTAAAGGAAACGCAGCCTGAAGGATCTACTTGGTTTTGGCGAGTCAACGATGACTCGTAATGGTTTTCTTTTGAGCCACAGATTTGTAGGTTGTTCTGCTGGAGATCCAGGTACATCATACTTGGAAGTCTTTGAAAGATTTGATGGTCCAGTGTGGTGAGGTCATTACCTTGTAAGTACAGCTTTTCCAGGGACTGCAGGGCATCCTCTCTGAATGTTAGACTCTGAAGGGAATTGTAGCTGAGATTGATGACCTTCACTGATGAGAGAAGACCTCTGCCGGTGACAGAAAACGAGCTGATGCAGTTATTACTGACATTAAGGACCTTGAGTGATTTCATAAAGTAGAAAAATGACTCTGGTATGGTTTTAAGATGGTTGAAGCTCATGTCCAAATATTGGAGAAAATATAAACAGATTTCGGTGCCTGTTTCAGGACTCCCTGAAACATTGACACTTTGAAGGAGATTGTGTGAAACATCTAGATATTTAAGCACATTGGCTCGGGGTAGAGATGGAAAGGAGAGCATTTTGTTCTCACTGAGATCGAGTTGTAAAAGGTTGAACCGTCTATCTGGGCTTGAACTCTGGAAAAGCTCCACGCTGTTCTTGCTCAGGTTGAGCATTTTTAAATTGTACAGATTGAAGTCTGTAATGCACGTAACAGAGTTTTTGGACAGGTCTAGTTCTGTAAGATTATACAAGGAGTCAAAAGCACCATCTTCAATCTCCAGGATGATGTTATTGTGGAGATTGATTTTTCTCAGGGAAGGAGTTCCACCAAATGCATTCTGTGCTATTTTGGTGATGCTATTGCTGTTTAGGGAAAGGTTTGTCAGCACTGGGGAATCGGCCAGAAAAAAGTCGGACATCCCCGTGTACAGTCCATTGCTAGACAAATCCAGGGACTCTACAGCTGTAAGAGACCCAATGTTGATTTTGGAAAGAGCAAAAACGTTGAGATAATTCTTGGACAGATCCAAAACTCTCAGATCACTCATTTCTCTGAAAAGGTCTGGTTGGATGAAGTGGATCCTGTTGGAGTGGAGATTCAGGTGATGGAAGTCACTGCGGTACGCCAGAGTTTCCTGGGTGAGATTCTGCACCTGGTTCCGAGAGAGGTCCAACATTTGGACGCCTGGAGGAAGGTCGGTCGGTGCGCTTCTGAGACTCAGGTCACTGCAAACCACATCCATCTGGACCTGCAAACAAAGACAAACACGAGCCTGATTATGTCGGCCGACTATGACACAACACAGACCAAACGTTTCAATTGGACTTGATTTATGAGTCAGTGCATCCACGGCATGTTCTTGGCAGCACTGCAGTCCTCTGAGGTTATCTGTTTTAATAACAAAAACCTAAACAAGGACTCGGTCTTTCGAAATAAATTCAAAAACCTTAGCGCCACTTCATGGTGAATGACTCCACTCCTATCCACGCTCATTTTAACATTTCTTTTTAAAAGTGAATCATTTAACGATAAAAACGACACCTCAGGATTTTCACACCAGACCAGTTTTCCTCACCCTCCCTCCCCTTTTAACTTTAACAGATCCAATGCTTTAAGTTATTAAGTGTAGTTTATAATTGAAACCACATGTCCACGGGACCTCCCTGTGCAAAACAGCTCATAAAACTGTCTCTGTTCCCTCTGAGAGGCGAGTGCACATTTAGCTTCTTGGCATATTTGCGGTATCTTGAAAGCAGCATTCGCTGTTACTTACAAGTCGACCAGAATCAAACACATTCATTTATTTAGGAGCTACTGCAGGACCAGAACGTCCTGCGTGTATTATCGGAAACAGTGCCGATAGAAAAAAAAAGAAAAGATAAAAAACACCAGGAGAACAATCAGGATCTTTTTCCTGTGAGTCTTGATGTGAGTGTGGAAGGTGTTATCAGTTACATCTTGACTCTGGCTGCTTACATTCCTGACAGTTCTGACAATCTGAGGCCCAGTCTTTGTGTGGGGTCACGTGGTCCACATGTGTTTCAAAAAAGCACATGGACTCACTTTAAGACTCCGAAGAAAACTTAGAGTTGGACACTCAATTTCAAATCGTCTTTATTTCTGCCAATCACAACCTACCTTAGAGTAAGAATCATTACCTATTATCCAGACTTGATTCAATCTACGTTCAGTCAGGCCTTTTAATGTTTTTATGTTCATTTTTGGCCGAATTGTGGCTATTTACGTGTTTGGCTAGAATGATGGCTTTTTTGGCAAAATATAATTCTTTCAGAAGTTTCAGAATAAGTTACAGAATAAAAACAATGAAAAGGTCTGGAAAACTGAAAGAATTATAGAGGATGTCAACGTTTAACGTGTCTTTTACGATTCAGCTAAAGGTCAGATGAGGCGTTGGACTCAAAGACCTGGAGCCACGGAGGCGCCTCAGACTGTTGTTTCATGTCCAGTCATATCTCCATCCTCCAGTTACCAGGCACCTCCACTCACTACATATATTACTGCCCAGTATGTTGGTAGAACCCAGGTTGACAGAGAATCTGTTTCTGACTCCTGACTCAGAGGCCTATCGTGCAGCAACAGTCATAAAAACAGCCAGAAGACCTTAAAATGTCAATTAATCCTTGGATTGACTCACAGAACACCAACATGTGAACTTGTGATTTGTATTTTACATCCCATGAATAAGGCTATTGAATACCTCCTGTCTCCATGTCTAATAACACTTAAACAGAAGTATCCCCAGGAGAGCTGACACTGGAAACTGAAGAACTTAGAGGCGTCAATCTCCTTCACCAAACTCCATACAGAAATCTTTTTGTTTTTTTGGTTCAAGAGGACATAGGAGCCGGCGGTCTCCTGCTGTCTCATTTTTAAAAAAATGTAATGTCACTGGGGTAAATAAAAAACTAATTTTTAAGCCTTAGAGTCACAGAATTACACTCATGTTTAAACTAAAACTCTCTAACTAAAAGGTCTGGACGATAATAGCATCGCTAAACACCACATTACACAAAAGTGAAAGGTTTGGTTTCACTGTGAGGCTATTTTAAGATCCTGTTTTACAACGAGGATCCCCTTTTTTGACCACATGTCAGTCATGTTTTCATAGTTTTTTTTTCTCATTTTTGTCACATGTGGCGTGGCACGTGTTTCATAAAAAAAGTTGCACCATTCAAATATAATGTAAGCTTGAATTATATAATGTCATCTATAATGTCAAGTGGATTCAGCAACAACATGACTCCTACTCCATACTAGTTATTCCATAGGAGAATCTATTAAAACAAGAAGAAGAAAAATGGAACGTCCAAAATAAGGTGTAAACTGTTTAGTATACTTTGTTACAAAATGAGTAACAAGTGTGCATGACATCATACAGCGGTAAAATGATTCACAAGATTTCCAAGTAGAAACGTAATAATAACGACACAGTTATGAAGTCATCGGGTGTCCATACTAAAGCTGAATAATGTGCTGACATATTTTTTGGCAGCAAAAGTAAAACATAGATTTTTAAAAACTGCAGGATGTAAATGACCTTCGTGCCACTTTTTTAAAATCTTAACCAAAAAGTGCAAAAGTCATTAAATGAGGTTAGACTTTTGGGAAAATCAAAAGCACATTAGTCGAATACTCGCCAAAACACATAATAAATACATAAAAGACATTTGTTCAAGGATAATACAGCAAACTGTTAGCAGCATAGCTAAATGTTACATAAATTACCTGGATGTTTAAAGATAATTGCGTAAAGGTAAAACACAGCAAAATGGGTAAATATTATAACAGAATAACCAAAATAAGTTAAATAAAAGAGAAAACAGCACCAACAAACTTAGCCAAAAGGTTAGCAAGACCGTAAAGTTAGCTATATTAATAAACAATAATAAAATGTTAGCTTAATATCTATCCCAAATCATAAGCAAATTAGAAAACAGCAGCAAGAGCTATTTTTATAGAACGTAGGTCAGTCATAAAACCTAAAGACAAAAAAGTTAGCTAAAGGACACCTATGAATTAGCTTAAAGATCATTTTTACTGACCCCCTAAAAAAAAATCGTCTGACTCACCTCTGGGTCTCAACCCACTGATTTAGAATGACGGCTGTAGTTGATGTGAAAATACCCAGATCCCCTGAGGGATTAAAGACTTTATCTGAGCAGCTCATAAAATAAACCCACACCGGATTAGGGGGAAAAAGTATTTACATTAACAGAAATGTGAGGAATGTTGGGACATAAACCTACGGACAGATTCCACAGAATCACTTATAAACATATGTGTGTGTTTCTGTGTGAGCGTGTGTGTGTGAGCGTGTGTGTGTTTGTGTGTGTGTGTGTGTGTGTGTGTGATACTCACAACTTGGCATGGAGGTAGGTGTCTGGGTAGTGCGCTGGACGCCATCACCATCAGCAGGAGGAGCAGCTGAGCGGCACTCATGGTGCTGTGGAGTCCAGAGGAGAGGAGTCAGAGATTCATGAGTGGAAGCAGGAAGCAGCGTTTCATGCTGCGAGCTGAAGAAGCAGAGGAAGGAAGAGGGAATGGCCGTACCTGCTGTATGACAGGCTGACCTATGACAGAGCTATTTATGCCCAGGGATGAAGGGACTTTTCTCTGGTACTGTCTGTGTACTACTATCTGTGATACAGCTGCTGCTGACTTAACCCGGAAGCCATGACCAAGCAAATGACAGCAAATCATTTCCATCACTTGATTCGATTGTTGACTATTGTCAAACTATTGTTTGAAGAAAAAAGCCTTTGTGAGTCATCGCTAAAAACCCCATTTCCAGAGAAGTTGGTGTGGGACCCAAGCACATAATAGATAACACATCAGTAATAAGATCCACTCTTTAGATCCAGGCAGCCTGGACACTGTCTCCTTTCCTGCTGCCATGGTGTCACCACTGATGCAGCAACATCAACATCAAGAAAATAAAATGTTTGTTTTTTCCCCTTATACTCCTTATATTTATAGCAATACCTCATAGTTGCTGGAAATCTGTCAGTAAAACGTGTGGCTGAACTGTTTGTTACTATCAAACCAAGTCCATTTCTACATGTGTTTTTCCTCAGATCACAAATTCATTAAAAAAAAAAAACAAAACAAATAAAATGCATCTGTCATTATAAGAGAATATAGCCTAATATTTTAATATTTATATTTGGCCCTAAAAGTAACTAAACTTCAAGTCCCCTTGTCAAAATAACTAAAAGATAGCATTTATGTTCATGTCAATTAAAGTGGAATTTTAACTTGAGTGTCTGTAGTTACTGATGAAACCACATCACAACAACACACACAAACAAACTACACCTTGTACATGGCAGGACTCTGACTGAAAAGGAACATTTACCTGAAAATCAGCTGATGACAGATTAGACAGAAGCTCCTGAACGTCATGATTTCACATCCTCACTGGGCACACACACACACACACACACACACACACACACACAAGGTAAAAAGCAGTAGCAGCAGCTCCTCTCAGCTGACGCTTTCCCTCCATCACATCCTGTGAGAATATCCTGCTCGGCTCCACGGAATCACAGCTCTTACCCGCTCCCACCCACTGATCATTGGGAAATGCCTTATAAGGGGATCGGACCCCCTCCCCTCCACTGTCCCCCACCTCATCTCCCACCTACTTTGTACCAACCCACCCCAACAACCACACCGTCAGTATGGTTCCACGTTGCTCCACTATGAATATAAGCAGAATCCAAATAAGCCTAAGACAAAACAAAAAACAACAAAAACAATTGGCTAAAAAAATAAATATAAGCCACAAAAACAAACAAAAAACAAAAACAACAGAAGATTAAGGGGGGTATAACTGAAGTTAGCTAAAGAGCTAAATGTTAGCAGCAACACCTTAAACAGACAAAATAGCTCATTTTAGGCCAAAAGATAAAGAAAACACTGATTTTAGAAATAGTAACACAAAACACAACACAGCTACAAGTAGTTACGTCTTTCTTTTCTAGTAAGGGAAAAATTCAGGCAGCATTTTTTTGGACAATATTTTGAAGCCGTTCTACAGGGAGAGCGAGGCGTCAGAAATATCAGTGATGAAACTTTAATGATTGTCTCCTCAGAGGTTTGTGGGTGTGCTGGGAAAGACAAAAGTAAACGCACACATTGTTTTTTTTTTCTTTTTCTGGGAGTTGGTCAGATTTGTCCTGTGGCTCAGCTGCGGTTTATTGTACTGTAAACTGAAGCCCACTGTGATTACACTGAGACAAATCAGTTTACATCATCAGACTGTTAGTGTGAGTCAGGAGGTGACAGTGTGATGAGAAAACGAAAGATTATCATTCGACTAGACAATATTAATTCATCTCAATCCTCTTTTTTTGTCCTTTTGTTCCACTCTCTATATAAATCATTATAATTAACTGTGTAAAACTAGGGTTTTTAATGTCCATGCTTAGATGTATTTTCCATCTTTTCTGTTAGTTTTCTTACATCATCAAAACAATGATGTGAAGATTAGAAATGACAAGATAAATGTTTGACAATAGCCGTTTTCGAGAATAAATATTTTGCGCATTTACCCAACACAGCCAGTCAAAATGACAATAAGTTAATTGTCAAGGGTATATTAGACATTACTAAGAGTGGCGAAAATGAAAAAATAATAACAAATATATAAACTCCGAAATTACGTCAGCAAAGGTTAAATTGGGCTAACAGAGTAGCAGAACTGCAATAAGAAATCAGTAACAGGGCAGGTGGCAGTTAGCCACAAAATGCTAAAACAAGTTAGCCATATGACGGCAGGAGTTAATTAAATGTAATTAAATATTTTACAGTCATAAAAATAAAAAGTCAAAGTATGATTCATATTTCAGTCTCATTTCGACTAGAAAATAAAGTGAATAAAGAAGCAGCCTCACCTGTTGTTGCACCTGCAGTGTCTGTCATATATAACAGGTTCGAATGGTCAATTACTGAACGATTCATGTTTTGTTTTTTTTGTTTTTTTAAGAGCCTCGCATTACACACACACACACGCTATTTCCTGGGAATTCTCCCCTTGTTTTGATCACCGGGATTCCCAGGTTTTTCCTTTCAGTTTTCTTTTCCCCGCAAACAGCATTATCTTTGAGGATATTGCGGTGTGAGCTGCAGCGCATTTTCTTTTTAATTAAATGTAAACATATTTTGCACGAAAACATCCTGCAATTGAAAAAAAGGCAATGAGCGAGAAAGACGCGGATGAAACGAGCGACAAATGTGCAAAGACCAACTGCGCCCCCTGTCGGTTAAACATAGACGGTGCAACAGTTTTATTTATTTAAAGAATGTAGTTAGATATGTTGTAAAGGAAGGTAAGAAAGTAGGATGGGTGGTTGTTCAGGTGTGTGGTATGGATTATCTCAGAGACTTCAGAGGACAGGAAGGCTTTAGTCATACAGTACAGTATAGCTTTAGCAGTATCAGCCACTCAAAGTGAAAACGGTAATGACATAAAATAACAAAAATAATGAGCACGAACAACGACAATTGACCAGGAATAGGTTTTATATAAAATTTGAACAGAGGATACAGAGGCGATATTTTGTGTATAAAAAAATACATACAATAAAAGTAAAATAAATGAATCTTGTTTTTTCTATTTCGAGCAGATGTTCAAGTTAGCTGATGAAATGCAAAAGGCACTAAATGTACAACATTCCAGTTTTTTTTAGGGTCGTTAAAACAGAGGCCAAGGTCGCACAAGGTCACACAGAGATGAACGGTAACAAAAAAGAAAGCAAATCACAGGGCGTTCGTCGTCTTCGATATGCAAAAGACATAGTGCAGGTTTTTACAACATAAAGCAAACATTTCTCTAATTACACATAACACAACTATTTACCACCGATACCACACTAGATACGTACTAGATACGACACACCGCGGGCTGAGCGCACGGCGACACGTTTACCCGAGAAAGACACCAAAATGCTGCGTGCAGGCTCAGGCAGGTCTGAGGAAAAGTGTTCATAATTTATAGTTTACATCACGATTTCTACAGCGGCACTAGAACGCGGCAGCGGGTCACGTGACGAGAGCAGCCAGAGCAGCAGTGACGGAGCGTCGCTATCCTACAGGCGGTTGTGTACAAACAGGTGGTGAGAAATAACAAACAGACAAACAAACATCACAGAGCGTAGAAGGATGGACACGGGTGGAAGACGACACGGCGCCGGCAGAACAAAGTCGTGAACAGTGGTGCCATCTTGAGCCTAACAGTTAAAGGTGGTCTCTTCGCAGTTTGGTTTGTGCTCACAGAGGCAACACTCATGGCAGTTTTGAATTTTTACACACATTCAGCAGCTGTTTCCATCCCCTGACTCTGCACTTTGGTTGGTTTTTGACAGGCTGCTGTCGCAGTTTGACTCATTCCTGAGAGCAAAGACAGAACCATTGGTGGATGATTCTTTACCTCCCACTTCACTCCCTGAACCAGTTAACCTGCTAAAGAACAAATCTCCTAGAATCCTACTTGTATGATATTCTCACTTTTACATGTTTTAACACGTTAGGCAGTTTTTTGTTTTGCAGATATAATCTACATTTTGTTAGTTCACACAGGCAGTTTTTTTTTGTTTTTTTTTGCAGATATAATCTACATTTTGTTAATTGTTAACTTAAATAGTTACATTTTTGGCAGCCGGTAGTTTAGTCATAGAGGATAGGGCTTTTATTGGGAATGGTTGCTGGTTGAATCCCAGCCTGGCAACATTGTAATGCATTAGGCAAGCACTAAAATAATGTACATGATGGAATGTTAATTGTAGCTCAGTGCTAAGATTTGACAGATGGATGAAGTGCAGAGGACAGATAACTTCTGTGTATATGTACACAGAGCAAATGCTGCTGTTTAACAGCAGCCCTGGTCACTGTCTATACCCACTGATAAATCCTGGTCACTTTAGTCACTATGGTAAATTGATACATTTACCATAGTGACCAAATTAGTGACCAAACTGTCCTGCAGGCGCCGCATGTGATGTGAGTGTCCACTGACAAATTTGAGGAAAACAGTTAAAGACGTAATAAAAAAAATAAAAAAAAGGGGGAGTAGAAAACATGAAACATGTCGACTTTCTGTTCTCTTCGTCCCACACCACACTGGAATGGGTTTAGAGGGAACAGCAACAGACCTGACACCAGTGGAGAACATATACTGTACAAATACTGGTCAGTTAGATCGCTGAAGCTGGAGGCTTTAAGACTTGTTTGTAGACACAAACATCAGTACAAAACAAAAAATAAACTAACCCCCCCCCCTCAAAAAAAAACAACTAAAATTTGGCTTTTAAATGCGTCAAGACAAAATAAAAACATAATTTGGAATGCATTTAAAGTTTAAAAGCACATGGTGGGGGAAACATTTGTTTAGATATTTGGCCCATTGAGTAAATCAGGAGATTAAGACAAACAGTGGAAAGGAAAAAAAAACAAAACTTGTGGCTATTGCTGTGTGTGTTATTGCTGTCTTATCTGTAAACTACATGCAAACAATGGATTTCTTTTTAGTCTGGCAATTAACAGCTACTGAAAACCCACCTCAGTTGAACATAATTGCAATTTTTTGGTTGAAAAGATATATTTTGTTTCTCAATCAAGCCAAGATGTAAATAACAAAGGTATTTTCGTATTAAAAATATCTTTAGATCTTCAATACTTATATATTGTTCACCATGTTCAACTGAAGTGATTTTTTTTACGGTACCATGAAGCTTTGCGTCTTAAGCTGTACGTGGATCAGTACCAGATTAAACTACTAGGCTTTTTTGTATTAAAGACAACCGCATGCAAAAATCTAACTTTGATATTAGGCTTTTGTAAATCAAAATAAATTGAAAATAAGTCACTCAGCTGTTGCACCAGCTCAGAGAAAACGGAAGAAAATCCTGCTTTACATGTTCATTTTTACATGACTTCTCTGGAAAAAGGTTTTACTCTGTGGATCTAATAAACCAAAAGCTCAGAAAATCAATGGCTCCATGGCATTAAGAAGTCCAATCATCCAATGATCCTTTTTTGGTCAAATTTTGTTAAGCAAAAGCAAAGGTAAAAAAAAAAAGAAGTCGGAGAAAATTCAGATTTAAAAAAATAAAATAAACAGGAAGTAATAAACACAATTTAAGTTCCTGCAATCATTATTTTTCCTAAAATGACAAAAATGAGCAAATTACTAGAATTTTCTAGAATAAAATTTACATTTTTAACAAATCAAAGTGAAAACCTCAGAAAAGCCTGACCTGCAGCTTTGTGTGAATTATTCTCCTATTCAAAAACACGTTTTTCATTTCCAAGTGAGAACAATACGTTTCTGTATTAGACACTTAAAAAAACAAACTAAGAAGTAATTTAAAAAAAAACCCGTTGGGGATTAATGTTCATTTCCTTCAGCAAAAAATGATTAAACATGAACACGAGTTTCCTTTCTTTCTATATAAAAGCATTTGTTATAAACAACACCGGCAAACACTGATAGCACCGACATGCATTTAACTACTTTTAGACCGTGAAAGAAACTACACTCAAATTAAGAATTTTGTTTGTCAGTAACCCATGGTTTCGTGTTATTTCTATTGGTGTGTCACGTAGTTTAGAGTTTCTTTGCGCCGTTCTGAGATGTTCGCAAAATGTCGACGCACACATGCACATTAACTCTCCATGAGTTTGCATCGCTAAACATTTTAGGGAAACTGCAGTCAGTTACATTTTTCTTTTATTCTGCTCTGATCCGATTTCAGCTGGTGCAACAGCAGATTATTTTTAAGCACAAAGCTACACTATGATTACTATTTGTTGTTGTTTATTTACATATGGAATGATTGACAGTTACAGTAAAGTGATGTTTTGATGCGTTTTTTCATAACCGGAATGATAAATACAGTTGACTAAAGTGTATTCTCTTTTATGATGAGTCTGGTGCGGCTGCAGTATTTTGATGTTTTTTTTTCTTCTTCTTTGTACAATAAAGCGCATGGAAAGGTTGTGTTGACAGTATCGTGACTTAGGAGGATGAAAATAATAAAATATAATCTGCACCAATGACGTTCATGTTTGAAATAACCCCACCTCCCACCCCCACCCCCCCGGAGCAGCTGGTAGAGGTCTGATACTTTACTGGTGGCGAGTGTTTTACCTCTTTTTTTGTTTTTATTTGTTTTGTTTTTTTTAAATGTTTTTGTTTGTCTTTTTGTTTTTTGTTTTGTAAATCTAGTACCCCAGCCCCTGTTCAGTTTTTACGTATGTCAGCATAGACCACTGGCTCCATCTTGTGGAAGGAGTTTTTGCTGCCGGAGTGATCCAACTGGGCGTATATCACCGGGCCCTAGGAGACAGGGGGAAAAGAAGAGGACAAAAGGACAAGGGGAAAAAAAATCAAGTCAGAGAGTGACAATATGTGAATCTGATTTAGTTAAAGCTGTTTAAACTGCATCTTGTATTCGTAAATCTGGCTCTGTTTTTTCCTGGGTCATTAGGTCAGGTCATTAGAAGGAACATTGTTAAGTGGGTTTTATGTCACTGATATTTTTAAATTAATACACTTTTAGAATATTAAAAAGTGTTATGCATCATTAATATGAAGACATTATTATTAATATTAATTAATACACCTTTTGTCAAACTCATATTGAACCAAATATAATAAATACATTTTCGGCCCGACTTCCTACTATTATTGTAACTGCACGAGGAAAAGTCGTTTTTTTATTTATCATTTTCCTCTACATATCCTCCATTTAAGTCAAAACACATCTAGCATTTTTTTAAATCAAAAATTTATTTTTTGTAGGTCACAACCTGTTTCTTTGTCAGGTTTTTTTTTTTATATAACCTGGCTAACCTTTATCAAGTCTTACTTTAAACTACCATCTACATGTGTTAGAGCTAGTTTTTAGTTTTATTTTATTACGGTTTTGTGCAGTAGGGGGCGTCTTTTTACAAAAAAAAAACTCACGTTTGTCCTACTCCATTAGTGGATTGCATTTTTAGTGTTAACATTAAAACCCATTAGGTCTGAAACAAGTGTGACGTGGGCCCAGCATTTCTGAGTCAAATCTCTCCAGTCTGCAGAGTTCTCTGTCCCCTCAGCTCGTACCTGTAGTGGACCTGAAGGAACGGTACCCTTGGTTCCCTCCAGATTTGACTCCACCTTCTTTCGTGGCTGCGGAGCCTGAGAGCTCATGCTTTCCAAGGTCTCACATCTAGATTCATATTTTTTTTTTCGATTTTGCCACGATGTGGAGAGATCATTGGTGCACGGTCAACACAAGTAATGTCAGAGGTGGGTGGGACAACAAGACAAAAATGAGAAATAATGAGAAATGCACACATGAAACAGAGGCAGTGAGAGTAGAGGTGCACTGATGGGATTAAGGAATTAAACAAGAAAACTTGTGCTGCTGCAGTTTTTAGTGCTTGATTTGTTCTGATTCATTAAATATGCACACAAAAAATGAGCAGCTTGTCAGTGCATCACTAGATGCAGAGACAGTTCCAGACGTGTTTTATGGTGATGTTTGACTAATGTCTTACAGCTGTTGACTCATAACTTTGGATGTACTTGTCTTGTCTAACCTGAATATTACGGTCTATAGGAAATATAGTAAAATGCATCGCCTTTTTTTCCACCAAAGATATTGTGATACAAGTGAGTGCAACTTAATATCGGCCTTCGTTTTTGATCACTGTTGATCACAACTGACAGTTGGATAAACAAATTAATCAACCCTGGTCTAAATAAAAACTTGAAAATATTGCTTATTTAATGTACATTTAAAAGAGCTCAAAAAAGATCTACTTATAGTAAAGACAATGTAAGTAACATTTCTTTAATAAAAAGACATTCATTGTGAACTAGGTCTATGGATCGACAGTCTTTATCCTTTATCTAATCTGAGTCATATCTGCCAACAAACTAGCTCCTGATGATCGGTAGTCGATGACATCACAGTGGCTCTTTATATCCTGTATCACCTGTTTTTTAAAAATATTTTTCTCTTAACTGAATCATAGGCTAAAGTTTGGAGACCACTGAGCAGTAGTGAGTGATGATAAAGAAACGTTCAAAACAATCCATAATATTTGTAACATGTCACTTTGGTCAACAGAACTTTTCAATCAGCACATTTCTGTGAACTGAATGTGTGAACAAGTTCGACCAAAAACAAAGATGGCGGATAAGGGAGGAGTTTTAGCTGGATGCAAACAGATGAAGAAGGCAGGTGTTAGCAGTGGTTGTTAGGGCATGAAAAGATGGAGGACGACATGCTGCTTGGACACAAAGCTGAGACATTAGTAGTGTTAAAACACACTGACGGAGGAGGAAACATGACCGGCACCAGCACCACCATCCAAACCAGAGATGGCTGTGCCCTCAGCCGACAGGCTCAGAACATCAGTGGCATCTCCTCCACAGCTTCGCTCACATTAAGGTATTAAAAGTGGGATTGTTGAAGAAGTAGTCAATCTGACTGTGTCATTGTTACCATGTTAATAATTAGTGAAATCATTAGAGTCACCTACTTGGCCAATTGTCTACAGATGAGGAAAGAGAGTGAACCCAGCTCCCATGCAATAAGAATTAGTTACAGTGTTACAGTGAGATGGTTATTTCAACATGGAAAAATAAAACATTTTTTTATATATATTTAAAAATTTAACTCACAGAACTTACCAGCCATTTTAACTTTAACTAAGGAAAAATCATTTTTGTATCTCAATCACTCTCTAAACACTGAATCCTAAAACAGCAGCCTCTACTGGACACTTGCAGGAACGACACCATATCAGGTTACTCTAAATCATGCATCACTTATCAGCTCTAACAGCTCAGCTTTAGTGGTTTTACTTCTGTGTTGGTGGAATTTCCAGCTAATTCACTTCTAGGTACATGAAATTTACAAAAACTGTAGAAAAATATGTCTCTTAAAAAAAGGGGAAACTACACAAACAAGTTGATGATTAACAAAAAAATAGTAAGAAGAAACTGATCAGTAATTTCTCTCTTTCTGATATTTTTTCCTAATGTATACAACAGCAGAGGGTTGGAAGTTTGGACGACACTCACCCTTCGTAGTCGTGGCGGTTGTGCATCGCCTTCAGAATCACACAGGCAGCAATGGCGATGAGCAGGAGCAGAACTCCAGCGCCACACGCTGCTCCCACGATAACAGTGGGAAAAGTTTCTACACAAAACAAACAACGAACAACAATGAACACCAATGGTTTCAGACGATGAACAAACATATTAACAACAGGCAGGAAAAGCAGCAGGTGGGGTTCAAACTGCTCCATATTATTTTGCTTTGTCTTGTGACTTTAAAAATTTCTTTAGCCACTGTGATCAACATTAAGCTGGGTTTAAACGTATTATGTATTATATATAAATATAGTATAGTATTATATATATATATATAACTTCTTCTTATCCACATTTAAGTGTAAGTTTAGTCACCATTGAACAGTCCATGAATGAGGAATTGTCAGTTTGTTACTCGGTAAGTTTTAGATATTGCTCTTCGAACACAAACCATATGTTTTTTCAATCCTTTTTACTGGAAATGCCTCTGCTTAGTCATTAAGAAATGAACTGAAGATTTAAGTTATAGAAGCTCACAGATTGCTAGGGAGTTACTGGAATAACTTCAACCTGGAGTTGAAGGTAAAGTATGAACCATCCTCCCTTTAAATGATAACCTAGAGCAGGGAGTGTCAGTGACGTTGGACATCCTTATCTAAACAAAACCTCTGTGTGTTTGGAAAAACCACAGAAGAAATCTGCTGTGAGCAGTAAGAAAAATCTTTTTTTTTGGATAAACAAACTGCATGTATCTAAGTTGGTGATTCTGACAAACATTTGAGGAATCATAAAGAACAAAGTTCCAGCTTGTGCATGAAGCTGTGATTAAAGATAACAAGTCGTCACACGTCGCTGTAAGTTTGTGAGATACGGTTGAGATCATCGGCAGTGGCAGCTGGAATGTTTGTCTTGTAAGGAGCTGGAACAGAAAAAAAAAACCTGACCTCACAGTTTCAGCGTTGTTGTTACACTGCCAGCTGTGGGAGCAAAGACGTGTTTGACTCGTCGTCAGCTGACTCTGTGGTGTGACTTAACTCTTAACAACCCGAGGAGACTGAGGCGTGTGTCCAACTCAAACTGATATTTACCAGAAATTTTAAATTAATTAATCATGTTTGGCTAACTTGTACCTTTGTCTTTTCTAACAATAAATAACTCAAACAATTATCTTTCTGTTGCCAACTTTTACTTATCTCTTTTTTTTTTGCTTTAAAAGTTTAATAGTTTGTGTGATTACTGTCAATAACAGGTTTTAGCACCGTAACGTTTGTATTAGAAGTGAGGTGGAAACACCATCTTACTGTTATGTCACAAAGCTGGGCTACCTTTTTATTAGCAATGGTTCTTTATCCACAGTTCTTATTACAAAACTTACAAAACATCAGTTAATTTTCTTTTTTGTTTGCTTACTTGGTGCTGAAAGTTTTTAATTTAAAATGTTTAAAATTTAGCTTTTTTATGATTTAGTTAAGACATCAAAAGTGACTAATACAACACAAGATTTCAAACCCACTTCTATCTTCACCTTGTAGAACAACCCGGAGCTCTGTTCTGGCTGGGGTTCCAGTCACATCAGGTGGGTTCTTCACGTCACAGAAGAAGGTACCGTTGTCAGTGAACTGAACCGGACTCAGCTGTATGGAGACGTCCCTTTTGCTGATGTCTCCGATAAACTGCACCCTGTCATTAAACTCGTCTTGTCCTGGATATCCTCTCCATTGTGAGAAGTAGAAAATCTGGAACAAAATAAAAGGTATAAAAAAAGGCTTGTAAATTTAGAAGTAACAGACAACCAACCAATAAAAGATGAAGTACCTTAAAAATAGTCTCTAGTACTGTTTGTTGGTATTTTGGGTTCCAAACGTTAAAGAACCTGGGTCAACAAACTATATTATATGATTACATACAATATGTCCTGCAGTGACAGGTCTGCAGCTCTGTGTGCGCAACAAGCCAAACATCAATCCTGTCAGTAATCCTGTTGCAGGGTAGGCAACATGGTTGACATAGTTGCTAAACAATTCCAAACACCTTTGGGCTTAACGTACATATTATGATTTGAGGAAGAAACAAAAACCTGTGCATCTTCTCTGGGCCCAGCCTCGTCATGAAACCTTATTAAACAAACAATCTCTTGTACTGGCTGTTTTTTGGTCCAACACAAGAAAAGATCCCAAAACACAAAACTGCAGCAAAATGTAATATCAAAACAACCAAACAGAACATTACATCAGTAGTTTCTTTATTTCATACTGTACTACTGTCAGCTCAACACAGTTCAACCACCTACTGATGCTGTGGATAAAAATAAAAACGCCCAACACTGTGGTTTAGGTTCATCCAAACATGGAGAAAAGGAGAGAACTTTTTTTTTTTACCCCCAGAACCCCTTAAAAAACTGTGTCTTTGTTAGTTTAAGCTGTGTCTGTTGTTCACACCCAGAGCAAAAAAAGGAAATGATTCAATTTTAATCATCTGGTTCCCACAGTCTGATGATCACTCAAGCCAGTAAAGGACACAGTCATTATCACTTTAACATTAAGCAGAAGAATAGTGAGAGTGAAAGTGTGATGTTCACACACCTCCAACAAACTGTGCCTGAACTGACTCTTGAACCGTTTCCAATATTTAAATGCCATCTATTTCCTAATAAAGCCTCCTTTTTGTGTTGAAAAGGTGGAAGGCAAGTTTATACAGAGGTGCATACACTTGAGTGACATTACACTGAGCCTCATATAGTTTTTGTTTTCTCTCCTTAACCTTTGTTTCTGCTTAAATTATTCATTTGCTGGGGTCAAAATTTTGTCTTTTGATTTGGTGATCATTTTAGACTACGTAAACGCTGCTCAAACTAAACCAGTTTTTTGAGCACATGCTCCACGTATTAATTAACTGGATGGATCCAATCTCCAAATTAAAAACCTTGCGGCCATGTCATGTCATTATGTTCACACAGCAGACAGGTGAGGCCTGAGCCAGTCCTGGTGATCTAAATTTAGATCTGAAGCTCTAGGCAAACAGATGCAGTCACTGTGCCAGTTGAGCCAGCCTTACACAGCAGCGGGCTGTTCTTTATTCGACGCAGGATCTTTAGGCTAACGCTGTTATTAACATTAACGCTCACACTTGCCACACTTGTTTCATAATTAATTTCAACAGAAACAAATCCATCTGTTTGCATCGGGTGGTAAGCGGAAGATTAGCACTGTAAGAAAATACTCATTAAAATCTAAGCAGTGTGCTGTCAAAGGATTATAAAGCAAACGGAAAAATGCAAACACAATGTCAGGTGAAATTAAATTCAAGCGAGATGAGGGACATGAAAAAAGTGGAAGAAAGCAAACAGGTCAAAACTACAAATAAACAGAACAAAGAGAACAAAAGGAGGAAGATGACGTTTGCATAAAAACAAACACGTGGGTTTGCACGACAGGGTCAGAAATAACAATAGTAACTTCTAAGGCCCCTGTAATACAGATAATACCCGACTTCCACATCATTTTGACATTTAGAAACACATTCCCCAGTAGTTCAAATTACCAGTAGATAATGTACAAGTAGAAAATGATGCATTGAGAAATAAATAAAGAAATCCCTCAGAAGATGCATTGAGAAATGAGAAATAAATAAAGAAATCCCTCAGATAAGGCTATGAGAAGAACAGCTGAACAGCTGAGACTTTTCATCACATGTTCAGAAGAACAGCTGAGACTTTTCATCACATGTTAGTGCTGATTTAAAACAATGCCAGGAAAACATCCTGTCACTGTGGGAGCTCTTCCCCAGGGCGGATGACACTAGTGAGAACTTACAACATAGGGGGCTTTGTAGAACCGGCTTTCGGGCTGACTGGACTGGAAGCTCCAGGTCACAGTCGTGGTACTGTTGACGGGTACGTTGGACGTGAAGCTGCACCGGAGGACGCCAGTGGTGCCGTTCTGCAGGGTCACTTCAGGGTCGGCATATATATCGATGGCAGATGAAGGTCTGGAGACTGGATGGAAAAGAAGAGGGAAGAGTTAAAAGGAGTCAAAACGTTTAGTATATCCGCCATAATGTGACTTTTATTTAAAACACGAGTGAGACATGAGTTTTCCATTAGGATCCTGAAATATGACCCGGTTTGGGAAGCTGATTAGTGTCGAAGGGGTCATCAGAGAGCAATGAAGTGCTCAACAGTTAACAACAGCTTTAGAGCTAAAGTGAAACCAGAACATGGCTTTTGTTCTTATACGCAAAATAGTTTGTAATCCAACTCACATTTGTAACTGAATCCAACAAATTCCTGGCTATTTGTCTGAGGAATTCTTCTCAACAAGAACAAAGACAAATCAGAAGTTTAAAATGAGGCTTATCTTTCACATCTGAAAAACTGCATTCTAAGCCTTTACAAGTTAAGACATCACAACAACCAAAGAGCTTTGTTTAGAAAAAGAAGACAATAATCATAAAGAAGAACGAAAATATTCAACAGTTTCAAAATGTTCCCAATTGTCAAGAAAATTGAAATTTTTTTTATGATGAGATGTCATCATACAAAAATCTAGGAGTCAGGGCAGATGCATGCACCATTTTTAAATTTAACTTAACTTAACTGAAACAAACCAAGTTAGATCACAAATACCAACGAAGTCACAGGTAAAATCTAAGTGGAACACCAAATAATTCTACAGATTTTCAGCACCTGTACAAGCCAAAACAATCTGATTCTCCGAGCTCTGTTTAAGTTGCTCTGCACTGTCTGTGTGCTAAATCTGAAGTGATTCAGATTTACAGGAAAATGGTGTGACAGCATGCAGTCATAAACAGATTTTACAGTTGGGCAAAAGAAGGAAGTGTGACATTTGTGTCAGACTGAGTGCAGCAAACACATGGTTCAGTTCAGGCACTTCTGCAAACAACAGGACATGAGTAAGCAAATATTAGGCTATACTAGGCAGCATTTTTCGTTTTGGATTTCACCCTAGGAAAAGCATCATTCAGTGCCTGGTATAAAAAACTAAATGTAGTAATCTTAAAAACCAAAACTGGATTGTATATCGAATTTTAGCTATTTGGCTATAATGGAAGACAACGTATATATCATGTATAGGTAAATGACAAGCAAGTAAAGGACATGTTATCGTTTGGCTTTGGAAGCTATGCTAATCGTGGTCGGAAGTCTAGCTGCCCACAGAGCTGATGCGTTGGCACTGTTTACAAGCCACCGTGTCTTAATGAGATACAGCCGTCGAACGGTCAGGATCGTGATAAAATGTTCTTTGAGCTACCAATAACATGTGAGCTAGTATTGTTTCTCTGACGAACACGGTCTAAGAAAAACACTTTCCCTTTAATAAATTCCAGCGAATTAACATTTATTTGTGTATCATCCAGAGAGGCTGCCTAATATGACTCAATTAAACGTGCCTTTTACATTTTCAACAGAGGGTCTTTAATACGGCTTTCTTCAAACACACGCATTGTTTCATGATGCAGCCATGAAATCACCCACTACCGAAGCCATACAACTTAAACAACCAATTGCACATCGCCTAAACTTATTTACATAACTGCGAAATTTAAAATATTTTCGACTTTTTTTAGTAGTATTCCAGAAATCGTCTATCATTTTAAAATGCCCAGTGATCCACACTGAAGCCGAGTAATAAAGCCGAACACCAGGTTAGGTGCTAACAAGGGCGGCTACTGTCTACCGAATCTTATTCGGATTGTATTTACTTTAATCGCGTCTATATAAAAGGTCCCTATTAGTGTGAAATTAAATGATAATATGCACCCTTTGCGATCGAATGGGTATATATTCCGCACTCGTAGCAATACTAGCAACAAAATGTTGATATATATCAACAATAATGGACAGATGTTGCGGATGTTGTTAGGTGTCTCCCGTAAAGGAGATGCTGGACATCGCTAGCGAGCTAAGCCTAAATTAGAGATCCTATATTGAAGGTTTCCCGGAGAATAAGAACTCCAATATGGAATCAAATACTCACCTAATACAACACAGAGCGTTAATCCAGTGAATAAAAGCCGTTTACAGACGAGGTTTGGCCGTTTTAGTTCCATTTTGTTGTTGTAAACAGGATAAGTTTCCTCTGATTTTTTCCTCTGTCGTCCGAGCCCTTTCTTCTTCATGGAAACATTTCAGTGGCAGCGTAACAGTTCCGGCGGCAACTGCAGCCACCTGCTGGTCCAAAGACACTATGACGAAAAATAAAATACTTATGATGGATAAAAAGTAAAAATGAGATCATGTCAAAATACATATAAATTATATTATATAAATAATATTTATGTAAATTAAAATGTACATAAAATTGACTAAAATTAACTAAATTAATAGGTAGCATAAATCTGCAAAATAAATATTTTCAAAAAGAAGCAAATAAATAAAAAGGAATAAAACATAAATAGCCCATACCATGAGCAAAAGGCTATCAGTGCCTAAACCTGTCAGTGCAATTTAATTGGATACTAGGATCTTTAACAATTAGTTCTTAAGGTTTAAAACAACAAATCAGCCCATTAACACTAGGTGTTCTGACTATGATGTCACAATGACAACAAATATTGTACAACCTCAGGACAAACTGTGAGTGAATTTAACATAAATCACTAGAAGACACACAGGAGAGTAAACTAAAGTTCAGAAAGTAAAGAAAGGACAAAACACAGAAGCACAGTTCTCCTCGCTCACACACAAAACTGTTCTTTCACTGCATGAAGTGGGTGTAAATATCTGAGTGTGTGGGGAGGAGAGAGATGATTCCAAATCGGTTCTGTGCGGGTGCATCAGCAGGTTTAGTCAGAGAACTCTGCTGCTCAGTCACAAGGTCATAAAGAGGAGTGGGATGATTGAGTCTTTTCTCATTTTTACCCCACAGCACATTAACCATTTTCCATCAACATGGTAGAGATAAGAATTTGAAGCCCTTGAAATGTTTTATTAATTAATTGGCATCTAGTGGTGAAGATTAGGATCACAGCCATTAAAAGATATGAAAATCTATTGTTTTACAAATTAAATGCAACAGTGAAGTTACCACTGAGGGGCTCTGAGCATGGCACTGTCCACACACACTGCTTATGGGCACACACTGCCCACTGTTCACTTTGGTGATGGGTTAAAAACAGAGGTCACATTTAGGTCACTAATAATTCATAATTCAAGCTAGGCTAATTCTTGGGTCTTTGTGCTAATCACAAAGGGGAGGATGTTGCTGGCCGAAGCTAAAGAGTTGACATGAAAGACAGACAGTTTGATGAAAAGTTGATTTCCTTTAATCCCTGGCAGCAGACATTAGACAATAGAAGACCAAAACGGCTCTAAACTATTAACGCGTTAAATAATTTGTAAAATTAATCATCTCTCAAGCAGACGCGGAATGTCACACACCAATAATTCCACCATCCACCCAACTATCGCCATTCTATTAACAGTCAATGCACATGTAATTTAGACACACACTCATTTCACCCAAGCACTTAAAGCTTCAAATACCAACTCCTCAACAGCCATCATCTGTTTGCAGAGGCTTCAACTTTAGGTCAGACACCAGGCTTGCGTCAGACCAGCCTCACATAGCGCAGTGCAGCAGGTGAGTCTATGTTTGACAAGTTGACTGAGACAGTTGTCCATTGGGTTACTGTTGACTGATTAAAGTTGTTGAGGAAACGGTTTCAGCAAAGTTTTGAAAGCAACTCTTGATGATTCACCATCAAGATGCACATTAATGACTAAAATCCACCAACTCTATGGAGCAAAAATTTTAATTTATATTTTCAAATATTTTTCTATGCAAATAATTCCATCATTTGTATTAGTAAAAATCAAACAGTTGTGAAGCACATACATCTACCTGCTGTTATTTGTCTTTCTGTTCCAGCGATATACAGAAAAAGTTGTCATATTTAGGAATATTGATTATCTTGAATAATCATGATAAATAACAATTAATCAAGCTGAAAAATAATCTATCCACAGCCTAAATATGATTAATCTGATTAAAGGTTTTACATTTTTGTGTTGAGATGTTTTGGTTCAACTGTTATTCCATTCCTTTTCTTAATAAACCTACAACAGATTTGACAAGTGTGAGTGTGAAACCTCTGATACGCTGCAGTGAGATGTTTACTGGCAGTGGAAACGTGGTCTTATCCTGATTTCATGTGACCCCACAGTTTCCTTCATTGTGTGGATTCTGACAGTAAATCAAGAAAAAACCTTTCCAGTATCAGTGTAGTAAGTCAAAGGGAGATAGAAAAAACAAAACAAATTAAAACAACATTTTTCTTCACTGTATTTCTGCAGCTTTAAAAAAAATGACCCACTGTCAGAGGGTGAAACACAGAAGACGATGTTAAAGAAATAGAGGCTACTGCTCACTTTTGGGTTATTTCCATTTGTTCTTTGTTATTTAAGTTATGTGCAAATCTCTTCCATCCTTCATGGGAGTTTGAAATTTCCAGAACAAAGAGGGAAAAGCAACAAAGACAAAAAAACAAAAAAAAAACACCAAACAAGCCAGTGAGATAAAAAGACCGATGAATGATCAACTGCTACATGAACAGGAAATGTAAGTCATTTAATTCTGTTTTTTTATGAACCTGGAGAGTTGCAGATGAAAAGTGCTTCACAGGACAACAAACCTTTTTTTTTTGGAGGTGGAGACTAATGTAGACAAGTCTCATCTACAGTAGAACGAAGACACAGAAAGACCCTCACAGAGAGGTGGCTGTCCACTCCCTCTATCCACAGTCACACATCATTACACTTATTTACATCTTTTGCACGTAGTGTTCTTCGTCTTCATCTTTCAGTTTGTGGTGCGTTCCATGATTTCTAATGTACAGAAAAGGCCTCCAGTCCCTCAGGCCTAGTGTGTCCTCATAGGTCCAGAGTTGGACGCAATGGTTATGGTGAGGAAGAAGCGGAGGAAGAGGAGAAGGAGGAGGAGGAGTAGGAATCAGATCAGTCTGTTACGGGGTCAGCGATGGAGAACGAGGGGAATGAAAGTGAAGGTGGTTCCCCCTCAGTGGTATCATGTCTCTGGAAGCTGGTTGATGTCAGTTAAGTTGGTGTCGTTGAGGATGACTCTGACTCGATCCAAAGATTCCGCCTGTCGTATTCGCTCCATCTGTACCTGAGGGAGACATGGACATTTGCAAAGACTGAAAATTGTAGGATGAATAAGGGACACATAACCAGAAAAGTACAGATTGTTTTTTTTTTTTTAATTTCTTTTCTTAACAGATCAACAATTTATTTTTCTCTCTTTACCTGAAGAGTCTGGGAAAGTTTGACAAAGTCCTTCTGAACCTGCTCACTGACGTCCAGCTCCGTCTGCAACCGCTGAGCTTTGTCTCGTTCATCCAGGACCTGACTCTCTAGTGCACTCTGTAGTTTGATACAGTGCATGAAATGCAAAAAATTAGAATGACTCTAAGAAAACATTCCTAGAAATGTGTTCCATCTTGTACAAGCCTGAAATGATAAAACTCTGGTGAAGAAAAAAAAAAGCTGCTGTGCACAGAGACTTAAACGAGTCAACCTCCCACACTGACCCTTATGTGGATATACAGCTGGCCTTATTAAAGAGAAATGCATTCTGGGTAGAGTTTGTCTTGCCTCAGGTGTCAAACTAACCTTAGCCACGGTGAGCTCTTTAAGCTGACGCTCCAGGCTGATCCTCAGGCCCTGAATGTTCTCCAGTGTTTCTGTCTTCTCTGCTAAACTGCGCTCCAGCTTCAGAGTTGACACACACACACACACACACACACAAGTACGTCAGTACACAAGAGTGAAAATACTAAAGAAAAAAAAATATTATAAAAAAAAGAGGGGTTGGGGAGCGTCGTAGGACAGAGTTCATCTAAAACATTTACATATAAAATGAAGGCTTTAGTTCTGTTTGTTTGTACTGTTTCACTGGAACATTCTGTACTTCTGGTTCTGTGTTTTCATCTAAATTTATTTAAATAAGTTTGAAAAAGAAATAACTTCTCAAATATTGGAATATTCTATTAATACTGATTTTTTTAAAATCAAATTACAAAATCAGACCTTTCCAACACACCACGGCTGGTGAATTAATCTTTTGTTCAGATTTTTTATTTATAAATTAAATCTTTTGTTCAGATTTTTTATTTATAATATATTCTCAGTCAATTTACAATACGACGTAAACAAAGTACATTTGTAAAATTTATCATCATCCACATTTTATCCACATTTCTAACCCTTAAACGTACTGACCTTTGCTCTGCTCTACTCTCTGTCTCTGTTGTAAATGTGTATATTATGACATATTATGACTCTTGACTGGAAGAACTCATATAAAGCCATTGTGATTCACTCAGGTGAAAGTCAGTACCTGCTCCTTCTCGGCTTTTATTCGCTCCAGCTCTGTCTTCAAACTGGAGAAGGAAGCTGTGAGAAGAAGATGAAGAGACGAGGTTAGAGCGTCACCCTCCAACTCCCCCTGCAACAGTGACCAGACACCTTCCAAAGATAATCGATGACTAATGGAACAAAAGTAGCATGGTGGGGTGAAGCCGCTCTGCTCGGTGATGCGTGTGTGTGTGTGTGTGACTGAAGCCAAATCTAGTGGTAAAATTAAGGAAAAACAATGACATAATACAGAAAACACTAAGGTGTGGTGAGTCATTACCCAACTGGACAGTGAACGTTGACTAAATGTTCTAATGCAACAACAAACACAACAGTGGATTATCTGTTAATACACACTCCAGAGGAAGCACCACACATTAGTCTAGAAGCCACTCTTCATCATTAGCACACACACAGAACCAAGGCTAAGCTCAGCATCTCTCATACCTTCCAGGATGTCTGAATGACAGGGGTGAACCAAGAGGGAAGAAAAGCAAAAACAGAGGAGAAAGTAAATAATAAAAAAGAAATCAAGATACAGAAAAATAAACGTAGAATGAATCACCACAGGAGAGACTGGTTAAATACACTCCAGTTTGGTACTGAACTCTGACCTATTTCCTCTTTACAGCCTTCGATCTCCAGCTGCAGCGTGTCCTCCAGGTTCTCCTTCAGACACTGCTCAGCCTGGATCTGCTCCTTCAGGAACAGGATCTCAGCCTTCAGCTTCTCCTCCATGTGATCGGCGGACGTTCGCAACGACACCATGTCATCGCGCAGTCCCAGCACCAGCGTCTGCAGCTCCTGGAGAGGAAGAGAAACACAAGACGAGTCAGGAAGCGTCATGGTCAATCTCCAACCAAGAGATGCCTCTCGTCCGAATGATGAGACAGAAGCTTGTCTCAAAGTATGACTTTGTAGCAGCAGTACTGTGTTCACAAACTAAATACTTAAATACTTTGTTTTTCAGGAATCAATTTTTCCCTAAAAAGAAAAAAAAGTTTGTTTCACAGCCAGTCAGTGTAGAAAATACTTTTCTTAAGACAGTCCTCCCCACATGCTGATTCATACGGTTAAATGTGAGAGGAACCACCAACACATTGAAAATGTTGTCAGTGCTGTACTACACCTCCACCATATCACTGCTACAGCAGCAGAGTGGGAGGAGATGTGTGGGTTGGAGTGCATTTGTTTAAGAGAAATCCCAGAATCTTCCCCTCATCACGCTGCCTTCACTACGCTAATGGCTGGAAGTGAGCTTTTACAGTCACAGAGGCATCGTATCTCAGTTAATTCATGTCGGACCGCTGCACTGCAGGGAGGATTTCTCAGTATACAGTCGCCTGGTGCCAGGTTCACTGTGAGCGGCAGAAGAAATAAATAAATAAATAGAGAATCTCATGGAGAGAAAAATAAATCAATCTATCCATGACTGACCTTGAGATGAAAATGTGAAAAAATTAACAACAGTGTTTTGCAGAATTAAATGTGGTGTGTTTTATTAACAAGGTAAGACTGGAGGTCGTAGAACGTTGCTATAGCAACAGCTAAACTCCTAAGAAAAATAAGAATGTTTATATAATCAGGAGCAGTGCTTGGTCAATTAACAATGCCTGAGGTTATTTAAATGCTTAACTCATCGACTATTGGTAATGCCGGTGTGCGATGGATATGTCCATGCTCATGGACAGTCATGATGTCATATTTACTGGCAGCTATAGTTACAAAAAGTGAATTCTTTGAGGATTGTAAATGGATCAATGTCTTTAGCTGCATCACACAGGACCTTGTTGTACTGATGAGACGGCTGTAGTTTTTAAAAACCTGTTTTCCACGTACTTGAACAGTAGAAGGCATCAGAAAATCCTCCTGCTGCTGCAGCTCTACGTGCAGCCGGTGTTTTCCCTGCAGGCTTTCGTTGTCTCTCTGCAGTCGACCGAGTTCGTCTGCTACCTGTTCCCTCGACTTCACCAGCACCGCCTGGGACACGGGACAGGAAAAAAAGAAAAAAAAAGAACATTTTATCACATGTTGTCTCATTTCTCTTTTTGAGCCTTCCTGTCAAACCACAGCAGCTCCACTATGAGTCCTGGTTCTGTCCACTTCTCTCTGCAGAGCTAATGCATTTTTTCAGTGAATAATGACTCAGTTCATGACAGCATGAAGACTCATGATTCCTCAGACCGTGAAGCAAATGGAATGTCACGTTGGCCCTGCAGACATGTGCATCCGCAAGGACCCTCAGGACACACTGGTGCACACGCTCGAGTCACAGCTGCACAATCACAACGAGATTATTTACTTAATTTTTCCTTACTATTTTCCACTTCTTTTTAATTAACATCACAAAAATGATTAGGTTGAAATAAATGAAACTGGAGTGCCTGGTGCATTCCAGTTTCAAGTTTGTTGTGGATATGTTAACAGTAGTAAATAATACTGTACCAGAAGGGGGCGCTAATGCAACAGTAGGAGGTTCAGGATCAGCTTATTAAAAAACAAACACCTATTCAAGACTTAGACATAAACTAAAAAATATAAGTAATAAATAATAACAACACACCTCCAATTAATTGGTTGTCAAAATTCAAACTGAGCTTGGTTTAAAGGAAGTGACTACTGCACTGATATCACATTCTAAAAGTTGTGATTCACTGACAATCAGTGAGGCCAAGAAACCTCGGATATTTTTTTTCCCCCCATGTGTGAAAACTATTTTTTTTTTTTTAAATCAACGACACCTGTTGTCAGTTGAGAAAGTAGAACACTGTTGGCTGCATATCTGATAACAGAGGGAGTTTGTCCTCAAACCAACAAAACTGACACGGCTTGTCTTCGGCGCTACCAAATTCCCGTCCAACAGTCTGTGACCTCAGAAGGAAGCGGGACTCCAGGCACAGCTGTGCAGTAGAGGCTGTGAGAAGAAAAGGCTGCTCACCATCTGTTCCTGCGTGTTCCTCTTAGCGTCACTGAAGGCCTGTTGTAGTGTGCTGAGCAGCGCTTCGGATTCCTGCACTCTCTGAATGAGGGTGGAAACCTAGAGCCCCAAACATTGACAACAAAAACACATTACTGGGTCCAGGAAAGGCCTCCGGGGCTTTCCAGACACTCACAAACTTTTTCAAGTTCCACATCCTCGACATGTGCATGAAGGTCTGTAATCTTATCTGATACATAGGAGTAAGATGAGTGTCAGAATACAATGGGTAAGAAAAGCCAGCCTTATGATGGAAGGGCAGCATGAAAGAAGTGAATGTAGGACACAACCTGCTTCTGGTTCTAAGAGGGTTCAGCCCAGTGGAACAGGAGCAAAAGGAGATGGTTCAGACTGTTTCTTTTTAATTAAGGTAAAATGAAATACTGTTGAGTCCTAAGAGTGTGCAGCCTCAACATCTGGAGGAACTCTGCAGGCTGACTGTCACTGAAAATATGCACATCAGTTTTTAGTAACTTTATCTTTCTGTCCTTGCATAATAGAATACTTTAGTTTGGTGACTGCTTAGTCTCCCACATCAGGGTCCATAAGAAAAATCAGCAATTTAGAATGTAGCCTCACAAAGGTTGATGACTTTGTTAGTGAGTTTAGATTTTCTATTTAGGTTCTTGCGCTGTTTCCAAGTTTGGACTAAAAACTTTGTGCCAAACATTTTAAGCTCCTTTTATTGACTTTTAACAGTTTGTTGCTTTTGTGCAGTTTAAAAATAAATCTGACTTCTTAATGTTGTTTCAGTCAGTGGGACAAAAACTGAGAAGTAGCTACTTGACAAAAGCATCAATATAATTCACTCTGTCCAGACCTTTGCAGCAGTTTCCTCGTTCCCTGATTTGACCGACTCTTCCAGATTCTGTTTTTCTGTCATCGTCCTCTCCAGGTGATCATTGGCCTGACGCAGCATCACCTGCAGTTTCTTTACCTGGAAGAAAAAACAAGCAAAAACAAGCAAATTAGCAACTCTATTTTCTGCCTGACTGGCCAAAGATAATCTGAGCAGGAAGTCACTGACCTGATCTCGTGTCTCAGCCTCTTGTACCTGAATGGCCTGCAGCTGCTTCTCATAGTTGGAGCACATGTCACAGCGACGGCCCAACTTCCTGCCAGCGTTTTTTACCTGGTCACACACAAAGACAAAGACAAATGGAAGTACCTTTTATACACAGTGACACTCAGTAAGACATCAAAAATGTCATTAGTGGGTATGACATCAGAGGTCTCGCAGCCCACCCGTTGCTGATTTCTTTAGCCCATAATTAGCCGATTAGCCGCCGTGTTGCCAACATCCACCTACAGCTCAGCAACAGCTACAAATGTTGGTCTTTTAACAGAAACAGTTGTAGCTGTAATACGTTGTTAGATATGGTATTTATCCATTTCAAAACATGCAAGCTATTGAAGACCCTGCTGGTCAGCAGGGGCACTGCACCCAGAATAACAACAGACCAACAGAAAAATGGAGATACTATTCCAAAAAAAATCTGGTTTTATTTGGTTTAAACCAGGACATTCTGTGTTCACCTCCTGTTGCAGGAGATTCCACTCGCTGTCGCTGACCAGTCTGTACCCCACAGGAGGTAAGTAGGCTGTGTTGGTTGTGTGCGAGATGCTGGACAGCAGCGACGCCGTCTCCTCCTGCTCTGGCGTCATGGCTTTTATGGCCTTCTCCTGGTCTTTGGTGAGCAGGAAGTGGCTCCCCGTCAGCTTGATGGAGCTGATGGACGACGTTTCGCCAAAACTAGTGTCCGTCACGCCACAGTCCGCCCCCACCAGGGGACCAAAGTCTGACTCGTCTAAGTGGCTGGCCGACTTGGCCTTGTGGTTGTGTCCACCAAGTCCCTGCTGGGAGGACAGCGAGGAGCCGAGGCTGTCTGTGGACTGGACGCGCCGCAGGTTTTCCTTGTAAGGGTCCATGGAACCACCCACGTCCACGTCTAAAGAGTGCAATGAACCGTGGGTACTGTGGTTGGTGTGAGGCTGAGAGACAAAGAGAAAGCATGTTAGTGTTTGCAGCCTTTTTCTTCATTTTTAGTTCTTTTGAGGCCTGGGAACACATTAAATCCATGGTGTTTGCAGCTTTTTTCTTCATTTTTAGTTCTTTTGAGGTAACTTTCTGAACATTTTGGGCTAAACAGATTTTAACTTTCATCTTATATTACCATCTAAAGATACCTAAAGTAATTTTAATCATTGTGTTATTATAGCAAATTTTACTTGGAGTTATTTTTAGTTTTGATATTTTTTTTTACCAGGTTTACTTTCATATATTTCTGTTCCACTTCCCTGACAAAGACACAACTAAGCTCCTTAAAATAAAGGCAGGTTTCATTGTTAGTTAATCCTATTTGAAGAGATATCGAAACACATGGAAGCACAGACGACTGGAACAGGCAGATCCTGCATCACAATCTGTTTATAAAAAAAAGTCTATTATTAAAAGCAGCCTGCTGTAGTTTGTGGCAGACAGTGGACATGTGGGACAAAAGTCTGTGAAACTGGGCGAACTAGAGACAGATGGTTGGAATGTTGGATGTGCCAGAAATCCCTCTGAATCGATCTTTTTGTATTTTCCTGTGATTCGTCCATGTTGTGCCTCGGGAGGAGCAGTAACTCCAACCGGTGGTAAAATATACAAAATAACAACATACTGAATAAAAAAAGAACCTGGTAAACATGAATCAATGCTTAACAAAACATTGTGTCACAATAGACATTGAAATTGAAGGAGAATACATTGTAACCCAAGTGGATTCGTTGCATGAGGAATAGCTATTCCAGGAATAGTTTTAAAGATACTTGAACAGGATTTCACCAGCTTTGGGGACAAAGACAGGAAAGCCAAATACCATAAAGGAGCACTCTCTGGATGCTGTGTGAACAAAAGTGAAGATGCCACGTTGGCTCTTTGAGGATCGATCGAGAACATGACGCCAGACGATAATGGCCTGCTGCCGTCGCGCTCAGACACAGATTAGGTTACATGAAGCTCGTACCTCCTCCACACTCAGTCCCAGGAATGAGTCCTCCAGTGGTTCGGTGTTGTCTCCGCCGTCCTCCTCCTGAAGCTCCTTCACTTGGCTGAGCCTCTCTTTCTCATCCTCCTCCTAAGATGAAGGAGGAAAAACAGTTTATAACCTAACAATTCTTATTTTCCTGACCACAGTATGAGTACAGCTGTAAAATAAAACGCATGACAACACGACGGCCGGGCCACAAATTACAGGTCTACAATGATAATGTTTTGTTTAAAACATTTTTCTGTCACTGTTTTACGTTTGTGGTTTGCAGTGATCTTCTGGTTCTGGGCTCACCACACGAGTGTTCACGAGCATCCTGGAACGTCAGGCTAAACGAATTCAACTGTAGATTTTAGCAGATTTTTTGGTATATTTTGGCTAATTTAATTTGGTTAACTCGGTTAGGACATAAAAGGGGGTTCGGGTGCGTCAACTCGGTTAGGACATAAAAGGGGGTTCGCGGGACAAAAACGTTTGGATACCACTGCCCTAAAAAAACAAACATCTAGGAGACGATGATATCATCAACTGCTGTTATTGTGTACCAGCGCTAACTTATCACAAACCTGGTCTTTCTTCTTCATCTCCTCCACCTGGCGGAGCTGTTCTGATGACAGCACGCTCTCTATCCTCTGCATGTCCCTCATGAGGAGCCGTTGGGACTCAAGGAACTGGTCGTTGGCTCTCTGCCACGTGTGCTTCAGCTGATTGTGCTGCTGTCGCTCCAGCTCCAGTTTGTGACAGACTGAGAAGGAACAGTTGAAACAGAGGGGAGGGAGGGAGGGAAGTTGAGGGTGAGAGTGGGAGAGAAAAAGACCATACACTGGACATCATCCATGAGACTTCTTCAGTCCTTTACTTTTCAAGTCTATACGAGTTGAGTTGCTATGACATATCTTAAGAGTATTCCAAGTGTTTGGCTTCGGACAGATGGGAGTTTGGAGTCTGAATAAACTGCTCTTTCTGCCACGATGCAGAAACATTCAAAGGTCAATCAAACACTGCAGAAAGTGTGTTGCTTCACTTTAAATTTGTACAGTCACATGGATTAAGTCGGGTTTTACAAAACCCATAAGTACCCTCATGTAGCTCTTTCCGTAGTTTCTCTGCGTCCTCCTGCAGGACAGACTTCTGCGTGTTCAACACGGCCACGTACATCTCCAGGTCTGTGCGGCACGACTTCTCTGCCTCCAGTACGTGATTCAGCTCTTTGACCTGCAACAATATGAAGACTTTAGCGTCATTTGGATGTTATTTTAATGTCTATGATTCTAATAATCAAACAGGTGGAAACTCTTGACCTTGGAAGCCTCCAGTTCTTTCACCCTCTCCTCCGCTGTGGTCAGTCTGGCCTTCAGGCCTGTGATCTCCTGCTCCATGGGCATCACCACTGAGCGCAGCTTCTCTGCATCCTCCTGAGCCTTCGAGCAGGTTAGAAAGTCTCACATTCAATTTGTGTGTGTGGCCACAGCTAACATGCACCACTTTAACAGATTTATGCTGCTGTAACAGTTTTCAGTTTTACATTCCAGGTCACAAAATCAAAATGCCAAATGGAAAATCTGAGACCAGAAACACAAAATAATACCAGAGATTAGTTTTGGACTCAGTTTATGGTTTAAACTTATTAGGCCATTATATTTAATTATGACATGGAAAAAAAGTGTTAAACCTGATGTGATGCCTTTGAAGGAGCGTGGAAAAAGACATTGACCAGAAAATTAAATTCAATCAGTGGAGTTGAAGCTCAATCTCACTTCAAATCTCTGTGTAATCGGTTTTCACCACGCTACAACAACTTTTCCAGTTACAACCTTCAAGAATGTTAAAAACCTTTATCACCAGACAGCTGTAAAACTCCACACAGGGGAGGGTTTGTGTCATCAGCTCACTCCTAAATTATTTTCTATAATAAACCAACAACCATGTTGTACAGCTCACTCCTAAATTATTTTTTATAATAAACCAACAACCATGTTGTACATATTTAAAGAGTATCACATTCAGAGGAGTTTGTCCTGAGTCATCAGCTGCCTGAATCTGAGAGGAAAGGATTGGTCAACACTAACAGATCCAGCTGGATGGTTTACTTGGCTCCGTGTGAGCCGTTCTTTGGCATTCATTATTCCCAGTGAAATTTGTGGTTAAAAGCTAAAAACCTTGAAGCATCCATATCAGCAGAAAATATCAACTCCAGCCTTGCAGTAAAATAAACGTCAAACTGTGGAAAAGTTAATTTGCCGAAACAGAGTCCGATTCAGTAGAGAGATTATCTTCCTGCCGCTGCTGCCCCAACAGTTTCTTACCTTCTTCATCTCGTCCTCCAGGTTTTCCTCCTCCTGACCTTCAGTGAGGCGGCGTCTCAGATCACCCACTTCACGTTCCTTCACCTCTCTGTACTGGTTCCACTGGGCTCGCTCCTGCTCCAGGCGCTGGTGGAACTGGACCTCGTACTCACACACAGTTTCTACGGGTCAGAGCAGAAGAGAACTGTTTGAAAATACTGGGGTAAAAAAAAATCAAAAAAAAAAATCATACTGTACACAGTAGATTTAACAAAAACAAACACTGAAACATGTCGGTAATATATGTTTTTATAAGAGTTAGCATAAATTGCTATGATTTTGGCTGTCAACTAATTTTACCTTGGCTTGTTACTCAAATAACTCTTGGCTAGTTCTGGCTAACAGTTCAGCTATTATTGTTAAACATTTTTGGCAATTCTCTGCTTTCTTTTCTTACTTTTGTTTTTTTTAAATTTTTTGAATATTTTTTGCATCATTAAGTAAGTAGCTTACCTGGTCATTGTCTACCTTTCGACCATCTTTGAGCCATTAATGCAATAACTTTAATGACCATCATGTTGGACTGAACCGTTATGTGAATCTTTAAAATCTTCAACATGATGTCTTTGATCAATCACAGCCTGTTCCCTCTTTTTGACTCTCCACATTAACTCATGGTCCTGGTCCACTGCTATCTTAACACTGCAGACCGCTCTGTTAGTCTGCTCTCAATCACTGCAGGGAATTTTCCTTCACGCCACATTTACCTTTCATGATGGCCTGCAGCGACGCCACCTCCTCCTGCCACTGGCTGCGAACCTGGTCGATGGCTTCCTGCTTGGTGTTTTCAGACACAGTGGCCACGGCCTTGATGGTCTCTATCTCAGAGCGGGCCTGAGATAGTTGGGTCTGAATGGAGCCCAGTTCAACCTGGGCATCGTCCAGCGCTGCTGTCTGCCTTTTTAACTCCTCTGGAAACAAGTGAAGACAGAGAGACTTTTCCACATTTACCTGCATCAAATCCCTTAAAATACATCAAGACATTTTCCCTGCTGTAGGGTTAATTTATTCTAAGAATTCCAGTATTAAGGAACTTTATTTGAAGTTCGCTCCTCACTGTGGCCTGTGTTTTATCCCAACTTTCCTATAAATGATTAATCCAGACACAGTCAGTCAGACAATAATCCCTACCTTCCTTCGACAGGTAGAGTTCTTTGAACTTGGCTCGTTTCTGGTTGAACTCGACCTCCAGCTGCTGCTTCAGTCTGACGTACTCATTCTTTTCCTGCTCCAGAGCCGCCATTCGCTGCTGGAGCACCTCTGTATCATGGAGAACAACATATAAATAAGACAATTAATTAATTAATATTTACATACAGTTTATACATAATAAACAAAGCATCCTTCATGGAAAGCAACACTAACCTTTAGCATTTCCTACAACATCTTTTGCTATTTTGAACTTTTGGATATGTTGTCGTTGGGCTTGTCTGTGCAGTAGCAGCTTAAATGTTTAGAATTTAAGCAATAAAAATATGAATGTGTATTAAATTAAAATGCAATATTATTTGAAACAAAAAAATAATAATATAATATCCATTAACAAATATTTTGGCTCTAAAATAATAATTTTGTTAACAGATGTGTTATTTTTCTGCGATGGTGTCATGATTTTATTGTAGCAATACAAACTTTAAATCTCCATATTGCGAATGTGTTAATAACCTCAGCAAAAGCCACGAAGACTGGGTGAAAACCTGTTGCTTAGCAAAAGAATAACACTACAAAATGAAGCCGAAACAGAGCAGATTGTCAAACTGCATCATATTGTTAATAAATAATGCTTCTCAAGGGGGTTTCAAAATTCAGATGGAAAAGATTTAACTTTTTTTCCCTGTTCAAATTTATGTTCCAGAATCCTTTAAACTGGCCTCAAGTCACAAGTTTTTCCTACTGCAGTACAAAATGATGCCTGACTTCCTTTTCTTTCTTTCTGTTACTCAACAGCACTAGTTAAAGCAATGACCTTTCACCTCAGATTCCCAGATGGAAATCTTTAGTAGATTTGTGTGATGCAGTACAGCGTCAGGTGACAGAAGGCAAAGAGACAGTAAAGCAGAAACTTCCAACAAACACTTTGCTCACAGATTTCAATCCTCTTAAGAACTGAAATACTAATGGAATCAAACACTTACCAGTGATAACACAGTGAACCACTCTGGTTTAACCTTCTTATAAGGCTTTAGTTAAGCTTTGGAATGTCTTTTTTTGAAGCATCATTGCAAAAACAAGAACTTTGTTAAAGCTTCAGAAAAATAATTATAAATGTTCAATCAAAACAGGGGAAGAACACACAAAAATATCCAAGTATTTCTTGTGTGGGGCAAATTGGTTCAATCGGTCTAAAAAACTAAGGAAAATGTTCATTTTAAACCTAACACTAAAACACACACAGAGCAGGAATACGTAGCAGCTATTTTAGTATTTTTAAGTGATTCACCAAATACTACGACAATAATTTTGCCCACTTTCCACCAGAGAGACTGAGTACCATCAGTGGTACACATGCCATAGTTTGAAAAAGCACTGATCTACCTCAGTTTGTCACTTTTGTACTAAATATTTGAATCCCTGCAATGTAAGACCTTAAACTACACCTGCCAAATCCAGAAGATGCACAAAACAAACATGGCCCGTGACCCTGAGGTTGAAAGCCAACAGAGGGGGAAATCCTGCAGCAGGATTATGATCCTGCTGCATGAATGGTCCGGCCCCTGAATGAGTGTGTGGGTGTGTGTGTCTCTGCAGGTCTGTCTCTCCCTCTCTCAGACACACACACACACACACTCATTCACACACATGTACACGTCTTGATAAGAGCCATATGACCCGTGTTAAAGGCTGATCCAAACTGAATAGAGGCCAGAGGCGACCTTTACATCACATTACTCAGCTGTTAGCTCGCCTGCTAGTTAGCTCTACTCGTACACAGTAAACAACAAAACTAAGTAGAGTTTACTAACGCAATAATTGTCCAATTTGAACCTTATGAGAGGAATTATCAAAGTGTAGAATAAAGGCTCGCTGTGACTGAGTGACAGCAGCCTGTTGTGACACGTCGCCCAGATGATGCTAACAGGCTAATGTTGTCAGGGATGCAGAGGCCGCGATGCCGCCGGCCGTCAGCCAAAACTCTGCTCCATAAATCCGCACCGAGACGCCATATTTACCGTCATACTGGGACGAAGCAGCGGTTCCCGGGGCCTGCTCGGCCATGGTTACCCGAGAGGGGAGTGGAGGCTGTCAGCGGTGGCAGTGGGATGACAGGCTAGGAGTGTCCAAGAAAACAGGCTAACATCACCAAGTGCTACTGGGCCAAGCTGACGACGAAAAACACCAGGAGATCCGGAGATAACTTTCAAAATAAACACCAACTACGTCTACGTCTACTGCCCTTAAAATAAAAACAAAAATGTATTTTTATATTAAGTGACAAACGCTGACATATTAAGAGTGAATGCGCTCAATACTAAGAAAGTTCCAAGTATTTTTGTTTGACTAAAAAAAGTTGTTTCATATTATTTTGTTTCATGCGAAACAATCCTGGATTTTGGAATTTCGCTCATTCGTTGTGGAGCAACAGCTAGTTTCCGATATAGTTTTATTAATTCTGGTTTGTTCTGTCAAACTCAAAGAAAATCGCTATTTAATTTATTTATTCTTTTAATAAATTCACAGACAGAAAAAAGAACAACGTTGATAAACTTCTGATTTTACGTTTTAATAACTTAATACTTTAAGGATTTAATAATATGATATATGATATAAAGGACATCACAGGGAAATACAGCTTTATGTTACTTTTAACAAATGATCAGAGTGAAAGGAAAATCCAATGTTCTACAGACTCTTTAGCAGGTGCATAGATGAAGTTAATTTGTTTGCCCTTCCGATACACATGCACACACACACACACACACACACACACACACATACAAAAAGACACACAAACATGCACTGAAGCGTTGCAGAAGATGGTTGAGCTTCCTTCACTATTTTGTGAAAATGTGAAACTGTCATGCAAAAGTCAGACTTTCTTTTCAAGTGACAGTGATCAGCCCGGAATTCGTTTTTTAAGTTGCAGTGCATGTTGGGTATCATGAATAGAATGGTTCTTTATTGTCACTGTTGCAGGAACAATGAAAACAGTTTAGTTGCTCGTCTATGGCAGCGGCTCTTGAGAAGCAAGAGATGTGTATTTGTTCTTGTGTTGAAAAAAAAAATGGGAAAATTGGGATTCAAGCTGAGACATTTGGGAAAATATTGCTGGCATTCTATAATAAATAGAGTTGAAATAAGAACCAAATATGTCCACATCCACCTTCCGTTAAAATAAAAAAAATGAATGTGAGTATGTGAAAAATACCCAACACAAATAGCCTACAAATTGAGTTTTTTGACACACACACACACACACATATATATAAGATCTACTCATCACTTCTGAGTTATTATTGAATAGCCTGTTTTCTTGATAACTGGATCAACAGAGTGTAGTGGTAACACTCAGTTGGCAATGTCAGGAAACAGACGCCAAAAGAGGATGTGGAGCAGAGAGATAAAAAAGTATTTCTGCCTTTCTGTAGTCAGAGATGATGATACCATTTTTGTTCAGGACAAATTAAAACCACACCATAGCCTCGGCTAACCTCATTAAAATTCTAAGAAGAGGAATCAGAAGTTGTTTCTTATTCTCAAAATGCAAATGTAATGTTTAAAATAACCTCGGGACTGAGTCAGAGCAGAAAAGGGGGAAGTTGTGAATGGTCTTCTTTCCAATGCTGAGCGAAGAAGCAGCAGCAGAAGTGTGAAGTGTGAAGTTTCTGTGTGAATCGAATATTCTTTTTTTTTTTTTATCGTTATTGTTGTTTTTGTTGAAGAAGAGCTCCCATGGAACTGCAGCGTAAATACCTATGGCTCTTGGTGATCTGTGGAATGATTTTCACCAGCTTCATCATCACACTCATCTTCGTTTTCATCAACAGATGCATCTCCAGATCAGGTATGTGTCTGCGTGTTTATCCGTCAGCAGAAAAAACAAGTTAATACTTCGGAAAATGACATACGTGCCTGTCATTTGGAGGAAAGCAGCGTGGGGTTAAATAATGGACAGCGTGGCTAGTGCTAATTGAAAATGACATAACAATAATGGACAGCGTGGCTAGTGCTAATTATACAAGAGCCTTTCAGTGTTGGACAAGTTTCTGTTAAACAAATTCTTTTTTTTTTTCAAGACATCATGCGTCGTCAGGGCCCAGCCCAAACTGTCCACTGGAATTCAAACTGTTGTATAAAATGTTAAAAAAAATCTTTATTTTACACATTTTACCCAAAACAAAAAGCATATATATATACACACAAATTACAATTAGCTCCTGAGTACAATAGCTCATTGTTAGCCAGAACAAATTTGTGAGAATGAGAGAAGTGGGGTTAAAATGTTGTAAAAGGCAAGTAGTTACTGTTTGTCATCTGTAATGTTATTATAAAATGAAAGTTGAATTGTTTGCAGTGCATTCTTAAACAACTACAGAAGAAAATAGTGAAAGGTCATGTACTTAATGTTGTTAAATACATATCTTCTCACGTTTCTTATTCCGTTACATGATAAAGAAGAAGAGAAACCACCGTGTTTTACTTAGAATGTAAAGCAGAACAGAAACCAATCCTCTTCATTGTGACCACAGACACTGTCATGATCCTCCTAAATGTATTAAATGTGCAGTATTTATTTATAATCTTGACATTCTTAAAAAAAAAAAAAAACGCTATCTTGAAGTAGAGAGTCGTGACTCAGGTTTCCAAATATTATTATTCTAGACGTTGGAGAAAATACCAATGTGTATAACACATGTACAGTGACTTCAGATGTTGACTCAATTGTGCACACGTTATATGATGGTTTGTGTTTTATTTAAGATGATTTACATTTATATATAAATAAATAAAACAAACATAATTTTATCTATTGTTTATAAAATATCAACCCCAGAAAATGTCTGTGGTCTGTTTCAGTCCAAAGACATTAGGATTTTTTAATTTTTCATTATTGAGTTAATGACTTCTTTTTCAGATTTTTTATTTTTTTATTTTCCCTGGTTTTGTTTACAGAGCCTGCTCTCTCTTTGTTTTTCCACAGGCAAACACGGACTCTTGGCGGCTCAGAGGAGATCACACTTCAGCAACCAGTAATACTTGAACAGTACAGATTTAATTAATTCATTTAACATCAGAACTTGTAGTGGTGCGAAACAGCACTAAAATCACACACTATTGCTAAACTGTTCAAGCTAATCGTTGAGTTGATGATTCTTCTAGAACACATTGACAATGTTAGAAATACAGAAAAACAACGTTTAAAGCCATTTGTGTGCTAATCTTTAACTGTAGCTGTCAACGTTAACCATAAAGTGAGTCAAAGCAGACATCCGGTTGAATTGGTATTTACTGTGTGAACCACACGTGGTCTCTAACTGCTCATTATTCACATGTGGACAAGAAGTATGTGGTGTACGTACACATATGGGACATATTTTCAACCCAAGTTCAATCCAACAGAAAAATCTTAATTTAACGAAATTGTCATTAATTGACAAATTCGTAATAAGAGCTACACTTCACTTATGATGGTAAAGAAGTGAAAGATTAAACATTTACAGTCTCCATCAGGACAATAACAGTCACTATGGATGACATGTGTTTGAGAGAGAGACAGAGAGAGAGAGGCAGAGAGAGAGAGAGAGAGAGAGAGCAGCTCCAGAGTTGATTCCTCTTTCTCTCCACTCATTATTCCACAAACGCACGTCTAGACTAACCACAGCCTCTCGGTCTGTCGAAACTGGTTGTAAGAAAGAATGTTCAAATGAGCAGAAGTCAGACTTTCTTTATTCTCACGGGTGAAACCGAAGTACGCGACTCACTGTACTCTTGATGATGACTCCAGATTCATAAGTTCCAGATCCTGGTCCTTGGTTCTGGTTTCTCTGTGGCTGTGGATTTTAGAAACCACACATTAAACATTATTTAACCTTCACTGTTATTTCCATCTCGATCCCTGACCTAAAGTCTAACTCCTTTATTCCTTAATTTGGGAGAAGGTTTTTATCACTGAACACATACGTGTCATTATACTGTCTAGATATATGTAGATCAGTACTTCTCAAACAGTGGGGCGGGCCCCCCTGAGAGGGCGGGGTGAGGTGCCTGGCGTGAGGGTCTTCCAATGGAATATAGCTAAGTGTACCACTGCTGTAATGCTTGAATGATAACAAGCCTCCAGTCACTAGGTGGCAGCATCTCATATAGTGATTTGTACAGATAAAAATATACATGTTATCAGGTTCTCAATAGTATTTTAATTCGTGGGGCTGTGGGTCGGACATGTCTCTTACTATTTTAATTTTTTTTAAAATACATTTTATAAGACTTTTAAATCTTACTTAAACCAAAGAACTTAGCTTTAATTGACAATAAAGTCAACTAAAATGTTATATGTACTGTATATGTGTATATTTATACTGTATATGTATATTTATATGTATGTGTATATATACCTTTTTTAATGTACCGTTAACATGTACAGTAAACATTTCACTTTTTATAACCTGCAGCAGCAACAAATACCAGGAAGGAAACCTGAACCAAGATAGTGTCCCTCAGCTTCCTCCGCGGACACAGTTTCTCAGTGAGGGTAAGTCATGTGATGGAAAATGTCCTTCTTAGTGTATAATCTGCACTGTTACAGAAACAAAATTCATTCATTTTCCCCTGCATTATTATTTTATCAGTGCAGCCCAGACACTGTTTCTGGAGTCCAAATATGGGCCGCTAGATCTGGATGGCATTAGTGGGCTACCGACTAAAATCGCAAATGCGTTGACGATCATTATTAATGATTTACTTGGTTTGTTCATTTAAAATAATAATTGCAAAAACATAATGTTGTCAGTGTGTCCTCTGGAGGTTGTTTGGGTGAGGGAGTGTCTACCAATCAGAATATCTGGTCCCTTAAAAATATTTAACCTGTTAACCTGGATGTTGTCCAAAGCATTATACACACTGTCCATGCAACTTTGTTTTTAAGTCAAACTACAAGTGTGTGAAGATGCTGTTGTGAATTTTGTCATTTCAGAGCTTCAAAACTACGAGAACCTGGCTGAGTCACCTGCAGAGAAGACGAAAGACACACACAATGATTTTGATCAGACCAGTCATGATTATGAGGAGTTCAGTGCTATGAATAACTATGAAGAGCCCAACAACACAGACAATCAGGGCCTGGAGCTATACATGCAGCCTGACTATGTGAAGGTAGACAGCGAGATGTCTGTGGACAACATTTCCACAGAGGACTATGACGACATTGGAGATGAAGATGTGGCAAAGGAGGAGGAGGAGGAGGAGGACTATGATGACATTGGAGATGACGATGTGGAAGAGGAGGACTATGATGATGTATGCTAAGGAACCTAATAGAGAACTGAAAATGAATCCGAGTTCCCCTTTTTTTAATCTTCATCCCAGAGAGGACAGATTCAGATACAGGAGACTTTGCCTTCGTCAAATAAGTTTTTATTTTATTTATGAGGCTTCAAAAAGATTTGCACAAATTTACAGAGAAAGGGTCAAAGCAAATCAAAAAAGCATCAAAATTATAGAGAGAAGATGTATTTGAAGGTTTGAATGTGTTTTTATAAAGATTACTTTTGAGAGTTGTGGATGTTGCAATGAAATAAACATATATTTATACGGTAAATATCCACAGATGTTTAAAGTCAGGAAACCAAGCTTGGCTTATTAGGATTCAACTGAAACCAAAATAAATGATTAAAAAACCCTGACAGAATATCGTTTGGAGGGAAAGTCTGGACTGGAGGTCTCCTGTTCATGCCTGACTTTCCAAGACTTCTGGTCGGCTCAACCCAGAGTTTATTCATACATAAAACCTCAGTTTGGCCACAGCAATTGCAACAGTGGCAAAAGCTAGCAAAAAAACATTTTTTTTTTTTTTTTTGAAAAAGTTGGTTTGTTTTCGGAGGAGACGCTGAGAATAAAAATGACGGAGTTTAGACACTTCGGAGGAGACGTTGAGAATAAAAATGACGGAGTTTAGACACGAATTATAAAAAAATAAAGATCTATGGAGGATGCGGGCATCGATCCCGCTACCTCTCGCATGCTAAGCGAGCGCTCTACCATTTGAGCTAATCCCCCATGATGTTGTGGCAGGGTAATTTTAGAGTATAAATGTGTATTACAACATATGACAACATTCTTGGACTGATTAAAAATGCTTTTTGCATACACTAAAGTTGGGATATTATTATGTGTTTGCCCCGAGACATTTACAGCTTCTCCGGCTTCAGTTGCCTCTGATGCCCTCTGGCGGTTACATGGTCAATAAAACCTTTTCTTAAACTATTTTATTATTATACTTTTGCGGAAGTCACTAATGGATTTGATTGTTTTAGTCATTTTTTGTTAATTTACTCTAAATACAATATGCATTTAATAGCATTTAGAATCAACTTTGAAAGGTTTAGACCGGATGTTCGGTTTATCTTTAACCAGTAGTAATATTATTTTACATCATAAGATGTATTAAATTGGCAGATGTATTATTAGTAAAAAGTGTAGAATTGTAACAGGAGATGATAGTAATATTGGTTGCAATAAACTAAAGTAGAATTCAAGTAAAGCAGCCCAGGAAGTAACAGTCGAAGAATGAAAGTAAGACATAGGGACACTTTTATCGGTTGCGGTATTGAGAATATGAAAGTAGTAATGTGTGGTGTACCAGTATAGTTGAGTAAATGGCACCAATAATAGTGGTCTAATATGCATCAGTAGTTAGAATGCCGTAGGTGTCGCACGTTGGCGACACGCTTTATTTTGAAGTATTTTGCCGGAAGTTAAATATTTTTGTTCATCCTCTGGCTTCACTCGTGCATGCGGAGAGATCGCGGCGCATTCCGACGTGAGCGAGATGTAAGCACTGTTCGGACTTTATGTCTCCAAACCGTCTCCACGCGCAATTTCAAGGAATAAAATGTCCAGGTTGAAGGAGTCCAGTACTTGTCCCGACGGATACCGAGCTCTGAGCACCAGTGAGCTGCGGGAGCTTCTACAGAACGACGAAAAAATGGACCAGATTATTCGGCTGAATGAAACGGTGGGTTCTCCTGCTCAGTCCCCCCAAAGTGCCCAAAGGAATCTGTGCCTTATTAACGCTCTGTTACGCCTTTTAAAGCAGTTTCGGTGAAGCAGTTTTGTTTCGGCATTGTTTGCCTTTTATTGGAAATATTTGTTTTGTTTTTATTTTACAAACTAAAAAAACAATACATGTGTTGTGGGTGTAACGCAAATCCGCTTTACATGGCTCATCGATCGTCTGCGTGGCGAGTGGTCGCATTTTTAATTGTTGTCATTCGACTTTAAATATTTGTGGTAACTTAAGAGTAGAAATGTGAGGTAAAATGAAAACTTAGAGTAACGTCTGTACTCGTGATTTATTTTCTCTACAAGTGCTGCCTTTGTAAAGGAAGCACTGCGTCGTGATGGCGAAGCCCCCCAATACGCGCCGTTATGTGGTCGTAGTCCACGCACCAAACTTCCATTAAATAACTGGCAAACTAGCACATTTCCCTCTCCGTCGTTCTTAGAATTCACAACAAGGCTGACTCCTCCAAGTATTTTGCATTTTTGTGATACGGTATTGATTTCGGCTTTGATTGAATGTAAACAACACAATCAGTTAGTATGAAATTAAACTTTTACAACAGATTTTAACGTCTTACCTTCCGATGAAACTGTCGTAAAATGGAGCAGAAGACAAGTTGAAAGAAAATCGTATTTTCTGAGCGTCGAGCGATGTTCATTACGTGTTCACTAATGTTCATGTACGTTAGTGCCGATTTAAGGAGTTATATCTGGTCTTCAGAAAGACTCAGATGAATGAATGAATGTATGAATTTCTATGCAAAATCACAGTAATAAAAATATACATATGTATGCGGTTCCCTATGCACCACACTGAGAATGCATGTCTCAGGGCAACATTGTTTCCTTTGTGGTGTCAGACAATTCATGACTGATTGACTGACTTCACAGACTGAGTGACACACACACACACACACACACTGTTCCCAAACGTATGTATGCATGGGGCCCATTTTCATTAGGTGTGCCTTGGTGGAGGGGGTGGGGGGGGGTCAAATATTACAGACTCCCAGCATCAGGATTCAGGAGGCTATCCAGTTCCATTCATTTCTCATGGTTGTGGGTGGGGGTGACAACACCAGTGTGTGCAGTGAAACATAACCGGTGTGTGTGTGTGTTAATCACCATCTTTCACACATGTCCTTACTGTGCTGACATTTAGCCAGGTAAACGATGACTTCTGGGAATAATTTGAGAGCAGATGAACTTGAACTTTGAGCTGACATCACTTCAACTTTATGGATTTCATAGGAAAGTTACAGCTGTCAGAAAGTCACGTGATATCGCTGAAAAACAAGAGAAAGGCATGAGGTTTCTTTTTTTTTTCTTTCTTTCATGATGAAGTATGTGACATGTGAAACCAGGTTCAGTGAATAGATTTGTACGATGGAGCCAAAGCAGTGGGATCTCACTAAGAGGTCACACAATTCTCCCCTGGGAACTGAGCACAAAGACATTCCAGTCGGGAGTGTTTGGTCAGAAGTCATCGGCTTTTAATAGAATTTTTGGGCTTTTGCCACCAATTATTTTTATTTCATTATTATCGTGAATCATGCTTTTGTAAAAAAAAAACAATGGTTTCCCAACATGTACTGCATCTCTGATGAGACTCTGGGAACAACATGCATCGTAAATCTCATGTACGTACTGGATGTTTTGTAATCCATCATTATCACTCTGGTTGTATATGATCCCGTCTTTCTTGCCAGTGTGCCTTTCATTCTTATTTCTACTGGTCCAAACAAGAAGTGGCACGTCCTCAGAGTACGATGATCTGAAAGATCAGGTTTTTGTTGTCAGCAGCTCGCCCCACAGGTTTGTTGTGACACCAAAGAAACAGGCAGAGTGGAAGATTAATCCTGGTCCAGATCAGTTTATTTACTCAAAAACTAGTCTGTAGCTCTGGTTTGAGGCGGCGTCGCAAACAAATAAGTGCGTAATTCATGTTTGTTCGTGCAACACTTGTGTGGATTTTTCCTTTTCTAATCTGTCCTGGGGTTGAAATAAGCCACAGCAGTTTTCGTTCTACCATACTAATGGTTGATGCTGTTAATAGCTGCCTGTGTTCCCAGCATCATGAAAGTCCCCTTGGATACACCGATGTACTGAGACTAACTTGCAGGATTAGCCTTATTGTTTACGCTATGTAAATTGACCATAGTTGTGAATGTGAGTGTGAGTGAAGGTCGGCCATCAGCAGCACCACCACAGCTGTAAAATCACAGTGAGCTACATGAGCGAACAAAAGCAGGGGCTGAAACGCTGTGGCTAATTACTTGCTATTGTGAGCCTTCTGCTGGTAGAAGTTGTTACTACACTTTGTTTGCATCAGTCATCGAGATACACATAATCATGTGGATCTTTGTACGTTTGGATTTGTAACTTTATTAACGAGGACAGCAGATAAATATATAAATGGACAGCCATGTGAAACTTCTGTTTGTCTCTCAGTGACATTCCCAAACACGGCAACAGCAGGACCATCTGTACAGACAGATGTGAACATCGTTTGGTCTTTTTAGTGGTCACAGGAGATACAACCAGGATGTACTGTGCAATAATGCTTGTGATCATATCGTTCACCGTGATGTTAAAAGCAGGTCTAAACTGCTCCTGATTCTGTGCCTCTCTTCTCTTTCTGTTTTCTTTAGGAGTCTGATTCCATTTTCATTCCTTCTATTCTCGTCCTTCTCGTGTAAATGCTCATTAATGTCTCCTTCCTGCTCTGGTCCAATTATTTTCCTGTTTTTCCTTTGGTCCAGTTTACTCCCGGGCTGTGGAGTAGAAGTAAACACGGAGGTATTTGCAGGTAGAAAGAACAGAGACAGTAAAAGTGTCAGTCACTGCGACCTCAGATGCTCTGCAGCAGCTGCTGCAGTTTGTCACAGTGGAGTCTGAGGCGGCGTGTCATTTTCAAACATGACCATGAAACGCTTCCTGAGTGGAGCTCACTATCAGACGTCAGCACATTGTTGTCGCTGTATTCTAAATGTCTGACAGGCTCTGAGAAACGGCTGTGCACCAAAAGCTGACATTGAGTTCCTCTGTCAGACATACTAAATTAAAAAGTTCTGTTTGGAAACAAGATCTCCCTCTGCTAGGCTCAATTCCACCTAGTGACCACTAGGTGGAATTGAGTTATGTGATGGTCCGCTTAAAAATGAGGCATTTTTATGTTTGACATATGAGTTTTCTACATGTATTTATCTATCCATCCTGACAGCAGTTGGTTTCCAGAGGTTTGAAATTGGAAAGTGAAACAATTTTTTCAAATAGTTACAGTCAAAATCAGCAGCCCAGGGGTTATTTATGTTTTATTAAAAAGCATATGAGTGAATACCACTCATAGCTGGACTGTTCTACAGAAGCCTGGTGGAATTAAAGCGCTGGTCTCCAAATATTTATGACTCTTTTTGCTGTTGAATCTCATGGCATCAAAAGGCTGATTTACCGTCTGGAGGAGTCGAAGGTTAATTGACAAACTGACATATCTATCATATCAGCATCAAACCGGTCTCACATGGAACGGGGAGGCTGGTATTAGACCATCTTTCCACTAGACTTCATATTACTTCTACTTCAAGGGCTGAAGTATTAGACCATCTTTCCACTAGACATATTCATATTACTTCTACTTCAAGGGCTGATGTGATGTGCGTGGGGGATTTCCTTCTATGGAAAACACTTTTCTCCTCTCAATTTCATCCAAGGCCGACTGCAGGATTAATGCCTTCTCTCTGCAGCCGTCTCATTAGGTTTGAATCTCATTAAATGTAACAGAAAAAAAATCACAATTTGCCGATGGACACGTCCAACCACAGGGAACAACATCAGTGCTGCTGCTTTCATCTTCTCCGGCTCAAAACTAGATTCTCCTGCTTGCCGAGTGTCATTTGTCAGGAACAGTAAACATTATCAGGGTTGTTTTCCCTTCCAAACAGAGAGCAGTCTCTCTCCTCAGACTGTGGAGGTTGTTGTCTGAGGAGCAGACTAACCAAAGCAGGACGTGTTCCTGTTTAAGGAAACTTGACGGACGTCTGGATCGAAACACGCTCTGGTATTTTTACTTGTTTTCTATAAGATGGGCATAGATCTTTTTCTGCACGCACGGCCCATCATTTGACCACAGGGAACGTTCTGGAAATTCCTCCAGACTACAGACTTGTGTGTCCTTTTTGACGACCCGTAAAATATGAGACAGATGCAGCGCACAGAGCTGGACCAAATGAAACGGCCTCCAGGCCCAGAGTGACTGACTGTTGAAAAGGCAAAAAAAAAAAGTATCCGGCTGGGCCGGACTGCAGGGAATCTGTGACTGATGCAGGGTTTAAAGGTGATTTGGGTCAGTTTTTGTACAGCAAGAAACACGGTGTGGCTTTGTTTAAGACGTTGGACTGTTTTTACAGTCATTACCACTGACTGTTTGCCTTGGAAAAACGGAAAGTGTTACCAGGGAGTGGCAGGTACTTTAATAATTCAAAGTTTTTTTTACCCTAGTGACAGTGGAACATTAACCAACCTTCACCCTTAACAAACACACCTTCTCTGTCAAGATACCTCCGTCCATCTATTATTTACCACTTATCCCTCGCAGCCTTCACAGCTGTCTGGGTACACCTGGGACATTTATCCATCCGCATATACAGACAAACAACCGTTTACGCTCATCATTGTATAATTTCTGACCTTTGAACTGTTTTGACTAAGGCCTTGTTTTTAGTGGTGAAGTTGCCATTCAAAGTATGCACCCATTGCACAGGCACAGATGAATTAAAACTCAAAGGAACAGATTTTGTTCTTGAGGCTTCCAGAACCACTAAAGTTTTTTTTTGGTTCTTTTCCTTGTATTTCTTGTGTTTTTTTGTGATCTCAGCCTCAGTCAGAGATCTTCCTTTAACAATCTGAACATCGCGGCGATCAAAAACATCCTGAGCAGCGGCCACTACCAGTCTGATTTGACAGACATTAAACTCAGCTGTGCTAACGAACGAGCGATGGACCTTCATTTTTAACAGCATAACCTACTGCGTAACCTACTAGCGGCTTTGCTGACTATGTTTGGTTCTGTTTTGATTGCCCCACTAACACACACGTCAATACCTCACCCAGTGCCAGAGGCATTTATCTTTCAGTGAATTGACAGAATAAGTAATCAGAGAATGAGCTTTTAGACTAATTGAAAAGGATTTATGTCCTGTTTCCTGACAGTTTTCTTTGTTACTCGGCCGAGTCTCATCGGGATTAAAAATGTAAAGGAAACAACATAGATCTGCCTTCAAAAGCCTTGTGATGGCGTGTGGAACATGAAAACACAGGTGGCAGATTCCCACCACCTCCACCTCCTGCCCCTCACCTACCACCCTGCAAATATTTGCAGTTGCGTCACCTTTTTTTTTATCTGGTCGACTGCGTAACAACAGCCAACTGTGTCTTCACACGTTTGAATTTGACGCATCTGTCATGTCACCGTACGGAGCGTCGATGATAAGACTGTATGCAGGTGTTTAGGAAATAACACCACCCTCCTCTTCCTTCATCAGGTGCTGTTTGCTTGCAGCAGAGCATAAAGGGAGTCCGCCTGAGGGGGGGGTGACGGGGGGTTATGAACACACACAGACACGCAGACATTCTGTGAGTCTCTGTGAGGTTGTATGAAGTCCTGCAGCTGTAGTGGGTGTAATTCTGTTATGACTATTAAGCACCGTCTTTGAACCATGCTCTGCGTATGATTTACTGCCCAGAGCAGAGCGGTTGAATCCTCGGTGATAACAGACGCTGTGTGAACTCTACGGTTAAAGCTCTGGAAACCTAGTCTGCTGCAAACATGAAAAAAATGTTTTTATTGTTTTGTTTTTTTTCAAAAAGAAGTTTCTAACAAATTGCATAACATTATTGTAAGTGGATTTAGAGCACATTTCAGTGCAGCGACACATTATTCTACAAAATGAGGCCTTCCAGCTAATCCCTTACCATTGCTGTAGAATTATTAACAAAATATTCTAATCCAGTTCCATTAGCACCACCTACAGTTAGTGAAGCAGGTCGTGTTCCATACGTAACCCGTTGCCTTTTCTACATTTCATGCCATAATAATTAGCCATTTGGTTTGGTGAGCAGGCACAGAGGCATTACTTCTCTACAGCTTTGTTTCAAGTTTATTTAATTAAATCATTGTGACCTGCTGAGAAAGAAAAACTCAAAGTAAAGTGTTAGACCGAAGTGATTATTTAATCTAATTAATGTAATAATGCAGAAGACGGTTGGGTTTGTGGTACTGTGTTGTTTTTACTTACAGGGCCATGAAAAGGTTCAGCTGTGTGAGAACACTACCAGGTCTTTTAAGTCATTTTTGCTTTGGTTTTCTGTTCAGTTCCAGGAGCTTCAGGTGGAGAGGGAGACGCTGTTGACCTCCAATCGAGGTCTGGCTGAGGAAAGTCTGGCCCGCCGACCCCGACTCAACAACGGCAAACTCCAGCTGGCGGAGAAATACAGCGAACTGTCCAACCTGGCAACGTCATGCTGGGAAAAACGAAGTCAGATCGGTGAGTGGACGAGAGTGAGAGCGAAGGGGTTCATGTTCTGGTTTCATGTATGTAAAATATGACCATGAATTATCACTGTGGAGACACAACGAGTGTGTGTTGGTGGTGGAGCTGATGACAAGGTCACTTGTTCACATTCCAGGAGTGGATGAGTTAACATGTCCCTGTGCAGGGAGAGCAGGAGTATTTTCCTTTTTTTAATCTCCTGACAGCAGTGCTCTCTGTCTGACCTGAAACAGCTGACTGGCCATGTTTTCTTTTCTTTCCTTTTTTTTTTTTACACGCGTGGCCAGGAGAACCTTCACTGTATACCCTGAAAACAAAGCAGATGGAAGAAAATCACAGAAAATGTTGAAACCACTTAAGGCTAGGACTAATTATATACGATATTCTCCAGTGGCTCCACATTGTCTTCCCTTGTAATTGCAGGAAATCGAGCAGAGTCTTCTCTGCTGCAGCATCCGAGGCGTAGAGAGCTACAACATTTTTTTTAACTTAAATCTCTTCTGACTGGCTGTTACACTCCCTGTACCTCTCAGAGTGAGAAAGCGCTTCAGACTGTCAGCAGGACGTGCCTTCAGCGGCACAGCGAAACCTCAGCGTGACTGCAGTTTGGTCATGGGAACGAAATGGAGCATATCAAATGCCAGCAGGAAGCTGGCAGCGCTGGTCAAGGAATTTGCAGGGTGAAAAGGGCCTTGTCTTTGTTGAGGCAAGTCAAGTTTCCGACCGTGCAGCAGCCAGAGGACGTCTCCTCGGACCTCCATCCTAAATATTTAATTCTATTGACGCAAAGACTATAGAAATTCCTCACACTGCTACAGTAAAAGCCCAAGCCAAGAGAAGGCGATAGAACAAATCTCTCTGCCTTTAATTTTAGAGTCAGTGTGAGCTTCAGATCGCCGTCTCAGTGCAGGGTCACCCCAACTCCAAAAGGCATTTCCCAAATTTCTTCGTCAGCTGCAGGCTTATGATGGAAGCTGGGAGGAATGCTAAACTTCCTGTCAAAGCATGTGTATGTGTGTGTGTGTTCATGTTACACAGATGCCGCCCCACCTCCCCAGCGAAGCAGGATGGGTGGGGGACCGTCCTTCCTCTCCAAAACATCTGATTCTCATTTGGTGCGTCAAGAAAAAGAAGTGTTAAAAAAAGCGGGGTGAAGGAGGAGGGTTTCCTGAGAGTAGTGACCTGGTCAGAGAGGAGCTGTGGAGGAGACGCAGTTGGACAGCTGTATTGTTTGATACATCCTTCTGTTTGGTAGAGACATCTGTGACCAGTGAAAGCTGGCACTGGGTGGTGGTTCTCAGTTGACCTTGAGTGTTTTTTTAAGCGTCCACTTCAGGCGTATTTCACACTTTTTTTTTCTCTTAGCCCTCATCCACTGTTAAGCCGTAGTTATGAACTGCACATAAAAAAGGGAAGTAGCTAGCCATCGATATGTGATGTGATATCGATGGAGTCGATGGAAGAATTTTCTTTTCAATTTCAAGTCCTGTCCTTATGTGCTACGACATTACGACTAACTGGTCCCTAAACTGATTAAAGAACTCGTCAACAACCTCTATGTTGGTTTCTAGTGTTAACCAATGAAATTCTCCGGTTTACCCTGCAAAGTAATGTGTTTTCTTAAAAAACAAATCTTAAACGTCAGAATGAACAGAAGAAGAGTTTGTTTGCTTGTTCCTTGTTGCCGTCGTGGGCTGGTGAAACTGTAATTCTGTTAACTTGGTGCCAACACGGCCTGGTTCAATGGGTGCACCAATGACTCCAGTGGAACTTGAGCCTGAATAGGACCCATGCTGGTACTTGCCTAAGCGACAAAAGCTCCGGTTCATCCTTCCGCGGCTAGACTTCCTGTTAATGAATGAGTCAGAATTTGACAATTTTGAATAGCAGCTCACTGAGGCTTTTTACCCCATACTTTACAGAGTCTGAAACCTCTTTATGTGCAGCTATTGGGGCAAAACCCACTGTGTTTTATGCCTCAAAAACCGTTTCTTCAAGTGTGTGGCAGTCAAACGGCGATGATAAAGAAGAAAAAGCATTTAAAGAATTTTCCATGAATACAGTTAAAGCACTGCGTGGACCGTGACTGGCTGGAGATGAAGTACAGACTCACACAGAAACACAACAGACCAGCAGATTAACTCCAGACTTCTCAGAAGAATAATCTTTTTTTAAACCTGTATTCGATGATGACAAAGGTCTGCTCACCGTTTTTATCTGTGTTGTGTGCTGTGACAACACGTCAGTCCACGGTCTGCAGACTAAATAAAGCAGAATTTAGATTCTGAGTAGTCCACTTCTTCACGTCGTAGATAAAATCTGTCTGCTCTGCAGACATAAACAGACCTCAGATCAGTTCCTTGGCTTGGTTTTCACTCCTTTCTTTAGGTGCAGACACAAACACAACTTCTAGGGTGAGTTAAGTAGTCGTGGGAGTCGGGTGACTGACCCCCGGTCTCCACACAGATGTAAACTGATAACAGTCCACGTTGCCACCTGTTATATATAAGTCAACCTTAAGCTGAAATAACCATTTAATTTAATCTAATAACGTTCCACGGGGCAGTCATTTACAGATCGTGGTCTCGGAGGTCAATCATTTCAGTGTCTGTTTGAAGTTCACAGTAATGGATCCTAATCACAGCTAATGAGCTGGAGCCAATCAGAGCTAGGATGATCAACCACACTAGCTGTTGTGTTAAAGCAGGAAGTGAAAGTAACTCTAAGCTCAGTAATCACTTTATGTGTCACCGCATATTTGAGGATGTGGTTAACAGGAAGACAGGAGGCCTGACTGCAAGAAGGTTCTGCACGGCAACCAATTTACAAAGTTGTATTACCTGTCATTTCATAAATCATCATAAAAATTACCATGTTGCAGGATACACTGAGGTAGAGGTTCCCAAAGTGGGCTGCAGGCCCCCTATGGGGCGCACACTTATTGCAGGCAGGTGTAGTAAGACAAAGAAATTAAAATTTTAATATTTACTTTATTCATTTCTATTTGAGGAATGGAACAATTTTATTTATAAATTTCAAGTTTACGCTTTTCTACTGGAAATTTAGACCTACATAACTTCTTGTTCAGTCTTTTCTACAGTCATTTAGACCTACATAACTTCTTGTTCAGTTTTCATCTTTGAAAAGATGTTGTTGTTGACTTTCTTTTTGTCAGTTACAACTGCTGAAAAAATAGCTGAACAACCCAAGTGTTGGAGTGAACAAGTGTTCAAAGACTATAAATGCCTCCAAGTATATGCCTTTTTTGTGGCTGAAGTTTAAATTTCTCAAAGACTATAAATACCTCCAAGTATATGTCTTTTTTGTGGCTGAAGTTTAAATTTCTCACTTATATTAGAGAAACTCCAGACGAACCTGAAACAAAAAAAAAAAACAACTCACCACTTCTGTCTCTTTAATCTCAGAGATTAAAAAAAGGCGTACAATGACTTCTTATGCAGTCATCAAACTGACAGCTACACTTTTTTCACACTTCAGTGCCTAAAGACATCAGATGACTTCAGCTCAGCTACTGTGCTATTTAAAAGTACGCAGTGTCAAATGGAGTGTCGCTGATAAGAAATCAAAGACGCAGAAGTGCTTTTATGAATGTGCTTTTAATAAATTCCACTAAAAAGGTAGAAACTTATGCAGAAACCAGACTTCAGCTGCAGCCACAGAAACTGGAAGCCGTGGAGAATCATGTCCAAACACCAGTTCACGGAATAAGTGGCAAGTTAACTGCCTCCATATTCCCACAAGGCTCCTTCAGGTTCCTCCGACGGTGTGTTGAAAAGCAGTGACTCCAGTTACTCCCGCCCGGTGATGGGCGAGCTACTGTAAACGAAGCAGCAGTCAGTAGACACAGTGTCAAACGGAGGATTTAGCAGCAGATACACATGGGGCTGCAGTAATGAATACACATGATGAAATAATAATACACCAGGCAGTTTCACATTACAGTCTCAACATTTCAGAGAGGCTGCAGAGAAAGCAGTGGGCTTTAGAGAAAAACACACTGCCTGGTGTTTAAGACACATTGTTGGAGAAAGTCTTATGGAGAAATACATTGTTGTTGCCTAATGTCTGTGACTTCACTGTGATTAATCCACTGTTATAATTACATAACCTAATTGTAATCAGGCCGTCAGAGCTGCTTTTGTTTACGATGTGCTAAAGCAGGGATGCGCTGATGCCATTATTGGACTGACAGAGCGTGTCTCTGTTCAAAGAGTGGATAAATGAGGCGTTTACACCCCACCAAGTCACATTTGTTACGATTTAGTAAAGCAACGTTTTGTGCGTTCATTTGTTTATTGAAACAAAAATAGTTTCACACAGTGTAAATATGTACTGGGCATCAGTGAGCTTTTAGGATTTTAAATACTACTGTAAAAGTGTTTTTTCAATTTTAAAAATTTCTCATTTAAGCGTCTTCCACATGACCTGATCCAAACCACTATATAAAAAATGGACTAACCCTGTCTATTGCAGGCTGTGGTTGCAGGTTAAAGCCCCAGGGGAGAAAACAGTGACAGTGGTGTGTTGGTTATGACAGTGTACAAGTCTGTGGAGAACACAGTCACTTGATGAATATCTCAGAGTTTTTTTCCCCATGAAATATGACGTCTCCTGAACCGTTGATCCTCAGAGTTTTTTCCCCCATGAAATATGACGTCTCCTGAACCTTGATTTCATTGACAGAAAAAAGTGAAATATGGTGATACGATTGACCAATAAGAGCCTGGTCCAATGGATGTGTTGCTGACGTTGCCTGATGTCACAGCAATGTGGACATTTTGGAGTGAATTTTTTTCTTTTTAAATCTCCGTTTGAAGTGTATTTCAAACAAAACCTGCTCATTGTTAAGACTGTCTTCTGATTCACTTTGATGGCTCTGCTCTGGCCTTGATGGTGTGAAACAGCTGTCCAGATGTGTGACCAGATGCAGCAGGATGGCCAGACATATCTCTTTATTGATATGTTACTGCAGC